TAAATTTATTTCGGTCTTTCTTATCGTGATGACGATGTACTGTACTCTACGTAAGCACTTGACTTCAGTACTATCGGAGAAGCGATGGTAGACGTTGCCATTACCGTATCTCAGCGCAGAAGATATACGGTAAATTACAGTACGTTCGTAATCATACGTTTATTGCCATGAAACTCCGACATCATCTCTTCAATTCTCTACGATAGTCTAATCTCAGTTTATCTTATCGTTTACTCTAATGACAAAATTATAACATTATTGTGGCTAAGTACAAGTAACGCTCAAATACGCCTAGAAATAGGGGACGAGAATCTAAAAATCGAAATTTAGAGAAAAACTGCCATCAAGAGCAGGCTTTCATAAAAATTAGATGAATTAACATGCGTATGGTAGTGTAAGATAAATACAGACCATTTTACTATGGAAATCCACAGCATGCAAGAAAAGTTCGGATACAGAACTTCACTGTAGTTCTAGGTACTTTGTAAAATTGTATAGACAGGCAGCCTGCTCTACTGTTTACAGAATCATGACCACTTACTTCAGTTGTTGCATCACAGTAATGCAGTTAATTCACTTAACCACAGAGACATGAAAACTCCCTTTCACACGGTTTACATGTATTTACATGTATAAAATATACTAAACTGAATTATCCTTCAACGCCTGAATTTTACTTCGGAGTAAAAATTTTACAGAGCTCGCTGATAAGGCGTAAAGGAATTACAGTATACAGTACAGTAAAATTATGTTGACCAAAGGACTATGGCAAACGCTAACAACCTATTGAGTGTGCAAACGAGACTTTATAAGTCGCAAGCATACGGTGAAATATGTAATTATAGAAATAGCACATACTCATCATGTACGACTGAAGACACTGAAGCGCCTGTGTTAGAGGTTATGTTCACAGTAACTAAGCTTAATAATTAAACAATCGAACGCCCGTCCGTTAACTCCACCAACTAATGAATACACCAAAATATCGTGTAATCATACTGTATATTCACATAATGGGCTGTAGTACACTCTAACGTCGGTGTATGAGAATAGTACAATAATATTTATATCCTTAATCTATTCTAACGCAATACTAATACGTACACGCTTTATAACATTCGATGTGCGGCTCAAGATCTTATTTATTCAATGCAGTCGCCCGGTTAACCAAGACTGCTGCCATACTCATGATTATACGCAATACGCGTATATAGGTAACATGTACACAGCATAACATGGCATCACTAACGCCGTTTAAAGATTTTGAAACAAAGTTTACATCATTACGCAATTAAATTGATGACTTTATTATTTATAACTGATTTAGTACAATACTGTATATTTACTGCGAAATATTATTCAGAACTTTTTAACGTTGATATATTATCAGAAAGCGATCATTGCCAAGGCAGAATTAGACATGTTCAGACTGGAATCTGAACAGTGAAAGGTTCTAGGCAGCATAAGGAGTTCTATCGTCACCTATACCATACCAATTCCTGCAGAGTATAAATGATTTGGTTATATCTAAAATATAGGGAAAATTAATAGGTAAAATATATCTAAAAACTAGTTATGGTAGTAGCCTCAACTTATATACTGTACTCATGATAATTTACAAACAATCGGGAGCTGCAGTATTTCTAATAAATCTTGTATATTATGCCAAGGTTAATCAGTAGTACTGTACATACATTTCAATCCTTAGACAGACGTAACGATACCAAATAAATGCAATCATGAAATTTTACGCTACCATGCCAGGTAAACCTAAGACAAAATACGTTTACGTAAAGTTTAGGAGAATACAAAATCCTTGAAAGGTATGATTATAAATAAGACATTTATTGTCTCAGACTGACGTGATATCAACATTTAGTCATATTCTGACAGGGATAACTATAGCAATCTTCGTCATCATTGATAATAGCGATTACATATAGAATAACTAAGCGGGAGTTTCATCGTACACACTTAGCACAACAGGAGTCACGAGAGTTACTCGTAACGAAATTACCTTATTACATCTAATTAGGAAAATCGAGGAGTCCAACTTAACAGTTCAAAAATAATCAATCTTGACAGCGAAGACAAAAAGGGAGACCATATCTGACTGCATTAAAAGCAGTCTCTTGCTCTAATGAAATTCTTGACCAAAATAAAATAGTTACAGAATTTGCATTAAATTATTTTATATTCTAACCGTAGCAGTCAGAAAATAATTATATAATTAGTGCGTCAGGCCTATCGATTTCCAAAACATTCATGATTTATGTATAATATTTATACATATTCAGATGTCCCTAATCTTTTTCATCTTGTGCATCTAAATAATTGTAACAAGCTAGTCTTATTCATCGATTGCATTAATACCTTGCTTGTCTAAATTGGCTTTGCCGCAGTAGGTACCGTACAATTAAGTTCTCCTTCCAATTGTTGATAGACCTAAGTGCATATAATAATGGAGATAAAAGATCATAGCTCACGTAAAGCGTAAAATTTACTTCACTTATGTTTAGAAGTTAGCGAATCTAGACATAAATAAAGACTAGAAGCTAAAATGACAATCACAATTCAGTTTCGAAGAAAATAATTATCTTCACGTTAAATAATTCTGAGAGATTCCCATCATGATATTATCATCCTGTGATTGTATAGATCAGATTCTTGCTGTACCGTATTCAAAAAGTAACTATAAGCAGTGATACCTGTTTTGCTGGGAATTGACCATGCTTGAATAGGTCCAGTTCCATGGTAGCAGGAGTATCAATATATAATGTGCTAGATCAATATTTTCAAATTAACTCCAATACATCAACTGCCTAACTAGTAAACTTAATTTAATATAGAAAAGAAGTCAGAGTGGAGTGAAATTCTCTGTCACTATAAAACTCAGATTGAACTATGCCTTCAAAATTATCATCATTTTGACTTTTCTACCTCTATAAAATTTCGTATCTAAGTACTGACTAGACGCGTGAGTAAGTTACCTGTTCATAATTCTCATCATGATTTATAGGTCTTCATTTTTAGCGCTTTCTCTTGATGTTTCGAGAATTTCAAATGTGACCAGCTAGAGGTGGATTCATAAATGGCTCACTAGATAAATAAATGTTACACGTATAATAATCATGAGTCAGTATAACCCAAAATAAAAATATTATAATGGACGTTTAATTACACGATGCAGTAGTAACGTCAATGCAACTGGTTGTATTAACTCGGCAACATTATTAACTGAAAAAAAAAATTTATCAGGCTTAATCATGCAATACAGTATGCATAATAAACTTGTACGAAGCATATCTAGAGATTTGCAATCATAAAGCAGTCCTTCCCCAAAAATTGAATTTTATGGTAATTTGCATTGCGATACTGTAATTAGCCTTAACAATTCTTGCTACACTCAAGAATAGTGAAAAAGGCGCATGCGGTTGCAAAGAAAATTTCGAAGATTTTCATTTTAGGTTCAGAGATCTTGGTGGCTAATGATTTCGTCATCTGAGCCATCATGAGTAGCAAATATGCTGTCATCATTCTTTTCCATAACTATCTTACTATTTTCAATCGATTCAATCAAATTAAGAGATTTCAGAAAGTTTATTACCGGCACGGTCCCATCACGTCTACCAAATTAAAAGTGCAAAGACCAAAGATCACGCCAGCTCATTCTGCTTAGGCTAGCAAGAAATATTTTCAAATTAGAATACCAAAATAATCCGTTTTTAAATACGGCTATTCTCATTATTACATGATTAACAAGAAACTGATGAGCTAAAGATAAACGTTTTCAGATAGGAGCGAAAGATTGACATTGTACACAACTATCATCAAGACATTACAGTGTACATTGTACAAGTTACAAGCACGTACTGATATTCAGTTGTAACATTTCCATCATCATTTACGCTCTACATCAGTATAATACTGTATACTGCAAATACGACTAATCATGATAAATGAAAAACAAAAAAATTAAAGAATTTACAAGAATTTATCTAAAGTGGTAAACCAAAGAAGGACCTCGTTCAAATTGAACGGATACCCTACTCCAGGAAGCAGCTAAAATAGTTACGTAAAAGTTTGCATACTTAATAAAAATTGTATAATACTGACAGATTACCTTTTTACGTATAATGCATTAGCATCGTATAGATTTGATGAGGATTTATAACGACCGATATCGCACGATGCATTGCCGGAGAGAATTCTCGCAATTTCGATTAATTTTGAAGACGCTGAATGACAGTTTAGTTTGGAAGCACGCGTACTTTTAAAATTAGTGACCAAGCTTTGACCATGCTCTGTCAAGAGGTCATATGATCGCAGATGTCATTGCTGTACTGAGCATAACTGTACAGTATCAATAACAGTACTGTACTGTACACTGTACTGTACAGTACAACTAATTTTACCGTACAGTGTGTACTGTACAGTACTGTACTGTACTGTACTGATATGCAGCTCACTCACAAGGTTTTCTCTTAGTACTGTACAGTGTACAATACTGTACTGTACTGTACAGTACTGTATGCAGCTCACTCACGAGGTTTTCTCTTAGTACTGTACTGTACTGTACAATGTACCCTGTACTGTACAGTACAGTAGTACAGAAGACTCAGACGGCGAAGTGTACTGTACAGTACAGTACAGCACTACAGTGTACAGTATCTGTGTACAATGTACTGTACTGTACAGTACAGTATGAAATATGTTATGACATCGATTGTCACGTGCCTTTACACACTAAGTCACAGGACGTTTACTAGTACTGTATAATCGATTAGTCTTGCGGTATATCTATCTGTTGCGTCGATACAGTAATACAGTAATACAGTCTAGTACGGTAGTATGAATTTGTAAACTATAACAGATGTCGAGAAAAATGTAATAACCAATGCAATAACTGTTCGGTACGGTACAGTACCGTATAAATCCATCGCAAAAGGCAGTCGAATCCCTTTCGAAGTCACATTCGTAATTATTGCATTACTGGCAATATGGCGTCTAAAAGTGAAGGGATTCAGCAACTTTTACAAGCTGAAAAAAAGGCTAGTGAACTTGTAAATGACGCAAAGAAACGTAAGTAACTAAACAGGTACACCTTTAAGGTTTTATTATGCCCAAGTACTAAAATGCTGGAATGGTTAAGTTTAAAATTTTCGAGGCAAAATAAGGCATATGTCAAATCATGGACTTCGATATACTTTATACGCGTATATATTATGTCGTTTGTAGAACTCGTGTTACCAAATTACTAGGCTAGATATCTATTAAATCGTAAATTTATTATTAAGCTTATGAAATCGATAGTGTGGCAATTTATTTTAAATAATGGTAGTGCTTTCTTTGTTGATGTCAACCTTTAGGAAAGACGAGAAGATTAAAGCAGGCGAAAGAGGAAGCACAATCTGAAATAGAAAAATTTAAAGTTCAACGTGAGCAAGAATTTCAAGCTAAAGTGAAAGAGGTGAGTTCTTGAGCACTATAACATCAGAAAACCAAGTATTCCGCTGTTTTAAGCGTGAATTAAGCCTAATATTTAAATAGGCCACCAGCATTATCAAACTTTGGTTCTATTTCCTGATAATATCGGATTTTGATAATGCTATAGAAACATTTGTTACGCTTAGTGCATCACATCTCTCTAGCTCCTGCAGTATAATTGAAGCCCAAGATTACTCACTCTAACAACTTCACTGATGAGAATAACTTATGAATACTTTACTGCGGGTTGAATAATAAATGCATCATCCAGTTTCATGTATTTGAAAGTAATGATTGTTTAACAAATAAAGTATAACTCACCTTTAGGCTGTTAGTAATAAGAATTATTAGCATTAACATATTTTAAATATAATATTTTAAACGGGTGTTTATCGCAATATTGTCTGCTTATAATTATTAACTAAGTTACTAGTGTCACATTAGAAAATGGCAAATATAGAGATAAAATTCGCAAACTCTAACATTTACGATTTACGCTTTCGTTGCAAATATTAAAATCATAAATTAACTGCTTTGCAGTTTCATGCATTTCTCTTGCATAGCGCTCAGTCCAATTTAGAATAGATATTTTTATGTTCAACTCTGTCATGTTTTCCTATTTAAAGTTACACGCTAGTTCTCGTTGATGGTTATATCGTTATTAGAATATATATTGCCATTTACACAGTTGAGACATGAAGATAAAGATGAGTATTGAGGAGTTACATTGTCATTATAATTATATTATTTGCATTCCAGAGTTCCGGATCAAAGGATGATTTTGCCATCAAAATTAAAGATCAGACCCATCAAAAAATCAATGATCAAAATCGTCTCGCTGCTGCAAATAAAAATAAAGTAATAGATCGCGTCCTATCCTTGCTCTACGATATCAAACCAGAATTACATGAAAATTATCGCATAAATTAAAACACTTCGCGTGTTCAATAAGCACCAAGGTTCACTAGATAAAAATATTAGATATTTACAATTCGTATAAGTGCATTATTGCTTATGCAAGACTCTTCTATTTGACTAACAATGTACTAACATAAGGTAGATGAACACTAAATCGTTTTACTATTATCTAAACCGAGAGCTCAAAACGTGCAGCTCTCTGGATTGAAATAAGTATTAAGACATCCTTTGTGTTACGAGACTAGCTTGTAGTGTGGCTGTCTATTCAGCTTCGGTTATATAAACTCGTAGTAACAAGAAATAATTCAGCTATCTACTAAGCGGCTTGGCTTTAAACATATCCATATAGTAACATTGGTCTTGCTTCCATTGTTAGATTATTATTGTATTTAAATATTCTCATAATTTTTGATCTGCATGATGTTTATAATTTTCATAAAGATTTGATAATATCTTGGTTATCTCTTAAAGTACATCAATAATTGAAATGTTAAATACAAATTTAAAAAAATTCATATCATACGATTCATAAATTGTGTGGCCTATACCATAATAACTGACAATGTGCTAAGCGCAGTGTACCTGGAGCCTTCTCTTTTTTACACATGTTCTAGCCATTCTACATTTATGTAAACTAATTGGTTTGTGATCTTGTAAAGTAAATTATACGGTACAGTAACTTTCAGTCGCACGCCCATATAAATGAATGAATTTACATTGATTAAATTATTCTTAAAGTAGGTGCAATAACTAGTCAAAATACCAGCTACGTTGATGACTGGTTTTATACGGTACTTGTACTTCATCAATTTAGGAAATAGCCCTAAGTCTAACGCCATGCAAAATCTTCGTACCTTCGTATTGGACTCTGTTGCGTTACCCATGATTCCTGCATTATTTATAAATCGATATAGCGTAGAATCCAATAGTGGCACATGTAGAGTGTAGATATGTACTGTACAAGTGACTTCTACTTTAACAGTAAATCACAGACACTAAACTACAGTACTGTAAGTACGTAAGAACTCCTTGTGGCAGATGTTACTATAAGTTTGGTAACGTAGTGAATTGTTTGAGTCATTTATCTTACTTTAATATGAAGGTAAAGTTGACTACTTGACTGGATTATACGAGTATAAAAAGAAAAAAATGAATACTGTCAGTAGATCATAGAGATACGATACTGATATCGATAGATCTGTGATGCTGTAGACCTGTAGCATAGATCTATTAAGTTACAGTTAGTATATTACTGTAGTCCATCATGCAAATGGGTCTTTTTTACTACTACTAATATTGTGATGGCCGCTGTACTGTATGTACTATTTCCAAGCTTCGTCAAACACTATGGAGTACAGTATGGACACTATTGGACAGTAATAATGAAAGTGCCGTACAGTACTGTTTTATTTACTGTATTTACAATGACCAAGAAAAAGTGTGTAAAGTATTCGACATTGCCGTCTTTACTGATGCGCAGATGCAGTACTATATTTTTGAACCCTGATAACTGTAACAAATCAAAATTTAATTTATTTATTTATTTTATACTGTACTGTAGTGCTGATGCATTTGGTAGTAGTGCATTCCGAGGGTATTGGTAGTGACAGTGTGCATTCAGCCATCGCTTGAATTCTTCTAGGTGGCAATTGAATGCTCGTAAATGCATAGAAGTACACAATACATCGCAGTAGACAAATCTTCAAGTACTCCGCATTTCGCGGTAATCCACAGCACCATTAACAGTAAATCAAAATGGACGAACAAGATGATGAGCTCGGGGTAGACATGGAAATCGATGCAGATGCTGATAGTGAATCAAAAATGGCTAGTGGACAGCGTGAAGAAATTTTAAATGATACCTTATCTGCTACGGAAGGAGACAAAAATTACAAATTATTCATCATAGTGGATACGAATATTTTGTTATCTCATTTAGAAATGGTAACCTTGTTAAAAGACAAACAAATCAAAGGTAACACTGACGGTATACGGTACATCATACATTCACGGACCACAAGGCATGATACAGTACTATGCTTTAGGTTAAGCTTAGAAACTTCTTTCGTAGTTCGGAATGACATTTACAGTAATTCTGAATTAATTAATTCGCCATACATGAACGCCGTACGCGTATAGCAAGATATGCGTAGGTGCAGGCGCTGGCAGTGCATGTACAGCACTACGTTAGTAACGTATTTTAAATTGATTTGATCCATTATCTAGGTTATGGATACCCAGTGTTAGTCATTCCTTGGATTGTTGTGGAAGAATTAGACGCGTTGAAAACTTTACGAAGAAATACGACCCAAAAATTTTCGAAAGGAAAGGACAAGAGCTGCGAATTAAGTCTAGAGACACATGCGAGGACCGCTATAAACTTTCTCTACAAATCTTTCGCCTTAAACCATCCCAGAATTCATGGTCAAACTCTAGATGAGGTATGCATGCTGTAGTGCATAGACGTAAAATAATACTCGTGCAATAATTAAAATTTAATTCAGTTATCACTGGATTTATATTTGATCAAATTAAGCTTCTGTTTGCTATAAGTGTGTATGCTTCCTATACAAATTGTACTGTAAATCTCGTAAATAGTCGTTTACTATGTAAGAAGTTAGACGGTTGTAGGATGTGGAATGAAGACAGACAGTCTTCGGTAATTTAGAAGATGAGCCAACTTATGTAATAATGTGCAGTTTTACAGGGGATTGAAGTTCTTGTTGTATTATTTTGAGATACTTTATCGACAAATACCTAATTTTTGCTACATTTTACGCTTTCCAACGCAGATTCAAGAACAGAAGACACTATTTGCTGCGTCCACCAATGACGATTACATCCTGCAATGTTGTTTGTTCTATCGTGGAAAAAGTGAGGGATTCTGATTACTGTATATTATAAAGCTAATTTAATTCATCACTAACGTCTTACGACTTTCTTTAGTTAATAATCCTATGGAAGCTTCTTCTAAAAAGAACACGGTCGTTTTATTTTCAAATGATAAAAATCTTTGTACTAAAGCCTTAATCAATGGGATAAAAACATTTAATAGCAAGACAATATTGGAGCTGGTATATCTTGGAATTAATGTGTTTCAGATTGAAGAAATTGATACCCTTACCATGCAAGATGTACACAGTATCGAAATGTTGGAAGTTGGCGAATTTCCTAACGATGCTAATACGTGTATGAGGACTTCTAGTGTACGCTGGCCATGGTTATACTCGTATATCACCTAGAACTATGATAACAATATATTAAAGTTTATAAATGAAAATGCATAAATAGTTTAACTCATATATTACTGTGCTTGATTAATTTTATTGTAGTGTCAAACTGAAGACCATACAATCAGTTGGCATGCAGTTGTTGATAACGTCCGTAGCGTAATTGAGGAAGTAGTACCAGAATTTGTAACCAGTGAATTTAGAAGAGTATTCGATGATACATGGATGGATATTGTCGCTGTTAAACCGCCATGGAATTGTTATGAGTTGCTATATTTATTACAAAAGCACTGGATAGCTGTTTTTGGAAATGTTCTTTCAAGAGATTCCAAGCAATTCATTGATTTATTGCAACAGAAATTTAGGAATAACGGTAAGTATCTCTTACATCAGTAACCCTAGGTTATTATCACATTCATCATACAGACGACTTCCTTTGTTACATTCTCTAGTTGTATACAGTGTAGTACGAGCATCTTTGTCTGTAGCCAAGCAGCTGAAGTTAATCTATAATTATTGCCGTTGCTAGTTGTATCACCTATACGTCAGAAGAATATTTTATAGTAAAAATTTCCTTTCTATTTCTCGCTTTCAACTTTGCTACGGTTGAAGCAATGAGCATATAATTGTTGTAATACATTAATTACTATTAATCTGTATTTTTACATGCTTTTAATTATTATAATTTTTCATCATTGGTTAACAATATCCACTTTAGGACTAGATATAGGTAGTTCCGATACCAAAGATATATTAGTATCATGTATGGAACTAATGAAGTATATTAACTGCCGACCGGAGTATATGACTATATCGCAAAAAGGCATAAAAGTTATAAAACTCTTACAAGAAAAGATGGTTGTAGAGAATAGTAATCAATATACTGATGATTACAACTCGTCGTTACTCGCACAAAGTTGCAATGATTTCTTAATTCCGGATGCCCAAACTACAGGATTTCCCGGCTTTAATCATGAAACTAGTAAAACTAGGATTATATTTTACCAGATTTGGGATAGTGCTAATAACTTATGGTAATCTTTCCTTAAATTGATTAGAGATGCTATGTATTTATTTTAACGTTTCCGTAGTGTTTCCTCAAGCTATTTTTATTCAATAGCGATGTGTGTTGACCAGTTATTTAATTATTGATAGTAATCTTCTTTCATCGCAACTGAAAGTTATCGATGTGAATAGAGAAATTTCTGAAACTCCTTTTAATGGTACTTCTTTGGGAGCAACGCTTTACACAAGGCAGATAATTGATCGTCTTCATTCGCTTATTAGGGCACTTATCAGGTATACAGTATGTCTGATGCAATGACATAACACTTGCGGATATGCTGCCCATTGAGTTATTTAATCCATTTGTATACTATCTCCTATACTTAGAGTTCGAAACGTAAATGATAGTTGTACAAAAGAAGTCAAAAGGGAAATTTTTAAAGAATTGCAGAAAGCTCTTCTTGCCTATACAACATTGGCAAGTTATGCTAGATTAAGTTTTTTTATTATTGATATACATATAAGAACAAATATACTGAATGATAAAAACAATTAAATCTCACATTAGGCTTACAATGAAGAATTTAACAATATTTCTGTAGATGAAATAGTTGACCTATATGATGATATCAAGACCAGGTAAGTATCAATCATGCAAACAACTAAACTGCCACAATTCAATGTAAGCAAGGTTCTGTTGATTAACATTTGACCTTTATAACTAGACAGTATTTTCAACAATATTTGGATAAATTTCAAATGTTACTTGATAAAATTAATCACTTGATTGGAACGGTGGATGAAACTAACAGAAATTAGTCAGGAGCCGTACCCTCCAGGTAAAGACGCTGTGTCAAATATTTTATTTTGCTATATGAATGCTGAAGTTATGGTCGCTGCTATCAATAATGTTCCACAGTTTTGATTTGTCTGGATCAAATTTATCTACTTTAAGATCCAAGAAATGAAGAATAAAGATGTTTGATAAGGAATTGTGTTCATGGGCATATTATATTTCACCTCAAAGGAATAAACTTTTGATAAAATCTGTTGATATTGACTGATTTAAATAATGTATCATCACACAAATGAATGTATGAGAAATAAACGTTGTAAATACAATCTATGTAACAACTACTGTGGTTCTGCCGTTATTATTTAACAAAAGTTCGATACAGTATAACTACATCATTTTCCAATTATTGTAATAAAATGGATTTTGCAAATATTGAAAGTCTCCAGGTACGCGCAATTATCTGAATGCCTTACTAATTTGTGTTTCTACTTTACTAAAACTATGCATAATTATATAATCAATAACAACGCATTATGCTTCGCTCGCAGTCTTCTACCCTGACAAATCATCAGTGAATTCGGTCGCCAGAACTTTTACTAGCAGCACTATGACAGTTTAACTCGTAAATATAGCATAAGTAACTATAGACGAACGCGTACTAAAGTTTGGATTCATGTTTAATGCATTGGATCATTTCGTTTTTTCATCGTTTATGACGCTCATACCACGTCAAAATGATATTGACTTCAGGCAAACTCTACACACGACTCGTATACATTATTATTATATCTGATCTACTTTTTTTAAATTGTATGTCGCTGTGTCTTCGTCGACCTTCACTGAAACATAGTTATATGTAAAAACCACCTATGGTACTACAACTTCACTTTTATTCATTGTAAGTTGGCTGCCAGTATTCGTAGAAATAGGACTTCCAAGTATTTCTATTCCATGCCGGGAATTGCTGCTGCATATCTTAGTAATGTATTTACTGTATATAAATGCCGTTAAGTTTAAAATATGATAAAACGTACTGCACTGTGCAGAACACAAAGTACTACTATTATGAGATACCTTGGCAATACTACTTGCAGTGTCTCGCATAGAGCGCTGGATGCACATTTAATTAATTAAGTAATTCTCTTTCAAAAAATTTGCCGAAAACATACAGTATTAATATAATGCGTCTGTACTCTTGTACATAGTACACACTAATCAGAAAATAATCTGACATTTCACCACAACAGACTTTACTAGCTAAAATTTAGAGCTTTATTAACAGACAGGTACCATTTACGTACTGCACCACATAAATTACTGCAAAAATTATACATGGTATACAAATTTCTAAAGCTTCATCCTACTACTGTCAAGCACTGGATACAACAAGCTACGTGATAAATATGAAAAGTGAGTTGGGAGTACTGCTTATAGCTATCAGTTACCGTATTATATACGAAAAAAAGTTCACAGAGCAATGCTTAATAACTATAAAAATCATAATATGAAATTCCATTCCAGGCACAAATATCGAATCATGAATCACAATCATAAATCATTGTGACTGTCTTACAATGTCACGCTACCGGAACAATATAAAGTTCACAGTACAGTAGATAGTAAAGTACCAAGGCCGCACTTTCCTCAAAAAGTACCGCATCAAAATACAAAGCAGGTAGAATTTTGTCAGTCGCTCTACAGACAGTAAAATGGCTATATTATACACTATAAATTGTATTATACTATATATAAAATACAAGCTATTTTAGTAATATTTAGAAGTAATTAAAACTTTATAAATCATGAATATGGTAGTAAGAAGCCCTACTCCAAAGCTGCAGTACTTTCCGAATAAATAACCTTTCACGCTCGATACTGAATGAATAATACGAGCTAAAGTAAATATTCGGAAGCAGTATATACTTATATCATACGGTGGATCCGTTAAAACATATAAAAATCCAACAAATAGGAAAGAAATGATGTTTTCTAAATCATTTCTATGGGCCCTACAATAAATGATAGAGTAATTAGTACATTATAGCATATTAAACTTTCATTTCAGCAGCAGATATTCCTCGAGTTTGGATCAAATCCACTTCGTAATTGATACGATGTATGTGTGCGGTAGTATGTGCAGATTAAGCATCTTTGAGTAAATCTAGCTGGAGTACTTTGGTAAGCGAAATCACAAGTTGTGCATTATACTGAAGTGATCACAAGAACACAAGTGATACAAGTATAAATGTGTATTGTAATGTACATTATAATATAATTACAGTACTGGGCATGATGACCTGCTACAAGTAATAATAATAAACTGCTCTTTTAGAAGGATGAGAAGCCTACGATGACTCCAGATGATTATACTATACACACCAGTACAATAAAAATGGTAATGTTTTTCGAATATGTAGAGGCTGCAATTACAGGTAGAGTACAGTACTACGTTTTACGAAAATTTTTGCAAACCTCACAAAGCGTTCTACATCTGGATGTTTGACGTTGACATTTTTTTTGGATGGTTCTATACCAAATAAGATGGCATCTTCTGGATTTGAGAAGGCCTAGTTCGTCAGAGAATATTAAAGGAATTCATCAATATGTAAACCCTACATGTTGCCATTTTGAGTATGTGCAATGTGCATTGTACAGAATGTTACATAGGCCTCTGAAATATGTAAGTAGGTGGCGGTTGAATACTGAATACTGTTCTTCAACTTTAATAAGTAGAGTACTGTGTATGCAGAGATTTCTCTTGAATTCGTACACTGCGCTAGATTAACTAAAGGAATTCGTTAATTGCTGGGATTACGTAGCTACTTACGGTATTCTTTTGCCTGAGACGGCCTGTATTAACTGCCATTGTCAGGACCTTTAGGACGATGATAACAGCATAAAATGCGTAAGCATTGAAAACCGGATTGGAAAATGATAATAACTGATTTTGCTCATCCATCTTTCTGATCTTATCCACAGTTGTGAAATGTACAGTACAGTGCAAGGTATACTGTACTGTATTGTAGGTACAGTACAGTACAGTACTGTACTGTCTACTCATTTACGGTGTAATATACTGTACAGTAGTACAGTGCAAGGTACATTGTACTGTATTACCGGATAAGAAACCATAAAGATTTCCTCTGCCTCTGAGTGCAAAATACTATACGGTGTACAGTACTACAAGTCTACAACTATTCTACAACTGTACAGTACTTACGCTAAGTAGCTATCGAATTTTCCCACATCTCCCTGAGTAATATCACATATTTACCAATATGGGAAGAAAGAAGGTAAGCAATTGAATGCTTTGCTCGAAGTATGCTCTAAAGTGAAGTAGCATTGCACTTTCATGTCTCTAAGGCCGATTTTGTGAGCATTTTCATATACTGTACTAAAGTTCTTGTGCACCTTGCACTCCATTGCATTAATAAACCTAAAGTGTGGTGAGATATTTCGATTCTTGACGATTACAATTCTTAAAAGTTAGAATAATTTTATTCTGTCAGTTACTAATAATACAACCGATTCAGCTATGGATTTAATTTATCCAGTTAATGTAATCATCGAGAATGGTGTGCATTAAATGATACATATTTTTAGCTGCACTAGTGATAGCTTGCCTGTTAACAAGTATTTCACTTACACGATTTCAGAGAGTTCACGCTGGTAATGAGAATTCTGGTGATTTAAAAACCCCTCGAACATTTGTTTTACAAAATGGTAAGATAGGCAGCAGTGGTCTTAGGTTAATGAAAGATTTAAGAATGGTCATGGAGCCCTACACCGCTAGGCGATTGAAGGTACCATAGTCTTAAATTTCAGGAGAAATTAAAATGATTACCTACGATTTAGTCAAAACGTATTGGTCTGGTTTCAAACTGCCTCAAGATTTGGAAAATCCACGCCAAATTAAAATGCAATAAAAAATATTGAATTAAACCAAGAAATACTATAGCTCTAGCCTAAAAACAAACTTGTATTAGAAACTCTCTAAATAGTCTACGTTAAGCAGTGTTTTTGCCATGCAATATGTTTTATTATAGAATCAAATTTTGTAGTAAAAGTAGACTTAGTGTATAATGTTATTACTGATCGTGCAGTGCAGTACGCATGTATTATGTTATTCTTAGTAAAATTTCCTAATTTAATGCAATACTTAAAATTAGTATCCGTATTCCATTAGATGTAACTATTAGTGATAGTAATTTTCCTTTTTTAACTCATTTTACACTCAAACCGCCGAATCAATGATTCAAATACCCTAATTTATCGAAATTTGAATGTAATTTGCGTATATCATTAAATTTCCCATGGCTATAAGCGACATAGCATGTACCAGAGAATCGCAAGCAATCGACGTTATTTACACTTAATTGCTTACGTATACAGTATCTTAGTGCGTTCCTATACTGTCTGTTACTCCTATTTTTAATTTGGATTCTTAGATCTCCTTTCGGTGTGTGAATTAACCAACTATATATTACTAATCGATTTATCTGCGTATTTATACACTTTTACTGTATCAAGAATAGAATTAGTAGATACGAATTGACGTGATTTATTAACTGTTTTTCCTTTGTTGCGCTAGGTTCAACATAAGAATTCATTAAAAGATTTCATTCATGCTGCAGGTCCGCTTGGAGTGACTCATTTCTTAATCATATCTAGGACTGATAAGGGTACTTACTTGGTATGTTTGTTGCTAGCAAAAGCCTGGAAAGTAAACTGTCGGAAACAAATTTATTCACTCACCTGTGATAAAGTTTTGTAATTACATCGCTATATATGCTCGCATACTAACCGTTAACGCAACAGCGATAGTAAATGTTATGCGTCAATTAAAATTAGAATTTAAGTAAAAGTATAACGATAGTAAATGTCGTTTATTTTACCTATGTAAATGGTATTTAAACATATATTTAATATCAAACCTTGTTTGACAAGATTTATCTTTATATCCAGAAAATCGCTAAATTACCGCAAGGACCAACGATCACTTTTCGTGTGGATTCGGTATGTTTCGATCCCGGAATGCGTGTCATGTGCAGGCTGTAGATATTACAATATGATAAGCATTTGTATTGTCATACACCCTTATTATACCAGAAATTACAACAACCTGCTATTAATGTAAACATTCATTCTATATCTGGTTTGTACGAAATTTTAGTACACCCATGCTAGAGATATTATCTCATATCTATCAAAGCCAAAGACTGAAAAAATCCAGTATAAGCATCATCCACTGGTATTGATGAAGCAGCTTTCATAAATACGTGTATGTCAAGGTGTTATGACTGTATTGCCTAATATTCCTAAACTTTCCCGTTTTTGCCATTAGTTGGTATTGAGTGGATTTAAACCAGACAATTTATCGCATACCCTGACTGTAACTATGTTTCAGAATATGTTTTCTTCTATAAATGTGGAAAAGGTATTGTAAACTATATTTAACAAAATTTAAAGCATTTTACTCGATTTTCGTGGAGAATTATTCTCCATTACAGCTATAGATTGCATTCTCTAATGGTTCAAATTTTTCGACAAATTATGATTTTCAAGGTCCAACTAGTAAATATCAGAAGATGTGTACTTATAAACTTTAATCACGGAAAGAATACAATTGATTTTCGACATTAGTACGTAACCTACTATATATCTTTCATTTAGTATATTTGTATGGATTTTTAAGAAATTAAATTTGATTTAAAATTCAGCAATATCCATGCCGCCCCGGTCGGTATCAGTAAAAACCTTAGAAAGTTACTGAAACAAAAAATTCCGAATTTGAGCGAACTGAATGACATTAGTGACTATTTTGCAAGGCATGATAACGAAGTTCTCTAACGAATTTTTGATCATTTTGTACTAGCAGTATCAGTAATAACCGAAATTTTTGTTATCTGCGTATGTTTTAAAATAGAAATGGTTACGGTAGTGAAAGTGAAATGGATGATGCAGGTCCTGAGTCCCATGTTACCTTACCGCAGGCCATTTCTGGTAGAGGAAATATCAAATCTCAGCAGAGCGCTATCCGTTTAACCGAGGTTTCATATCGTAATGTATAATATAATATATTAATTATTACGTTGACTTCGAAAATAAATCTGTACTAAATGCTATTTAGCTAGGACCTCGAATGACTTTTAATCTAATTAAGATTGAAGAGGGGGTGTGCACTGGGAACGTCTTGTATCACCAATATGGTTAGTTGCGTTATACGCGTAATATTAATTCCCTGAATCCGTAAAGTTAATGACTTATCTAATCAGGTCTAATCTAATGCATATTATCATAATGGATTACATTATCAGTTACGAAAACCAAATTTGAAATTGATGCAATAAAATCGAAATTGGAAGGGAAAAAGTAATTTTTATGTTCTATTAAAGTTCGCCTCAGCAGATTACCAGAATATGAAATCATACAATCTAATTATTCTAGGAAATTGAAACTTGAGCGACGTAACCAGCAGGAACAGAACCTATTAAATAAAAAGTTGAAAAAGGAAGCTCACCGGTAATTGTTAAGCCATTAATATCATCAGCGGGTATCTCATATACTCTCGAGCGTTACTAAAGTGAATATGAACGTTGTAGTGCGAGATCTTTAGCAGGAATGAAAGGTCTTAAGAATATGGACAACTCGGTGGAGGATAATCTTGCAAGCGAGAAACTGCCGGCAACAGGTTATTAACGTTTAATATTTTGCTTTCATTTCTGGTAACTTTATGGCTTGATAATAATATTAATAGTACTTTCCTGGGACTCTATTGCATCTATTCAAGATTTAGCTCCAGATACTGACGATAATATAAAAGCGGCTGCTCCGAAAAAAAGAAAGACAAAAGCAGCTATTCAGGCGTTCTTTTCTAAGAGACACAAAAGAATGCGAGACCGTTCTGTGTGAATGTACCTTTTAAGTTGCTACTTTATTCGTAAAAAGCAAGCCGATTCTTAATAAAGTAAAATTTATAGCAAGTTTGGGCTAAAACTATGTATTGCTTACTACCAATGAAAATTTGATGAATCTATCAAATTTCTATTAATTTAAAAATTTAATAAGACAGTGGATTAAGTAATAGTTCTAGACGGTACTAGCAGTAAATGTAGAATCCCTACTTATATACTCGTAAGGTTGCAAGCTGCGTGACGATAGATAAATAATATATATCATTATGCAGTAGCTAAACGAGAAGACTTTGCGCCTAAGATTTTGACTGAGTTTTGCGCAGCCGGGCATGTTCCTGCAATCTAAAAATACATAACGCAATAATGAGTATCACGCGCAAGTTTATTTCTGAGCCACCAATGATAGAGTAAGATCGAAAGAATTTACCTCAATCCATTAATTTTGATAAAACCTCCGGCATCTTGTGGATCATAACTTCCAGAAACATCCATACTGACGTAGTAGGTACAAATAGATAAAAGATTTTTAACTCAAGGTAGAATGTTAACGTTTACTCGTAAATGTAAACCAGTGTATAATCTGAAATACATGATAACACTGCTCCGGTATGACTGCTCACCTTACTAGTTCTTCATTATATAATGACATATCACCTCGACGACATTTAATGTATACCTGTTATTATTAGACAAAGTGCAACGAATATCAATACCGTGATAGCTTAGGTTCAGTTTTTTATCTCGAAACTTACAATATATCGCAACTTTCAATAGCTTTGTTACATATTGTTAAAATTATGATTACCGAAATATTGCATAAGTAACAATAGTTATATCATATAACCAGAAATCTGCGGTATTACCTGTCCTTTAAAAACTGAAACACGTACAGTTCCAGCCACGCATTCTTGACTTTTATCAATGCAAAATCTGAAAAAGTAACAGTTTTCAAAAATTTAGCGAGTCTAAATCCTTATTAGAAAATCAAATAACTACGTAGTACGTATTTAAGCAAGGCGAATATTGATTCCAAGGCATAAATAATTAAGCCTTTTTGTGTAATATACGAGTACAGGTAGTGTATTTAGCAGACCTCGTAAAAATGCATTCTGGACTCCACCACAGACCTACATCAGAAATTCATCATAAAAATAAAAAAGATCCATTACATTTACTGCACCTGCAATCTGATACAAGGTTAAATTTTTACCATGATAAACTTGTTCAGATAACTTGATACTCAAACCTTGCTTGATTTTTCTTAACTCCTGAAATTAAATTGGAATTTCATTGCAGAAATAAATACCAAACTCTTACGCTTCCGGTATATGATCTTTGATAAGATACCTGATTATTATAATAATTACTGCTTACCTTATCCAAACAAATTGCTTCAATATCAAGATGTGCAACATGTAGAATTGTTGCGGCTCGCGTTTCGTAAATTCCCCTCGATTTCATTCCAATAAAACGATTTTCCACAATATCTATTCTTCCAATTCCATGGCGAGTTCTAGAAGGAAATAGAAAATTGCGCTAATATTATAGCCATACGAGAAGACGAAAAATTGTTCAGTATCCACCAAAAAGCGACACAATTTTGCAAACCATATTGATAATACAGTATATAATTGTTATTACTTTTATCACTATAGCAGTTTACCCGATCGTGTTTAAGTAAAGGAATAGCTGCATAGGATTTGAATAAACATCTCCAGAATTAACATTTTTCACAGAGATCGGAATCCCTTGAAGTCAATGTTTAATTTCAGAAAATTCCGTTAGGTAATACAGTAAAATAAACAATCAGCCTTTTTAAAAATACTGTATTGCCAAATTAACAAATGTACATATAGTAACAATATTTAAAGAGAAATTACCAGCTTTAAACTCAATATCCAGAACGTCAGGCTAAAGAATGTATATAATAATGGAAGAAATTGAATACTATGATCAAGAATTACAGTATGTACTATACAGCACAGGAGATATGATTCTAACTGTTAATTATTCATGAAATTTTATGATAAATAGCGAATTACACTATACTATTTAAAAATCTAAATTAACAAACTTCATTGGGAGCATCTTTCGGGTCAACTGTCGTCTTGTATAAATCATCCGGAGCGATTTCCTGCAACAAATGAAGGTAATTAAAATAGCCCTTCAAAATTTTGCTGTAGGTATGAAGTCATTCTTACTCTATATGAACCAAAAATTAAATCACTCTATGCTTACCCATGGATTCTCTAGTAACCCAGCTTCGTAACTTCATACATATAAAATATGAAGGTGAATAAGTTTTAATATATTACCTTAGAAAATGTAGCTGCATAAATATAGCAAAAATGTCCCAATAGCTCGATATAATAACTTGAGGAGACTCTTAACGCCATTTCTACCTTTACGCAATGCTTACATTTTAACTTTTACCATTCAGTAATCGATCAACATTTTTCAAAGCATCATAATAACTATTACTGCTTTTGTTATAAAAGTTTCTTTTACCTCACATGCATCATATTCTCGTCGATACTCCACGGTTTCTTTGGAGTTACGGGTAAAGGGATGTCGTGGGCCTATACATTTAAAGACTCTAGCTAGAATCATTTCGTTATGATTCTAAATCTAATGTTACATTCCTTATATCTCTATCCGTATGTTCAATCTATGATTTTTACATAATCGTTCGCTATATTTGTGAGTGACTTTACGATATTATACCTTAGCATATTCAAACAGATCGGTTCTTCCTTTAAAACGATTGTAGAACTCAGGTAGTCTCCATGGTGCAATAACCTAGAAGTAAATGATTTTAAAAAATCAATATAATGGTAACAAACTTATTACTATTAGAACCCTTCAGCTTAAGTATATGCAATCATAGATGCTAAAAATAAACATTCCTGAATTAGAATTGACTTAAAACAAGCACATATCTCACTTTAGCCTCAGGATATAGAGCATAGTACGTTAGTTCAAATCGAACTTGATCGTTGCCCTAAAATTTGGATAAATGTAAGCAGTTATGTCTATTATCTAACTAGCATAAAGTAATTTGCGGAAAAAGCAATCTCTATGAACAATTTAGTAATCTCTTTAAACTGCGATAGCTATACAAGCTCACTTTGCCAGTGGCTCCATGAGATAAGTAGCGGGCATTTTCTTGCAAAGCAATCTCGACCTGACGACGCGCGATGCATGGACGGGCGAAAGCTGTAACGATAACAAAGATTTAAATATCAAGTTGCCGCCGATCAATGATGCAAAATTATTTAGCATGTTCCATTTTCCTAAGAGCTTCAACATACGAGTAATTATTTTAAGATTAAAGCAAGCCAGTCAATAACTATAATGACGTCATAGTCATTAAATTATACAAACCATCATATTGGCACATAGAATTAAAGAGTGTGAGTTCTGAAGATATTGATACTATTTTAAATGCTCGTACTTGATTTTATAAACTATCATGATTTAAGATTCCAATTAGAATATTTGTGACAATAATTCATAATTCAGTAATACCTCTGTCAGAAGCAAAGAAACTACCTAATCTAGTCCAAATATTTCTAGGTCATGTAGACTAATTCTGTAGCGTCTAAAAATCACCGATATCGTGTTGACCCAATTACTGAAATATAAGCAGCGACTGAAAATCGTAATACATTCATCAGAATAAGAATCATTTATCAGTTGACCATTTATTCCCATAAATTCAAATCAAAACTGCTGGTCATATTGCATAGATATAGGGTATTCAAGATTAAAAGATATGGCACGCATAACTAAGCAGAGCTAGTGCCAATTCATAATTTTGGGCACTAGCGCATGATAAAATTCGTTAAGAGGCCTCTAGCATTTACCAAATAATGACAAACCGTAATCGAACATGATATATCAGTTATTAAAGATTTAAAATAAGCACACTAAATTGTAATGTAGTCGCATTTTACTATGTTTCAATACCACTTTAACAAACCGTAATCCACAACATGCCTTACTTTTCAATGCTTTAATCTTAAAAAACATGGCATTATTTACCAAGGTCATGCTTGATATTTGACGTGAGACATCAGTCTAACAACCATTCTACTATAGCACTGTCACAGTCAAGCTTTGACCGTGAGAATGCCTATATATTACATTCTAAAGGCTTATTATACTTTCCTTCCGCTATTTTTTAATGCTTATATTATTTAAGTATTAAGTAATTAACTGCTTTGACTAAGGTTAAGTAGAGTCGTGTTTGAAACTTTTTGGATGGATTGTCATCGTGTGATTGGATAACTCATCCAAACTGGTTTAAGTTATCTTGATCTAAAGATTTCTATAAATATGAAATTCGGTTTGCATTTTGATGAGAACGTTCATGCCTGCTTAGTAATAAAATTTAATTACCGTACACGGCTATGGCTATTCTGTGCGAGACTTGGGATACTAGTCATGGAGACGATCAAGTACTTAGTTAACTACATTAGTGCTTGACTCAATCAGTGGGACGATTGAGGAATTTTATTAGTGATCGATCTTGTAGTATTCGATAGTCGTTTGTGCTACAATAGCAGTTGTAACAAGCACTTTGGCATCAATTCATTCTCATTTAAACTGTTAGCTTATTTATAAATGTACCATACCTGTCCCCATTAAGTAGCGATCTTCATAAGCAGCATTAGATTTAATAGCGGCAAAAACAAATTCTTCAACAAATTGTTGTCTTAAATCTTCTAAGAAAACCTTAACAAATGCAATCACATCCATTAAATAGGAACTGATCAGTATACGCCTATATTTAGTTTGTTCATAAAGGTTAATAAAATAATCGTTACGAAATAGCACACCTCTGAATTTTATTATTTACTATTAATCGTAAAAATATTTCAATTTACTAACTTTTGTAGCACCAAGTTTTTTGGCCTTCGCTTTAGCACCTTCCATATCTTCTTCCTGGCCAACATCAGCCTAAAGTAAACTGGCCATTAGATAATCTTATAAAAAAATCATATCAGATAGCAAATCCTTTACACAGGTGTTCTTTGTCTCTCTAGTTCACAATATAACTTATCCAGAATATATGTAATACAAAACTATATTAGAGGCGCAATAAAATATTAGGGAAATATTATCCATATAAGATTCTTCTAATAAACGTTGCATTAACTTAACCATTATGTATGCTTAAATACTATATAAAATAATTAAATAATTATTACCGCAGACTGAAATGAGACCCTTTAGGCCAAAGGGTATCTATCTATAAGCGCGTTTAAATTAATTGCAATCATTTATCACTAAGACTGTAACCCTTCTGCTAACGGCACAGGATATCAGAAATCCTTAAATGTAAATATTATAATAATTTTAATCTGAACGAATTAATATTCATAAGTAATGAATAAAATTCAATAATTATAATTGTAACCATTCCAGTTACGACTACTACCGCATACTATGGTAGAGATCATTCTTCACCAAACATTTGCTTCGTAGGATTCATATAATACAGTATATCAAAGAGTTCCATAGAAAGCTGATTAATTTCGATAATTATGCGTAAACTATGCAGTTTATCGTGCCTATTAGATGTACTGTACAGTAATGTGCAATGTAATTTATAGTTAATTTTTAATATAGATTACATTCATTTTGTAATATACGGTAAATAAAAATTTAATCTTAACCATCTATTACAATGTGTAAAATGGTCTCATTGAGTTACTCATTTAAATCATTTAAAAGTATACTGTACAGTATGACAATTACGGTCATATTTAACGGTCGCAGCATCATATACTGGATGTCGTGCGTACGTTTGCACGACTAAATATCAAACTTATACTGTATAGAGTTAAAAGATAACTGCAATGGTTGTTCGAACATCGAAAAAGTGCTTGTTTATACCAAGATTACACACTTTACCATGCTACTACATACCATGTAAGCTATAACGTTAAAACCTTGCTCTTGCAACCAAACGAGGATACACGAAGTATCGAGCCCGCCACTGTATGCCAATACTACGGTTTCTTTTTCGTCACTCATGCTTGAAATAGTACGCGACCACAATGATAATTGTTGATAGAAAACTATTGCATATGGTATAAATTGATCATCGGAAATAAACCATTACAAACGATTGCATTATTATACACATATCTTCAGACTAGTCGGATATTATTTGAGGTATAATTAGAGATTGGTAAGCTTGTCGAGTATGTTATAATAGCTTATTCTCGTTTTTATGTTTAGTGTTTTTTATCGGAACTGAAACTGAAACTCTTACTATAATACTTCATTCAAGACGGTAAAGATACATATAGCTTGTAGTAATTTATGTTTAGTGTTTTTATTCGAGCTGAAACTAGAACTCTTACTATAATACTTCAGTCTAGACGGTAAAGATACAGATAGCTTGTAGTAATTTACTGCTAAGTACTTACAACTGTTCTTACATAGTAGATACCGTATTTGGGTTTATAACTCATAGAAAGAATACACGGTACTTACTAATTTCCGCCAAGAATCAGGAATCAGGGATAGACAACGCTGGACTGTCAATATACCATGACATTGCAATATATATAGAGAGATATCATAAAAAGTACCGAATAATGAGTTACCATATCTAAATTATAAATTAGGATCGCTATAATTTTAGGCAATCAACGGCGAAAGGTCTTAATTTCCCTATCTAATTACGGTCTCTTTTAAACATTGCTAGTCAGTATCTACTACTCCGATTGATATTTCCCGAATTCTAGCTTAAATTCGGGTAGATCCATCGAAGCATAAGACATCTTTATATCGTGAACAATACAAATACAAGACAGTGCTATGATCCTTTAAATATTATCCTTTCATGATACCGCTAGGCACACGGTCAGAGTTACAAAAAGCCCTTTTTGTGCTGCACTTTTATGATTACTTCTTAATTGCTTAAAGTGTTACGATCCCGATTTAGCAGCAAAACCGACATCAGTAAAATGTACGATCATAGCAGCTGTTGGACGTTTTTACTGTACAGTAATAAATGAGCTGTTTGTTTATTGGTGAATTCCTAAATTATCAGGTAATTATAATTTTAGTAATTAAATTTAATGGTGCAGTATCATCTCCAATTTGGCTTTAATTAACACCTATACTGCAACTGCCCTTAAAAGGAGCCGTAGACGGTACCCTGCAGCTGTATATCTAGATCTAGTCTTTGAAGTTTATTTATTTGTCATGTTTTAACCTGCTAATGGAGCTTGCCACATACAGAAAAACGTACTGTTAATGAGATCTCAAGAAATTCAGAGCTAATACAATTGCAGACATACTTCTTACAGCTTTAATACAGTACTTTAATTCGCTCATATTATCCACCCGCCATCTTGCATCACCTATACAGTCCCGTATACGCATACTTATTAAAAAATTGTGTAGCGAATGTTGTGCACTTGTTTGTAACAATTACATGTACTATATATATAGTACGTTGATTCTTAAAATCTGAATGCTAGTTTTAATTCATAAATAAATTACACCGCAATTATAAATTCATTTCAGCTACAATTTTACGTTTACTAGGCAGTGCACAGCAGTGACATCGACGACTGACTATGTAACAAGGCCTTGGCCTCGAATACGAACAGTGCTAGTGAAGGGACTTTTATTTTTCTCCTTTCAGTGAAGAGTCTAGCAAAAAAAAACGTCGCTATCATCGACGGTACAAGAGGTTGGCTACACATCGTACTGTAGTATCGTACAGTACTACCATCCTTCAGGTACTATGCGTTGAACAGTAAGTACTGTACAGTGCACAGTACAGTAGAGACTATTTTTATTAAAAAAAAGCCATTTCCTGTTCCCTCTCCCTTTATACTGTACTGTACTGTATGCGGAACGTCTACGTTGCGTATATCACAGTCTTACAGCCTCCAGTACATATAGTACTGTACGTATATCTATACAGTATCTTAGTCTAGGCCTACTAAGTACAGAACTGTACTGTAATGTACAGTACAGTACAGTATGTGCACTCATTATTGTACAGCACTGTACACTGTACAGTGTACAGTACAGTATGTGCTTTTTAGTGACTGGAAATACCAGGGTCTACTGTACACCGTTAACCCTTAGTATGGTAAGTAGTCTAACGCATGCTGTATAGTGAATGGCTAATAATATTACATGAATCGATTAATAGGGGCCTAATTGGTAAAAGCAAAGGATCAACATAAACAAATTGCGAAGGTATATTACAAAGTGAGTCTCTTTAAAAATCGAAGAAAAATCAAACAACATCAAAATGCTTACCTCCACCACCCTCGAATTCAAGTTTTGGAATCTAGTACAGTGCAGTACAGTGTACTGTACACTGTACTGTACTGTACACTACAGTACAGTATTTTCAAAAAAGCTTTCTACAGTACTAGTACCTTGTACTGTAGGTTTGTGGGTGTGTTACTGTACTGTACAGTGTACAGTACAGTACAGTACAGTAAAAAAGACAAGTTGCCGTACAGTACAGTACAGTACCGTACAGTACAGAACAGTACAGTACTGTATACTGTACACAAACCCCCGGCCCCACCCCCACCCCCGGCCTGACAAAACGAAATGAAACTAGTGTACTGTACAGTACAGTACATTACTGTACTACAGTATTAAAGCAAAGTTATCACTGTGTACATTTTGGGCCATCGTTACGTTACGGCCTTACGGTAGTACAGTGTACAGTACAGTACAAAGAGGAAAAAATATTGCTGAAACTAACGTACAGTACTGTACTGTACTGTACAAATGGTATACTTTATACCATAATATACTGTACCGTAGCGTATATGATTCATTTTTTCTAGCCGTTACAGAGATGCGTACAAATGCTAGAACGGCCCAGTCCGATCCGTGCCTATAACAAGAGTCAGTGGCTTCTAGCTGCCGTACGGTAGTAGCAGCCTAGCAGGCTACTACCCGATAGCAGCTGTACACGAAACTACTGTACTGAACTATAAGAGCCGTAGCTGCCGTACAGCCGTACACTTACCACACTTTCTAGACTGCGCTGTGCTTCTGGCTCAGTGGCTCAGCTACGGTGGCCCAGCTGTACACTGAGTGTACAGTACAGTACGCTACTAAATCTCGAATCTCATCAAATCAAATCTGGCTTGGAAGAAGTCATTATGACCGCAAGATTTTCTTATGATAATCCAGTATTTTCATGCTATGCATTCTATGCTAGCATTTTGATCTTAAAAATGTTCTTTGTAGCATTTGCTACTATCCTAAGTCATAAGGTAGGATCGCTGGGGAGCTACAAGGACCCCAACGACTGAAATACTCACATCATATCATCATTATGCGAATAAAATATCCTACCATACCTATGAAGCATTAACAATAATAATAAATAAACGCTATGTTACTAGAGGAGCTGAGTGCAATGCCTGCATGAAATATTTCAAACTCTTCTATTAATAATAATAAATAGTATAAGTAGATGCATAGTGGTAATACATTTATTAAAAGATCGAACCTTAAATTAAAAATATTAAAAACGGACTACTTTGCTGCATTCTTATTCATGACTTTATACTTATTTTCTTTAATAGATATCAGAGCCGTCAATTACCGTTGATGATTCCACTTCCTCTACCAAAACGAACGTAACTGTGGAACGGACTAGAAGGTGACATTTTTTTCCTTGTAATTAAAATTTGATAGCAAAATTTACGAAAGAAGACCGATATACTGTATACTGAGTGTATAGCTGTCTATCTTGCAAATAATTAGACTTCTTTGTGTATAGGGTGCACCTAAATGATCTAGAAAATATCCCACTCTTCTTATTCGCTGGATTATTGTATATCCTTACCGATCCGCCCTTTGATACGGCGCAAAAGTACTTTAGAGCATTTACTGCAGTTCGTATTCTTCATACAATAATATACCTAAATGCTATACCTCAGCCAGCCCGGGCAATTGCTCATACTATTAGCTTACTCTTAATTATTGCTATGACTGTTACAGTTATTAGCCAAGCATCTGTATACTTGTAGTTATTAAAATACGTTATACATAGTAAGAATTTCAATAAATTACGATATGCTAGAATCCATTATACTATAAAATAAAAGAGGGTTTTGTATATGGCGGCTATGTAATTAAAGCAGAAAGGATTTACCAAAAAAAATTACCCCAACGTGTGTAACTGTCAATGTGGAATGAGATTCTTTATAATTTATACAATCTCAATTTTAGTTAAATTTTTGGCAATTCATAGTGGCTATAAATTTTTTACTATGGCTATGTAGATAGAATATTAGTTTCTTTTGATAGTAACTATTTGTACTAGCTCTGTCCTCTTGTATGTTAACCAAAAGAGAAGATAATTAATAAGCAATGTGAGGCAGTTGCACCCTGCAATTGACACGCAACGCCGTTGGACGGCAAGTGCACATGATAACGCAATTACCAACGTTTCGTTCAGTTTTTTAAAATATTGAAGGTACAGTACCATGAGATACCTTAAATCTATACCTCATTTGTAAAAATGATCATTGGAATATATGATTATATAAAGGATACTTATATGCTTCATAATCTTAAACTACTTTGCCTAAATAATCAGCAAACAATCAGTTTAATCAGCCCCTATTAAAAAAAAATTTGAAGACATCTATTTTGAAGGCTCATGTTGAATTGAATGAGCACAATCTGTAGTTCGATAATGGATATTGATATAGAAAGCTTTCGAAATGCTACGATTCTCTAAACGTCAATAATTAATTATAATATAGGATAAATACTGCAAGATCTTTAATTTGATAAAGCAAAATCAATCAAATAGAGGAGTACCTCAACGAAATGCCCATATTGGCACTCACGCCAAATATATAGTAACACGCGTATAATAGTCCTGAAGAAATTAGTAGCTTTCAGCGTCAATTGTTCCTTACAGCAACTACAGGAGAATCACTAATTGGTTTTATGACCGTTAGTATCATTGCTTCACAGTATCATTGATACGAAATATGACGATATCCGCTTAACTACGTAGTAACCACATACATCAACTAAGAAAACAAGCCTTACACCATTAGCTTAAGTGCAGTATACCATGCTCATTTTATTGTCTCTAGTACCTTAATTAGCATCCATAACATATACACTCGTACACCTCTACTAATAAAGTTGCTATTTATCGTTATCGTACTTCTGCTGAGCATTTAGAAAATTGCCTAAAATTTACAAAAATGTAAAGATTCCATAATTTTTCGATTGGACTATAAATGTAATCTATCAGATAAAATCAATTATCACAAGATCGCCTCCGTTTTTGATTAAAACATGAACAGACTCACATGTGTCGCACAATGTGGACGATCACTGAGAATTAATATCGTTTATAATACTTCAAATTTTTAGCGTACTAATGTGTGTCCATCATAGCATCAACCTGGTTGAGCGCAAAGAATTTTAAATTATGCAGTTCCCTACTTTTGAGGTGCAATTTAAAACCACTACCCATATTAGAATATAATATTGTACTATAACAATGTCAATCACTTTTCTCATGTAGTAATTATAGGGTGCTATGAACAAGAATAGAAATAACCATTATTAGGATAACAATGAGACTTGACAGAAATGATAAGGCACGGACTGGTTGCCTTACTTTAGTAATATAAGCGGCAGTATGAATCACTCTAGCAGCAGCATAGACGCGGAATAAAATCTTAGCGGGGCCAGCTGGCGGATCCGTTAACACATAAACCAGTCCAATCAGGAGGAAGAAGGGTATATTCTCAAGATCATTGTAATGTGACCTAGCCATAGTATAGAGAGAACAGAACGATATTGAAAAAGATTTTTAATACGTCATCATAGTTAAGCGTCTTTAATTGATCTTATCGATTGATAAATTATAACCCAATTTAACCTTTTATTTACGTAGTATCTAGTTTTTTAATAGAACTAACAGAAATATGCACAGTATTCTAAGTACAGTATACGTGTTTACGTATTAATACAACATAGGATCACCATAAAGAGTAGCAAATAATCGAAATTAATATTATTTTACAGAACTTACAAAGTCAATACTGTAATAGCTACGACCCGTTAATCCCAGAGTCCAGAGAATATCTAAAATTTATCTCGTACCTTCTTACTCGTTCCAAATATTCCTTTCTCGTATCAATGTCTTTCATGTTAGCTTGAAGAAATTTAGCATCTTCAGGTGATCCAGGAATCTATACAATGAAATAATTAGTGATTGGCCGCGAGTCCATACAGTTATCAGTGCTACTAGCTGATAAGTCAGCTGATGAGTGATAACTATTAAGCTAGTGTCTTATACATTATTTAGAGATTGTACAGTATGCAAGAAAAAATTTTCAAGGATATACTGAGAAAAAATGCCCAAAATCTAAGCATTTTTACTGGACGCTGGTCCAGTATTCCTGGTTAATGAAAAGATTATTTCTATTCTGATTTATACTGCTTAATAATACGATACTCATACTGCAATACTGCAATATCTTTATTGAACGCTGGTCCAACATTTTTATTAATTAATCAAAAGATATTTCTATGCTGATTTATACTGCTTAATTAATAATGTTCACATAAGTTATTAATCCAGCAAGTTATACTGAAATACCGTACTTTTAATTTATAGTATACGCTTAAAACTAGTTGTAAGCTGAGAATGATTACAGCACAGTAGTATTATGTAACTATCGTTGGTCAGTTTACAGTATTCAACAGATCAATTACTGTATAATTATAGGACTTGATCCATAATACTTATTGAATCAACTTTAACAATACAATATAGTGCAACCCTTCCTCTTACCTTCTTTATTGTACGGATAAGAGGTATTATAATTCCTAACGACAGCATCTTTAGTATTAGGATGCAGGTTGAACTGACATATAGATATAAAACTGGATTATTGAAGGTGAGCAACTCCGGTTTCATTTCCATGCTTGCTGTTGCTAAACTGCTTAGTTGCTTCTGGTTACTTTTTTACTGTACAGTACATGGACACTTGTAAGAATTAGCGTAACATACTGTACTGTACTGTACAGTATAATACTGTACGCGTAAGTTCGAGCGGGGGGACAGGTGTACTGTACTAGCGTACAGTACTGTACAGTACGATACAGCAGCTGAGCCTGTGAATGTCTACAGTGTACTGTACTATACACTAGTTGAAAGTGATTTATGTAAAATGGTTAGGGCTGCTGTACTGAGTCATAATACAATGTACTGTATCTACTGTGTGTATTATACTGTACAGTACAGTAAATTACAGGTACAGTACAGTACTACGAGATTTTCAGTGTGCATTTTCGGCTTTCACCAACCTGTATGTAGCATCCGATGTTTTGGTTGGAACTCTATGGTAAATTTAAATTTTTCCTCGATCTGCTTGGAGAAGTGAAAAATTAATAATAATAATAATAATAATAATAATAATAATCCCTAATAATGACCAACGTTCAAGATTTATTGTCCATGGAAAATCATGTACAGTATTCACTACGTATGCACTTTGTTCATGCATCTTAATATTCAAGATGATCTTCATTAGCCTTTGGACTTCTTTTAATTGTATGACTAAAAGATTTTCACTATGCTGTACTATAGGTACAATATTCCTGTTTCGAACTGTAATATATTGTAGATACTGTGTATCATTAAAAAATCACTATAGTAAAACCCATAGTATGCTAATTATTCCTCGTTTCTTGTTCGACTACCTTGTAAATTTACTCTGAGGCCATTTTTAGTAATGATTAGTTACTAAAAAATAGTTAGTATGGTACGATATAGTTCTGTATGTGTTTACTACTGCCATTAATGTAAGACAAGTATACATCACAGTATCACAGTTAGAAATTAGTACCACTGTTTACAAATAACGAATTTCTTTATACAGTAATTAGCTCTGTATCGGCTCCGTATAGGAATCAGCAGCTATGTAAACTATGGCTATAGCATGGTGAATTTGGGTCGTTATAGTGTAACGAGCATTATATTCGTGGTTAATCTTTATATGATAGGAAGCAAGGGTAATCTAAAGCTTTTAGTTCCTACAATCTTATAGTTTAACTACTGTATATAACGTCTCTGGTGTTTACAGGCATATGCTTTTAGTTTCTGACGAAAGCCGAAAAATAACTCCAATAATGAAAAAAATTGAGCGTATAAGAAGGTCTGTATTCAATCTTAACCAAAGCATTATTGCTGTAGTATTGTATCATGGATTCATAGCTCCACTTGATTTTATGTGAATAACAATTAAGCTGTAATGAGATAAGACTTTCAAAGTATATTTTGAATTTATATTTATGTTATATTTGCAATCCTATGTACGGCATATTTCACACTTAATAAAATGCTTCTCGCTCACTTGCTAAATAGTTTCTCTACTGTTACCGATAATATAATTAATGTAAAATCCAGTTTAATGAATTATTCCTCATAAGTTACAACATAAAGTAAGTATAGAAGTTTTAATAGTGAAAAGTCGCGCAGTAACGTTTTTTTATAATTACTTTAGAGCGCACGGAAACGACCTGGAGAACGTCCCAGTGTTCCTTATTGTTGGGCTTCTATATGTAATTACAAATCTTTCTGTAATGATACCTACTATATCAATCATAGCCTTTACTACAGCTAGAATTATCCATACGATGGCTTATTTACTTGAACGATCTCCATTAAGATCATTATCATTTTTGATAGGATTATTCATCACAATTTATGTCACTTTATCAATTATAATGAGCTGGATAGCCTAGATTCAGATAAAGATCTTATGACATTCCAATGAATATAATTAATCAACGATAAAGTGTTATACAGAACCGGACAACAGCCTTATATCTAAATCGAAAAAACCCATCGATCCGTGATTAATGTATGATTATAACATAATCATTGTGGATTCTACTCTAGAAATAAATCTTTGTTTACTAACTTAATAGTAATACTCGTATAGTAAACAACTGTATGAGTATGTTGTAGGTTACACTAAATCGTTAAGTACAGCGAGCGGCTGATACTCTTCAAATGGCCTTACATTGGCAATAAAGGCCATTATTGTTGTTTTACCCTGTTACAGATATTGCTGAAAACTACCCCTTCAATTGAATATCTTAGTTCCATTATACTGTACAGTACAAAGAGAAGATATTCATGGAGCGTGCTTGTGGTGTATTATTTCCGGGAGTCGCTAGTCTATCTAAGCTTATTGTCATTGAGAATACAAGAATACTTGCAATCTTGTATACAATGCTATTTGTGTATAAATCACGCGTGATACATTGACGATATGCTACGTATAGTTGCTCAAACATCGTTAGGGCATTAATATTTGCGGTTACTTTATATTGCGCAGAATATCTTAGGATAGATAACTATACACTGAATGTGTAGCACAGCCTGCTCATTGGAGTAAATGATCTAAAATTAGGATTAAGGCCTATATGATGGACTCCATTTCGTAAAATATTTCTATCAAGCATTTGCCTGTATCAGGTATTGAGCTCCTGTATTCGTTACTATGCGCTAAGGGCTGAAAAAACTGAAAGAATGACCTCGACTTCCGAAAAACTTCAAGTTAAGATATTATCCTTTCAAATGTAACTTAGTAGAGTTATACAGTTATTGTATCATTTAAAATGTTAGCCATCCTATAGAACAGAATTCTGATATCCCTACGTTTTATTAATACACGTATACAACTATTAGTTGCTGTTTGATCTCGGGTAATTGAATTTATTGCAGTTTCATATTAATTAGTATAAATTCTCTTAAATTTTATTGAAAATCAGCCTCTAATAATACTTGCCTTCAAGAAGCGCATGTCAGATAATGTACATAGGGTACAAATAAAGGCGATAACTAGATAGAATTTGATTTAGTGACGCCGATACAATCAATAAACCTTCGATCACTCAGTAAAGAAGTATATAATAATTCTGCCAAAAAGCTTATTTTGTGCAATTAAGACCTCGTACAAAATGAACGATCGTAAGTTCTACTTCAGGCAAGCATAATATAATTAGAGAGAAAAACGCCATCATTTCGCTTACCTAATAGTAACAAATTATTAAGATTAGTTACTGGATTAAAACAGAGATATCAAATTTTCCATCCAGAAATTGATAACATACAGATGGTATCATAGTAATCAAGCTTACTATAACGATATATGAAACGATATTAATTCAGTATAGTGTGTGCTAGTTCAATGCTAATTAACCACTTTTATATATACGTCATAAAAATTTCGCTTTACCACATAAAAGGGCAACTATTAACAACTGATAGAAGCATAGAAGCCAATGTTATCAATCCAATGTAGAAAAGAAATGTTCGGCTTGGTTGAGGCCACGCACCAATATAGACGATACTGTGTAAAACACGGACCGCAGTGAAGATGCGAAAATGACAACCTGCAGCTTTTGGCGTCGGGTTGGTAAGGACGTAAAGCAAACCTACGGCCAAGAAAGGAAGAATGTTCTCCAGATCGTTCAAATGGGCCCTATTTAATCGAAATACACGTATGCTAAAGTTGTTAGAATTGAATATTATGGACTGAAATTTTAATGGACAAAAATAGCCTTAAATTGTTTTAGTTATATTCTAATAACCTAAATATGGTATGGCCTGAGGTACGGTAAACTATCTAACTTCTAATTCACTTTCATGCAAATAAGTATAGTTTAATATCTTGATGAAGAACTCTGTCTATAGATATATTATCATATGGAATGCAGTGACTACAGCAAAATATATAAGTAAGAGCATAATAATTTCTTTTTAAATAATTTATGACCTTCTACATCTTTCCACAAATTCATCTCCAGAGCCATGTCCTACGGCTTTAGTATTATTTCCATCCGTAAAAGCTTGTATATCTTCGTCATTTGAGAAGCACTAAAATTAAGATTTTATTTAGAATTTAATATATTTGTCAATGTCTTGCTTCCTAATGACTAAAAAATGAGAGATATTTTGAATTTAAAATATTTGCTCATATATGTACAGGTATATTTCAGATTCGTACCCTATATCTAATTTTGAATACTCTCGATATAATACTTAAAATAAAATATCAATAAATAAAGAAAGGAAAACTCGATGCTTAGAGTTTAATTATAGATAGAATTTTTATCTGATCAATATCGCAAATGCTTAAAATCTTTTTTATTTATAGCTATTAGTGACTAATCTACCCTAACCTACTGCAGTATAGGGAGATATATCAAATAATGATCATTTCTCCTAACCTTAGATGCAATTCGAGCTAGTGATGTTCTCAGAGTCACCAATAGCATTTTAGCAACAAGCACACTCGAATGAAAAGCAAACATAGAAAATACTGGATTATCGAAGACTAATTTCGAAGCTACAACCATTGTGACAACTTTTTTCGTTAAAGACTTGCTATGAAGATTAAATTGACTTGATGCCAACTGATAGAAGATAAAAATTTCGTTGCGGTCGCTGGCAGTTATAATTTACCGGATATTGGATAGCAGAGTCATTCGAATAGCGATGTCCAAAGTACAATCTAGCACTTATAAACTTATAAAACGAACTTTGATTCTTAGTGATGACATGCTGTGATCAAATTTTTTAACTCTTTGAATTATACAATTTAGTCTAGAGCGATTAGGATAGATAAGTTATTGTCGCTTCTTAATTAAATTCAGGAGGGTGATCCAGTGTCCCTTGCGCGTTCACCCGCCCGCATGGTGGGTAAATACAGATAGAGTGGCATTTATGCCATTATAGAAATCTAATGTAAGATCGATTTCTACTAATGTTAGATTGTTTCATTATTTATGAGATAAAGCTAGCTAATCTTCTGAATCATTAATTGTAAATTTAATTGATTTAAAACTATTTGCGTCTTTTATGCGCTTCATTTACCAATATGCAGCATGCCTTAAGATTTCAAAACTTTCTGTAAGGCTACGGGAATTTTCATTTTATCTTTCCACTTTGGATAAAACTAAAGGTGTCTATTCGTTTATCTACGAATTCATACTGTATCAATAACTTGCGATAATTTCCTAGCGGTGGAACAACTTCATGTCCATATCTGAACTCTGATCCTATCTCGAGTCCCAGTATTCGTACGTGTCACAATGTTATCTTGATAATACAAATACGTGTCATTCGGTAGTATTTGTTTACTTTCGAAATTTTTGAGCTCTCTTTGCAAAACTATTTGATGGATACTGAGAATATTGTAATATTTATTTAGTCATGCTTATTAAAGGTTATTGCTAAAATAAAATTACTATCATTACTATTCTTCATTATTAGCTTCACCCGCATTTTGATAATATGATATATAATGTAAAACGTTTTTCTCAATAAGTAACGTTCATCCATGTATTCATCACTGTATTACTGGGTATCATGTACGTTCTGAATTTCATGACAGCAGTAATTAGCGAATTTAGCGAATTATACTGTAAATTTCAAGATGCGAGCTATGCGAAAACGTTCATAACGACTAATTTAGATAGGACTGTACTGTACTGTAGTCCTTGGATGTACAGTACTGTACACTGTACAGTAATGTTATTTTCGTATCAGATATTTTAGTAAAAAGTATGAATAAAATTTAATTTATTGCTATATATCGGTATAAACTACTGTATTCGCACATTAGTTTTAGTTACATTTTTTCCATCGCATTACAGTACGTACAGTACATTGTACACTCAATGTACAGTACTGTACACTGTACAGTACAGTACAGTACAGTACAGTACACTGTACAGTAGTCAAACGTGACGTAATCATCGAGACCAGTACAGTACATTACAGTACTCAGTAGCGATCCATGACGTAACTGTGCTATGAAACAGATACAGTGCTGTAGAGAGAGACAGTAGAGAAGCAAACAGTCAAATTACAGTTTACCGTTAGCAACATTGGTTTCAGTACATTAATATTAATACAATGCTACCGTAGATTACAATTACATTACATTTCACCAGTTCTGCCGTAAAGGTTTATTCCAAATTGTCCGGCACAAGTGCATGAACAATAAAGGTTTTTTAACCCCAAACTTTCATATTCTCTAACCAGAGAGAATGGATGCTGAAAGACCATCTGTCTTATCTGAAACTGGCTTTGGGCTTGCAGTGTTACCTTTGGCTGTGGTGATACTAGCTTTCGCTGCATTTATTCCTTCGTAATTTCATATATTAATTAACAATTATGATTATTACTGTGTCGATGGGTTAATACGCGTATATCTCAGTAAATTATTTTGCTCATAACCACAAAACGTACAGTCATGTACATATTTTATTTTTACCGTACATTGTATGTGTGCTGTAAATAGTTTTGCAAATTCTATCGCATTAGCTTAAACGGTATGAGACTGTAGCATAAATTATATTCAAAGTAATGATATCGCCTCAGATCGATGTCTTTGATGCCCTTAAAATGAGATACCTGCAATGAATAGTGGCTGTAAAGAAATGCCAAATTCTATTTTCATCTATACTAAATACTATATACGCGTAGTGTAACTTATTAAATTATGAACTACAGTAGTAACTGTACTGCACCGATTTGATCAGTTATAGAAGTACAGTAAACAGGACGCTGGCTAATAATTATCTTAGATATAGCAACCTAATACAGTACTGTAACTATAGTGATACCCGTACCTGCCAAAAAATCACGCATGTACCGAAGACCGAAATACTCAGAACGCATTAAAGATTTTATTTATTTCACTTGCATTTACGCTTTACAGTTACAATTAAATGTTGCGAAATTAATTTCCAAAATTTTTCATATAGAAGTGTTTAGTAGTATATAATAATGCTTCAGTACGATAATTTCAGCTATGTATTCTATGAGCTTTTCATAAACTGGCAGGGTCCAATACCATTTATGCTTTGCATAGATTAATTACAATTATGCACTTAAAAACTGCCTTGAATTAATTATCAAATGCCTTCATTTTATAACGCGGTATTATTTTTTTCTGCAGTTACATCGTTGCCATTGCTCTTGGGCATGTATATCCGTTTTGGCCTTATATCAGGTGAAGGTTATAATAGGCTTTATGTGATAAAGATTTTCTTCCATAAACATTTTACAATATTTTATTATGTCTTGTATTCACGTCAGTGACACTGGAACGACAAGACCAGAAAGCTGCGTATTCGGCTTCTTTCTAGCTTGGACTGGCTTTATGGGTATATCGTAATAAAACATTTGAGTTATATGCATGGTACTAATTACATTTTTTTTGGCTAATATATAGCTGCAGCTGTTTTTTATGTTCGATTTAAACAAGTTCATCTTACATTAAAAGGAGATGGATGCTGTAAAGTCGTTAATGACTTAGCATTCTTAGTAGGTCTCCTGGCAAGTATCGGAATGGTAATGGTTTCTGCTTTTCAGGTAGCCAGAGATAAGCAAGCACGACAAGTTGTTAATACATGTTTACTAAATTTTACCTATTCCACCTGAAAGCTTGCAAACTGCTGTTTCTTTAATTTAACTACTATTTTACGATAGGAAACTGCAGTATATCAAGTGCATTTTACAGGTGCAGCGTTAGCTTTCGGAGGTGGTACTGTTTATATTTTCATGCAAACATATTTAACGAGCAAATTATCAGAAAATTTCAACAACGGCAAAATGGTCGTACTTCGTTTTTTTTGTGGAATCGTTGCCCTAATTGCGTTTATTTATAGTATCCTAATTATCCTCGAATCTTTTTAGAAATAATATGATTGCACAGTAGTTTAGATATTACGTACATTAGTTATTTTTAGCCTGTATGTATTACTATTACTTGCAATACGTAGGAATACTTATATCCCTTAACACACACCACAGTGCTAGCAAACTATGCAACATCGTATATATTTGCAGATGGTGTGAACCACTTGCATTGGGTACCAGGAGATGATGTAAGGAAAATTTATGATTCTATTTGCTACATTAAAGTCGTTAAATAGTAGACATTGTCATAAGTGCATGATATTATTCTACTGTACTGGCGTTAATATATCGCACTAATGTAATTTATAAACACAGAATAGAACACCTCAAACTATCGTAGTGATATTTAAATGTATGTGAGTGCTACTTTCGTAAATCAATATTTCAATAATTAAATAAGAGTTACATAACTTATATTTTATATTTATTACAATTGTATGGTGATATAGCGTGTACTATTAATCCCAGAAGGATTATAGTCGTAGTTGCTGTATATCTCAGTTGATGTAATTACATGTACAGTACTAATTTTAAATGCGAAAGGCTAAAATACTACTATAATTTTGTAGTAAACGATATTGCAAGTATAAATGCCAATTAATCCTAGTATATAAGCCATTTTCTGGCTATTTAATTGCTATCCAAATGTATATTAATTAAAACTGCTATGATTGTTATTATATTTCTAGGGTTATGTAAACCATATATGCAGCACTATAAGCGAATGGATAGTTGCTTTAACCTTCTTGCTTTTTATCACAAGCTTCTACAAGGAGTTTAAAAGTTGTAAATTTGAATTTAAGGTCTGCCTTAATAGAACTGAACAATCTCCTATTTTTGGCACCCCTCAAACTTACGGTACTATCGAAGAATCAGACAGTGTAAAGGTGTAAATGTATGAAAGCTATATTTGGTGAAGCATGTTTACAAGTTCAGAGAATGCAAAAATTCTGGACCCATGTCATACTTCATGAATCTATCTTAATAGATTATGAGCAATAAAATTAAATGCTAATTACTTCAAGATACTTAATTAAATCAACCATAGAAATAGCTATTGAAACTTAAATCTTGCCGCCTCTCAAAAAATTCCTGTAAGCTCGATACAATTCGTTCTTTAGTGCAATATATTGATCATTTTCTTTCAAGGATGAGGCCAATTTTTTATTCTCTGTCAGTACTTCCTTTAAGAGATCGTTACAGCATCCTCGCGGCCATAACACGCAATAATTTTAATTTTCGAGAATTTTCTAAATCGGTCAATTAACGTAGCTATTTTTCTATCTGTTAACTGTTAATATTATTTACTGTAATAAATACATGAGTTAATAAAGACCATTAATAATATCATTCGAGCATTTTATTTTTCTAACTATACTTAGTTTAAATACATGCAATAATTAACGTTTAAATCCTAAACTAACACTTTCTTCAATCTACCACTCGACATAGTAACGGAAATTTATTACGCAAGTTAATTACCCAATTTTTTAGGAATCACTACTACGATTTTACTGAAAGAAAAATATTTAACTGCGAGTGAATACATTAGACTTTCAGTTTATAGTCACACTACATATACGCGCGTTGCAAATATACGTATAATGGACACAACTCAATCAAGTCTTGCTATTTGTTAATTTTTATCCATTAAAAAGAATTTGTTTGGTATAGCTATTAACTGTTAAGATGTAGATCCTATCTACTGGTGTTGTGTTGACAGGCGGTAAAGTTCTAGGATTTGAAGCTGAATTTAAAATACTATTACATAGCTTAAGGTCACGTCATTTTGATCGCTTGATGTCAGAATTACCAACACCAAATTTCTTAATCAGGAATTATGTGTATATTTTGAAGAGAATCTGTTTTAGTCAACGCACTTTACATAACGAGAGAATCTTAAAAACAGGTACTAATGAGTATGAAAAAGTTATATGATTTTTGATAAATTAGAAAATCTAAGACCTTTTTCATCGTAGTTTTTGGTCCATTAATAATTTTGTGACAGTGGGTAGATTTATTTAGATTTACTCTCAAGCATAATACAGCATTACAGCTACTTATTCACAGCAATAAAACCTTGTATATTGAGAACTTAAGATTAAAATAAAATACAGAAATTGAACAAAAAAATACTCGCTAACATCAAGATAGTCGCCCACCTTTTAGTTGTCATTATATATATACTCATATACTGTATATAAAGTACGATAAAAAATTTTGTTATATTATAATTTAGTAGATAGATAAGTTGTTATCATCCAATTGATTTTGAAAAATTTATCATAGGTGTGCAATATAAATTTATATGTAACATATGCATCCTAATCGTAGTTTCTGTAATTAAAAAATAAATCTGATTTCGTAGGCTTCTATACTCTTATTAAAGAATTATACAAAATTCAGGGTTTCAATTAGAAATATCTATGATTCTTAAGGATCAAAATTTACAATTTTAAACATTACCATTCTTAAGAATATCAATACTTTCACAATTTAATGCATATATCTGCATGAGTACACTGACTTACACTAATTATTATTTATGATCTATCGTTTAAAAATATACTAGTTATAACATTTCGTAAAATCATAAATGTGGAAAACAATTTCGAGCCTTTATACAGTGATAAATGCCAATAATGTGCAAAACATAATATCATTAGTTTTGTATGATACTCTCGCATTTATTACTTATTTACGAAATATTACTTTGCAATTATAGCTAGATTTGTTTCTAATTTAAAATAGTAAGCTAAAGAACTACAAAAATATGCATTTAACCCGTTATACATCATAATTATTTTTTGAATGAGTATGAACTAAATCAGGTGCTGTCGGCTCATGCGCTGATGTTACGATTCTCACATTATCTTCACTTTCAGTACCCTCTCCTTTATACCAGAATGTTGTCATGAGAACATAGATAATAAAATTTGCAGCCATAAAAACTGCATAGGTAAAAGAGAAACGCAATAAATTAGTAATTCTTTTCTGTGCGATACTAGATTCGATAGCCATAATCGGCTATGCTATGCATATGTTCATACCTGCCAAAAAGTAACAGTAATAATCGAGATGTCCATTGTTTATATCCTTTGGAATCCACTCCGAATTTTGAACTTTCGGGTTACGAGATGCAGCATTTACAATGACTATTATCAGTGATCCAAGATAGCTTCCAAGCCCAGATGTAAGTAAATATAATCCCATGATCAATCCTTTAAGCTCTTCTGGAGCCTCCGAATATGCATACTCCAACCCTTTTTCAAAATTTACGAAACAACAATGCAAGGCATATGAATTTACGAATTTTTTTTACAATTTATTTATGAAACAGTTACATAGTGAGATTTAGCAGTACCAGTGATGCTCGTAAAAACTTCGCTAAGTCCAATTAAAGCGAACTGAGGTATCTGTGCCAAAACACTAATGTTTCCAGATGCGTTAAATGTTGATCCAGCAACAACTTGGGGTAATGGATTTTCATGCACATCTATTAATCTATATCCTTCTAAAATACCAGCAGCTAACATTGCTAGTGAGGCAAATATCATTCCAATACCTAAATATTACATTCATAATTTTTGCATATTAATTAAATATTAATAAACTCTCTTTGTAAACAAATAATTCAAGTGCACATACTTTTACTAGACAAAATCTCACCTATTCTTTGAAGTTGGGTAAGTGACCTACCAAAGATTTTTTTATAGAGCGGATATACACCATAGTTTATTATAGGTATAAAGACAAGGACGGAGACAGTATCAAATGAAGATAACGCTGCTGCAGGTAACTTAAAACTTCCCAGTTTTAGGTTCATGGATTCCCCTTGTATAAACCATGTTGTCTGCATCTAAATTAGGAATTTTACAGTTATGCCATGCAACAACGCATTATAAACTTTGATCTCAACAGATAGTATAATTCGAACCATATATTCTTCTAGTATCTAAATTGCGTCCAATTATATCAATATTTATCTAAATAACGTAACGCCTATTAGCATCCAAAGTACATGCGAAAATTTCTTACAATATTTTAAGTTTCATAGGGCAGTAACAGTAAGCAATGTTTTTGAGACCCATTATCTCATGAAAGTCACAAGATCTAAGAAAATTTAACAATTGACTGTTTCATTATTAATATCATCATTCTTACCTGAAAATAAACCGTCCAGTATAGAATGATTAAAATAAATACAGGAATCACACGTCCCAAGGGCTTTATCTTCTCAACTTGACTAGATTCGAAACTTCCACCGTTTTCTTGTTTTGCATAATCGAAAATGCTAGTAATCCTCCCGTTCCTAGCTCCAGCATTTCTACAGCATAGTTTAACCCTGAGACCTTGCCACATCATACGAACGGCGTCAATCAACAATGATCCCTCTAAAAATTTAGTTTAAGAGTATTTGACTTCAATGTGTCTATACCACAACATTCAATATTGAATCAAGGTCCAAAATTTATTACACTGTGCTACAGTTACATGTGTATGATTATTGTACTGTGCAATGCAACAAATAAAAGAGTACTTTCATGAAGTTGATCTACTACTACCAGATACTAATTTTTTGAACACATACTCGGAGAGCGTACTACATAATAACTTCGGGCAGAAATAAATATTATGATAGCTAATGCCATAGAAATAGCAGGGATCATATATCCATAAAAGAAGCTGACATTCTGCTGAATGTAAGCGACAGCAGTAAACGATACCAACGATCCTACGTTAATAAAGAAGTAGAACCACGAAAAAAAACGCTGAATAAGAAGAGGACCAGAATCTTTCAATTGATCGGCACCAAAAGGAGAAACATTAGATTTGATTCCTGTAAGCACATAAAAACCGATAACTTTTAGTGTTTTTGAATAGGATATAACATTGTTTAAATATAGCGTTTACAGTGATATTCGCAAGATTCAATAATCACCCATTTTAAAAATTCTATCTAATGTTGCTTAGCAAAGCTAGTCATGGTTGTATCTTACGTAAGTTCTAGATATTCATACGTTGTATGACTTTAAAAACCGTGCAGATAACTGTAATAATCCTCTACCCGTAGGATACTACTATGCAATCTATAGTTTTAATAATAATAGCGCAAAAACAATTCTTGCAAATTCAGGTAATGATATCGGGGAAATATCACCTTCCAGACACTGGTAAAATTAACGTAGTGCAGCATCTTCACTTATAGTTAATAAATAGGCCTTAAAAATGTTACCAAATGATGTCATATACTGTGCTGTGTATGATACATAATTACAATGATATAATTAACTTTCACATTTAAAACAGTTTCAATTTGGCATTGTACAGTATGACCTAAGGTCGAAAATTAATCTGTATCTTTCTAATACAGTTGTTAATAACAATTTATTCTTGATAAAGAATGACAATGTACTGTAATTGTCTGATAGCTAGTTAAAGCACCTCATGCGATACTTGTGTAAAATTAATTAAGTCTGTTAACAGCACCATTTAACATATCGGCATTATCGTGCTAAGTAATGCAATATAAGTATGATACAAACAGAATCGTACCTCCAGTGCCAATTGCAATAAATGCGAGACCGCCTATATAAAAAGCTGATTGAGCACTAGTGGAAAACGGTAAATCATACGGGGCTGCAACTAACACCAGTGCCACAGAACCAACAATATAAATTAAACTGCTGCCGAAAATAGTATTATATTGCCCAATAAAGGAATCTGCGATGTATCCGCTAATTATAGGTATGGCATAGCCTGTACCAGTGAAGATAAAATTTATGGAGGCAGCCTCAGGATTAGTAAAACCAAGGTGGGTATTTGCAAAAAGTACGAGATTAGCAGAAACGCTATAATAGGTCAGCCGTTCACATAATTCCGTTAACAAAATGCATAAAACGATAACTTTGATCCTGAACGGAACAGTATTGTTGCTACTAGAACGAGTAGTAAAGTCGTTGTCACTGATGCTGTTCTTATTCTCATCAGAGTACGGTATCGCACCATCTTTTAAGAGATGCGTTTGCTCGGTCACAGTTTCTTCCGACATTTCTTGTTGCCTTGACAGCGATAGCAAGTCTTCAACCGCTACTGTAATTTAATGACTAATTCTGGTGATAGTATGAAAGTAAGGTGATGGTCATTGACTCATGTGTACTGTACGTATAGTACCGTAGATATTCAGATGACGCATAGCGCGTACAGCAGTGAATTGCGTGGATAGTACAGTACAGTACAGTACAGCGCAGTACCAGTACTGTACTGTACACTGTACGGTACTTACACTTACAGCCCTTGAACAATAACAGTTTTATTAGAGGGTGGGATTTTTTCTGTTACAATTTACTATAATGTTTTATATCTCGAATTATGATGCCTAACAGTACATTTTGCAGGGGAATTTGACTTAAAAAGTCAAGATTTTATGTGATACAAAAATATCAATCCACAGCAGTGTATTAGCGGATTCTTTTATTAGACCGCAATACAAATGAGAGGATAATGCTTAAAAAACCTGGCTATATAAAATTAAATTTAAAATTAAAATCTAATCTACAATCTTTAAAATTTTTTATTTATTCATATATAAATGCAATAATTACATAATTATTATTTATTATTATTACTAAAAAGAAAGGATTCCGCGTGATAAACGCGTGACTTTGTAATAGTCTTGTACAGTACTGTACTGTACTGTAGTACAAGATGCACCAGTAGTCCATACTTTACTGTACTGTACTGTACTGTACTGACTGTACTGTACAGTACAGTACAGTACAGTACGGTACGTAACTACGCTGAGCTACAGTACAGTACTGTACAGTACAGTACTGTACTGTACGTAACTACGCTGTGCTACAGTACAGTACTGTATAGTACAATATACTGTACTGTACAGTACTGTACTGTAGATCATGAATTAAGTCATAAGATCATATCTACAATACAGTAGATTTACTATTGCGCTATCAATTCATAAGGGTTCGTGCTTCCAATTAAAGTGTCATAATACAAATCCAACAGCACTAACATACTTAGCGCAATCTATTATTATCTCAGAATCTTAATCTACATAAGCATCTCAACAGAATTACTACAATACTTACTGTGAACATCTTCCCCAATGATTCTAATTATTACTGTAGACACTTACAATCTAGCGTACAATCTTAGTCTTAAGCTTATTTGGGGGCTACACTACTTAGCTATACACGATTTTTGCGTCCATTTGAATCGAAATGGTGATCTTTTAGATTGCTTTATCTTAGTGATCACGATAAACCAAATTTTGTGGAAATGAATACAAGCATCGTATAGTCCAAAGTTATTCTTCTCATATCTGAAGTGAACATGTCTTAATATGAGATACTAACATGTATGGAATTAAAACCAAATGAACGTCTTCTTGCAATGTAACCCTTTCTTCTAACTATATCTTCAACTAGTATTAGTTAGATTATTCAGCATTATTTACAAATTTATAACATAACGAAAGTCCTGTAAGGTACAGTATGTTTAGCATTGTAACTATTTGTAGCATTAAATCCAAAGATTGTGCTCTCAAGCTAATCCCCTTGTATCCTTAATAAAGATCTCTATCTGATATCTTTGCTAAATCTTGTACTGTATCAACTGCATCGGTAGCCATACAGTATACGACCTTACAATGTTACATATTAAACTGAAAAATCCTCCAACAGCGCCTGAACTAAATGCAACCTATTTGTACGGCCAGAGTTCTATTATTCCTCTTACTAACACTATACATCCTCTTTCAAAAATTATAATCTTTGTGAAATAGTAACGATTTAATCTCTCATTCAGCCATATGGCATTAAATAATTAATTTAAGTATTGCGATGGAATGAGCGGGTAGTAATATACTAATCTTTATAAGGAGAATACATAAAATATGCAATGGTATTAATCATTAATTAACAGGTCGATGCAGTATCGTTTTATTACTCAATTGATAAATGCTATTAATCCCTTTGCAGTGAGATAATTTGCCGTATGGATATTTAAGATTTAATAATAGTCCTTAACGTTACATAAAGCTCTTACTAACAACCTAGCAACATAGAATGAAGATACTAAAATAGATTTTCGGCACAATAAGCGCTGTCTTCGAACGAGCAAGGATTAAATTAATGAAATACGACGAACATCAGTTCTTTTTAAAACTTTAATCATCCACTAGGAAAATTGCCTTGGCTTATCTATAGAGGCCTTATAAAATAGTTTATCACGCGAGCAACGAATTTGGTAACCATTAACAGATCATTTAATGCACAATGAATTCGATATCACAGTCATTTTGTAGTCGATTATCCTTACCATATGCAGAAGGTTGCATATTCAAAAATCCAATGATCATAATGATATTTTGCCTCATATATGCATTTACTTTCTTCCACGGAACCTTCTGTTGTTTCTTAGTATGCAAAAGTTTTTGGTTAAAGAAAAAATCATTTTGGAAAAGAGACTTATTTTATTTTAATTTAACTATATCAGATCTATTGCTAATCTTGGTAAACACGGCTATTGGAGTTTTCATTAGTATTTACGGAACATCTGGAAGTATAGGGTGTAAATTTAATACTTATTTATTAAATGTTTCGCTTCAAACTGAAATTTTGGCGATTTCTTTTATAACTTACAACCGATATCGCATATGCAGTAAATATTTTTATCAAATTAGTTCGAGACGTATTCATGACTTGAGTCAAGAAAGGGAATACTTCTACCGGACTCAGAGTTTAGTTATGATAATTATGGTCTGGATCATGGTTATGTTCTACAATTTGATCTATTTAGTATTTTCAACTAATGTTCGAAAATTAAACGATAATTTAACTGTAACAGAATTCGGTTGCGATGAAGCCTGGCCATCTCTATCTCTTAAAACAGGATTTTACGGACTACAAATTGCTCTCTTTTTTATACTTCCGTTGCTCTTTTTTATATTTTGCTACTCTTATATATTCTTCAAGTTTATGCGATTTAGACCAGCTGTGGCTATCATTTTAGGATCCTTCAACAGATGGCTTCCTCAGCGTAAATTTGCTAAAATTGAAATTATCATAGTGTTGACCTATTTCGTCACAAAAACTCCTTATTATTTATGGGTTACTATTCACTCTATCTTTACTCCATTACCGTATTGGTCCAAGTTAACAGTTATTATTTTTGCAACCCTTGGTTCTTGCATCAATCCGATAATCATCTTACTAATAGAAAATCGGTTTAACAAAAGTCAAAGATAAAAATCAAGTACGATTAAATCAAAAGAATTTCATAAAAAATAATACGATACTTACCCTTTATACTGTGCACCAAATTGAGAAATTTCCATATTTCCAGTACTTTCTAGCTTAATTCTGTATATAGTACGGTGCATTTTGATAGTATTTCTAGCAGTTAAAATAAGAAATATTGGATGCTATGTAGTAAATACTAGCTATCATAAGAGTTCGAGAGCATACTACAATGCTTATTCATTGCTAGGTTTAAATTTAAAATTAAAGTATAAAATTTGCCTCACTTAGATTTTGTCTGTGCTGATACTACAAAAAACTATAACACCTGACATTAACATTAATAAATTGATAGGTAACATATGAAAAGAACCATTCACTATAAACGACAATATTGAAATATAAAATATTTTACATGAAACCAGCATCAGTAACCAATACACTTAATACCGTATGAAGCACTATAAAGTAGAATCTAAGAACAATTCTGCATCGCCAATATTATGTTCATTAAGTCCATCGTGATATAATATATATTGAAAGATTTTTAAATCGTATATATTATATATACACCAGTTACAATTCCAAAGTTTTCATAATCTATTGCAACTTACGGAACTTTTAAAAAATTTTCAAATACTATTCAATAGCACTTGTGTTGGGTTTCATACAATTTGCTACTACGAAAAAATTTTATTGAGCAGTTAAACAGTTTTTAGCCGTAAGTAAAATCTTACAATGACGTTAGTTACAACAGTTATTAATTTATGATTCATCTACTAAATCATTTATGTGGTATTTTAATTAATTCCATTCAAACAGTCTAAATTTATGACTTTCTGCAAAAATCTTTCTTAAAGTATTTCGCTACACGGGCACATATTTAGATTCGTTAATATCAAACGTGGTTCTAGATTTATAACGATTATTGTATTAATAAAATTATTTAACTGCTACGCCTACTATAGCGCTTGTAATTTTTAAAACAAAAGATATTAAGGACTGGTAATCAAGGCAGCCAATCGCTTGTCTTCGCATTCCATTTGTAATATGGTACAATATACACATAAAATATTCGTAACCAAGCATTAATTATGTCTTATATTACACCCATTAATAAGTGCATTCTATAAAAATCGTAACTATCCTTGTTACTTCATCATTATTAATAGCGTGAATAGTAGTGTGACAACCTTGTTGTGAAAGACTTAAAATTAGCTAGTTCTCAATACTTTCTACTATACGTGTTCTGCTGAGTGGCTGCAGTTTTGAGAACTGAAGTATTAATCATTCAGTGAGGGCTTTAGTAAACATTTACTTGGTATTCAAATCCTGCTTAATTTCTAGTACGTATTTAACATAATTGTAATTAACCGCAATTTCCATATTAAGTTTTATATTACTACGAAAATAGTACTTCTTATATACGCTATGAATCGAGTCGCCTCTATTTCCTTCGTAATATAATCATAGGTATTTCTTTCATTAAATATTATTTCATTTCATATTACTACTTGAAGATTTATAATCAAATCTAGTTCTACTAGAATCATTGAACTTGGGCTAATATACTTTTCGGAAAGCATTTATACCTTTAATACCCCCTCTGTATTAGTTACATAATTGTTCGTTTATTAAAAGGTTATAGATTGCTGTAAATATCATGATCAATCTAATGATTAGTGTTTCAATAATTGCTTCAGAGATTCTGTATGCGATAAATATTTCGCATTGATTAAAATTCGAAATTTGCACAAGTACTTACATTTTCATCAAAAAAAGAATATATGGATAAAAGTTATCTTAAAAGGACCATCTTTCATCAGAAGACAAAACTTAAAACGAGATTGAATATAAAGAACTATTGCAATAATAATATAGTTTCTTGACTTTCAAATCAAGGAGTGATTTGACTATCATAAATTTTCGAAAAGGTCTGAAGTATGATCTAATATCCATTTATAAATTTATCTCTGTTAGTGACATTACAGCTCTTAGTTAAGCCCAAGATGAGCTAATATTTCACAGTTTGATTGATTCGGTTGCAAATGTATGGGTACTAGTGAATTGACGGTTACGATATGATCTAGATTCTGCTCACTAAATAAAAAATAGCGATTCTTTTGTAAATAATATTGCTTTCAAAATATCATATACTAATCATTAATATTACCGTTAGATCCACCCTAATCGTAGTAAAGTATGAACTTTCATACGTATTAAATGAATATCACCGGCTTATAAATTACCGTATTTAAAAGAAGGTAATGTTTATGATTATGGATTAAAATTTCGTAAAACTAACTGGCGAAGAAAATTTAAACTTTTTTAAATTATTAACTGTTAATTTACAGTATATCAGTAAATAGTCTACAGTCTCTACACTATAACTTATACAATCTATTTACTTAACATAAATAGCGGTATTGTTTCATTCTTGCAACATAATTACTTTACCAATATCTTTTTTAGTATTCATTAATGACGACGTACAATCTGTATTGTTGTTTATAGCGATACAAAAGTTCTGTTATTAAATACCAGAATAATTCATAAAAAAATTGCTTAATAATAGTAAGGTTGAATTTAATCCTTTACAATTAATGATCTTATAAGTATTAGGAAATGACGCCGAAAACCAAGCGACGTCACTAATAAAATTACTATTTTTGACATTTAAGGTTAACTTTATTTTAGAGCAGGATTTATAAGCAAACGTAACAAGTTTGTTCTTAGCGGAAAAATCTTAGAAAACTATATTTATATTTAGCATCTTATTAATTTAGAGAAGCTCTCATATATTGAACAAGGAAGTTTAAATATTAGAAACATTGATCACTTAGAAAAGAAATACGAATTACGTCCTTATGGCCTTGGAAGAAAATCTTAATGGGAGCATTGTAAGTTATCATTTTCGAAATAGTACCGTTAGTGAAACTCATACAGCCTCTACAATATTAATTATCGCAGTATCGGCTATTATTTTCATTTTGGGAGCATTTGGTAACGTTACAGTTTGCATCGGCTTCTTACGTTATAGAAGCTTGAGGACAAAAACCAACATACTTTTACTAAATTTAGCAATATCTGATTTAGTGGTTGTCTCATTTAACGTGCCACTTAATGCAGCAGTCTTTATTTCTCGCTTTTATTATCACTTCGGTCCCATAATGTGCAAGATTCAATATTTTATTCATAGTACAGTCATTGGTGTGGTTACCTTGACCTTAGTTACTGTTAGTTTTGATCGCTATCGCAAAATTGTATGTGCCCCTCGTAAAATTGGTTTTACTCGAAATCAAATTTCATACATTATATTGGGAATCTGGATATTGTCTATTTGCCTAAATGCTGTTCAAATAAGAATATTAGAGTTAATACCTGCATCAGAGGCCGTTGATAAATTTTACTGCATCGAAGTTTGGCCTTTTCCTAATCATATAAATCGAAGAGCATATTCCATTGCTCTCTTCATTGCTTTGTACGTAATTCCAATTACACTGCTAATATTTTTTTATACGTCGATTGTACGTAAAGTTTATCAGTCCAGGCCTAATGCTGTACCGTCTATTATAGTTAGCAAATGTAAACGTAAGGTAATTCGTATGATGATTATTATTGTAACATTATTCTTTGTATGCATAACACCAAATTATATACTAATATTTCTGTACGATATTTTTTCTGGTGAGCATGTTAATAATATTCCGATACCGCCTTGGTTATCAATCGTAAGCTTATGGATAGCATTTGGTCATTCATTATGCAATCCAATAATTTATTTTGTGTGTTACAGTCGGTTTAGATCTGTTTTTTTGAACATGTTTAGGTGTAAGAATAAATTATCAAAAGATAATAGTATTGGCGGTAATAGCCATTTTATAATTCTCAGTTTATCACCTAGACCTTCAAGATTTTCCATGGCTACCTTGATCTAATATAAAATTTAAGCAGTTCCCTGATTATACTCATATGAGCTTTTTCTAATTATCTATACAATAATCAGTTTATCATCAATAGACAGTATCAGGGTTATCTTAAGAAATTCATGATACTGTAATAGTAAATAACTTATAGCTTATTTATTTATGAAAGATATTTGGAGGCCGTAATAATTTAATTAGATAATACTTAATTATAATATTGTCTTAATTATTATTGCAATTGTAGTGGCCGTAGATCGTTTAGAAAATTACGTTATCCTTAATTGACTAAAGTTATTTGTTAATTTTTCATATCTGATTAATTGCCGCCTAAATAAGTCTCATTCAAAATAAAATAAACATGCCAATACCAAAAAAGTAGTACAATGACGAATCCATCTAATTGTTTTTAATTTACGGTCTTGTTAGTACCACATAAAACTTATTTAACTCGAGATGCAACGCTGTACGGTATATCATTTTACTTAGCATGTTTTAAGGAAGTTGAAACGTAAGAATTATAGTGTAACAATATTTCTTTGATTTATATTTACCTCAATGAACTATAAATTCCGATTTCATTATTGGTACTGATAACGGCTACGCGTAAATAAATACCCATCTTACATTTTACGTTTTAGTATAAAGTGAGAACACTGTGGTAACAGTAAGCGGCTATCCAGAATTCTTCAACTAACAATATCAACGTGATACGATAATACAGTACTAGACATCACTGACAGCGCTCTTCAGCTACTCTATAGTGCTGTTAAACACTATAAGAGCGTGTGTCAAAAGCTACATTTTACAGTACACATGGGTGAGATTCGTTAGTAGTAACTGTGGTGCTGTAGATTGAAGTCAAGTATCTCAAATACAATAAGAGCTAATGGCTACGATGAAAACAATATTTAGAACTGATGATATTACGATATAAAGCACTACGTAATTCGGTTACCAGAAGCACCCTCTACACTGGTGATTTTAAGGAAAGTAATTTTCTTTATTAGTTTTAATTAAATTTATACTAATTTTTAGATCTATACTTACAATAATAGCCATTATAAATTAATTATAAGCGATTTAATTTTGCATGATAAGTGAAAATGGTGATGGATTTACTATTTTTTCGTTACTAATTTTCAAATATAAATCGACTATTATTCAGTGACAACGGAACAGAAACTGATTCGGTAGCTTACTATTTGGCACAGTTTTGAGAAGCTTTATATAGAAGCACAATATAAGGAACTAGGAATAATTAATTCAACGGACGTATAACTCAATCAGCAGACTACTACTGCACGATTAGATATAGTATAAATTGATTGGGAAGGCACAATAGAATGAATCAGACGTAAATTGGCAAATATATTTTGCTTGAGATCCTAGTTAAGCGTTCACTAGTGTGCACCAGTTTCGCCTGTATGGAACTTCTGTAGCGTTTCCTTTCAGTGTTAAAGCGTATCAGTTTATTCGGTACAACATTCGTATTTATACCTATGTAGAAACCTTGTTTATTGCTTGTAACATAAGTACCAGTATACAAGTACATAATCTTTAAGTCTGTAATAGAGAGGTAATACCGAGAGTAAATTTAAGAATATTTGTATGTATTTGCGAGGTATTTAAATCTACTGTGGTGCACTCGAATTTAGCAAGCAGAAATATGTTTATATTATATGATCATTTTACTCTCGAATCCTAATTTTGTCTGTGTATATTTGACGTGAAATATCACAAGTGAGATTCTTTAGTAATATAGTCTATAATTCAGTTGCACGGTGCAAATTATAGTATTACAGCATTGTTACAACATGAATTCATTGATTTCAAGAAATAATATTTCTAACAACATTACATCAAACAAGTTGCTTCATTTTACTTATTAAATTTTAGTCTATGAGTATAAAATTTGTACTAGTAATGAATATCATAAAATAAGAAATGAGACAAAATTTACAAGATTATCTCACAAACAAATCGGTAATTTTTGACGCACATGTACTCAAAGCAAAAATTATTTTATTCGATTGTAAAGCCTGGGGGATATTATTTAGCATAGATAACTGTACGATATTATGACATTAAAGTTAGTTAACAAAATCTATATAACAAGTTTTCAAACAGATAAAAGTATAAAATTGATACAAGCAAAACAAATTTCAGAGTTGATGCAGATACTCTTAATCATTAAATCTACTTTATAAATCTTCTGCATTTAAATAAACTTTACCGGTATAAGATGATGAATAATTACTGGTTCTGTTAATGGTGTTAGGTTCTAAGGTAACAATTTCGTTCATGGCTGTATAAACTCCCCTAGAATTTTAGATGAGTAAATTGGGTCGAAATGAATTGAAAGGTAGATTATTTTTATCTCTACCATTACCAGAAACCGCTAATACCTGATAGATCGCAGATTGCTATGGAGTTCAAAACTTTCTGTAAACAATTGCTGGGTTAACTGCACAGCTCTTTCGTAGTTATCTTCTAATCGGTTGGCGACCATAGGCGAACTAGCAGTTCGAATTGCTAGCATTTCAAGAATTTGTCTAATAGAGATAATCATACATGCAACTTCTCGAGGCATTCTTAAGGCTATCCTGTAAAAGTAACTCTCAATGAATATTAAAATATTTTTTTACTACAACCAGATATCTATCCGTACCAATCGTCAAGTAGAACCAGGTCATCTTTCCACGTGATTCTCTGACATCCAAATAACAATAGGTGTAATGGTGATATTACCGTCAAGTGTTTCAAATAGATAACTTCTGCATGTATCTAACAAATTGTCATTGTATGCACGTATTAATTAATCGAATTACTATACGTTATTAAGCAACAAATCAATAAAGTCAAGTTGAACAGAGATCATATACCTTTTCCGAGTAAGTAAAGAAAGGATAAGGAAATGATTTGCAATTATAGTTAATTGATGATGTATGTATCTGGGCAAACTGTTCGTTATTCATCCGAAGTTTATTGTTTTTATTATAAACACATACGTTGGGATAAAAGCCAATACATAGAAGAGCACATATCTGCAATAGAGAAAGAATTGACATCTCGTTACCTGTTCGTTGTTATAAGAAATAAATATTATACATTAATTAATGTTAGCTTCGTCCTTTATTACATTGTTTAGATCAGTTTCATTCATGATAGGGAGATTTCGTCTCCTAGAGAAGCATTCTGTAATAGCAATTTATTTGTCATTTAAGGTGTCTAAAGGTCTGGAATAAGCATAAGACTCTTCTTTACCTTCACTAAACCCAGTATGAATTAGTAACTCTATTAACCAATTCTAAATAGACAAAGGCCATTTGATGTGAGTTATATACGAGTAGTATTTAATAAACCATCAATTCAATATCTAAAACGTTGGGTGGTCATGCTTAGTTAGATATTTAACTAACTTTAGCTTCGTAAATTAATCGTAAAGCTGATACGGATAGTCCGTGATTTTTGCAAAAATTCTCTTCACTATCAATTCCAGCATTACTGCAACAATAGAATCAATCGAAACATGTTATACGTTCAAAAATACCTATAAAAATCACATTTCTCCATTAAAGCAGTTCAAATTATCTGCTAATTAATTGTTTAAAACTAACCGAGCGCGTTGCCATGCCTGGAATGCTCCTAAAACCGCGATATGATCGCTATAACGCTTACTCGAGAACTGTTTATGCAAATAGGTAGGACCATCAACAATTGATCTTATAACAAACGGTTCGGGTAAGCTATCAGCTACGGCGATAATACAGGCTGCATTTGCGCATCTAATTAATCAGTTTCAGTATTATATTACTATCGTTACACAATATAATTAAACTAGAAAACAAACTTCAATTGATGTGAATATAGATATTACTCCTACAAGAAATTTAATGAGATTCAATGCACAATTCATACTTAAATATGCAGCTGAGTATAATCATTCTACCAAGACGTGGTTCGATTGGTAATTTAGAAAGGATCAAACCGACATCAGTAAATTCAATCATTCTGGTAATTGCACCAATTCCTGCTCGATAATATGTAGATTTTAGTTAATATCCCTTAAATACGCTAGAAAACTGGCTTTTGAGCTTAACGCAATTCCTGACAGACCTACCAATTAAAAATGAGATCGCAACTTCGATAGCTTCTAATGAAGGTGGCTGTAATGCTCTCTTAAGAATAGTAGCAGGATTACCTAGGCTAAGTAGCTTTAATATCAAAATGACTTCGTGTAGCGGGCTTCTTAATATTTCAGGAACGAGATACTGTGGTAGCCTAAGGGCGATTACGGTAATTTGTAAGTTATAGTACATCATGTATCAGCTATATCGTCGGTTTAACCCTTACTTGGTATATTGATCAGTGGTGCAAAGATGAAAGCAGTACCCAGGTCGAGTCCTTCCAGCTCGACCCCTCCGCTGTTTGAGAGCAGATTTAGAAGCCCATATAGTCTCGAACGAACACGAATTGTCCCGAGCACAATAGCGTTTGATAGTGGTTCTAAAATCGCAAACAATGACAAAAATCGAAGCATTTATTACATATGATATGATTTCCGATAGGATCTGCTGCAATTACTTCGCCGAGTCGATAACAAATACCACATCACGAATCGTTATACTTGATTCTGCAATATCGGTTGATAATATAACCTAAAGTAAACGACATAATTAGATCAGTTCATAAACATTGTAAATCTAAAATATCATTGTTACTACCTTAGTAATTTCTGCTTTATTGACATTAAATATATCCCGTTGTGCTTCTCGAGAGATTTGTGAATGGAGAGGTAATAGAAGAAATTTGTTTGTACCTACTTAATATTAATACAAGGTGTATTAGGCATTACTCGTTTCATTGATTTGTATTTCACTAAATCGTTATGATTAATGTATTAATTGCAACTAATATCGTAAAGCAAGTTGACAAACCAAATAATTTGTGATCCTTTAACAAGTGATACAGAGTAGAAATAGCATTCCAATCAGGTAAGAATATTAGAATATTCCCAGAGACGTTTAAATTAACGACGTAGCACAGCAAATTCTTTTTAGAAATAAAAAAGCGGGTTTTAGATCACAGAAGTACTTATAGTTAATGCATTACCCTATAATGACATAATACCTCTATTAAAATAAATTCTTTGCTACTGGCTTCGTATAGTGGGGAATCAGCATTAACATTGGCCTGAAAGATATTAAATTCAAAAATTAGTCATTTTATGATATTGATCAAGACGAGCTATTGATAAAAACTTGTGAAACTGAGTCTATGCTAGTAGACTAACCTGAGGTTCAATAAGAGTTACACAGTCTTCTAAAAAATACTCTATAACAAAACCAATTTGTTCATTTAGCATCACATAGCTCACATCCAAAATTTTGTGTATCACTGCAATAAACCATTAAATAAACCTTTTTAGTTTACCTGTAACCGAATAACACTTTTCAGTTATGTTGATTATAGGACATTTTCCAAAGTAACTAGATATATCGTCATTATCAGCTGTAGCAGACATCAAAACGACTTTGAGGGTTGGATATGTTCTAATCATGTCTCGCAGTATCAGTAGTAACACGTCAGTCTGAAATGTAGTACACATAATAGATGTTGACATTTACTGTAAGTCTTATATTAAAATCTCTTAATAAAATAGTAACCTTAAGGTCGCGTTCATGGATCTCATCTATAATCACATGTGATACACCTCTCAATCCTGATTCCATTCTGCGTAGTAGTACATCTTTTATTATAAAAATTATAAATTTATGGTAAAAGCATAAAAGTACCAGATTTATCAAGCATATAGATAATAACTTATCAGTAAGTTGTTTACCAACCAGAAGTGCAAAATAATATCGAAGCGTGGGGTCTAGGTAGCAGCTTCTCAAATTTTACGCAGTAACCAACGCTCTCACCTAAAACTTCGCATCTTTCATAGGCTACCCTTTCAGCGATTGATATCGTACAGATGCGTTGTGGCTACAGTGCGATACTAGAGTATGAGCTTATTGTATCTTCAACTTGGAAACACATAATATTTAATAACAGTAAAAACCTGAGTAACTATAACAGCACAATCTGATCCACGCTCTCGACCAATCATATCATCAACAACGAATTGCGGTACCTAACAAATTGATGTCTTTTAATTGATTACTATTAAACATTTAATCTTTTGGATTAGATTTTCGTAATACCTGCGTGGTTTTTCCACAGCCTGTCATTCCGCAAATGATTACTACTGGATTACAGTCAATAGCATCCAATATTCTTACGGCCGATCTTGATATAGGAAGACTTTGACGTTCTAGGATTCTCTAGAACAGGCCATTCATAAATTAATCTTAATTCTTCGGATGTAATGTTGCCGCAAATGTATGTGAAGAGAGTAAAATCAGTCTGTTAGCTAGAGCTTACCTGCTGTAAAGCAGGTTCGAACTTAAGTTTACGCTGTTGTTCAGTAAATAACTGCTTATTTGTTGTATTCTTATTGGAATTCTGTAAAGAATAGATAATATAAAGATGCACCATACACTATAAGTTAACATAAACGTGCTCGTATTTAGAAGTATGTTAATCCTTAATAAAATTGAAAGTAATTACTATAGAAATTTCACAATTGGTCCACGGATTCCATGATACAGAAGGCGATCGCCAAGTTATAACACTATCCGTACCACAGTCGTTCTGGCCGACTTTGAATTGGCGGGGAGATTCAAATAACGTACTTTCGGAAGGTTTATTATTTTCCTAATATTTAATAATTTAGATATTGTTAAACTAATTCAGAAAAGAGATGTTCTTTTTAATTAAATTGATGATTAACTAACCTGAGGGCAAAATTCAAATAGAGTTGTAATATTTCTTAAAGAAGACAAAATGCTATCTGAGACTCTAAAATCGAAAGGTCCCGCATTCTGATAAAGTAAGAAGAAATATTTATATGAGTCTTGATGACGTTGCCTAAATTTTAGGCAGTAATTTCAAGGAGTTTACTTGTTCTTCTTTCTTCGTCGTATCAGTTAATTCGGAAAAATAAGCCTCTATCTCTCCAAGTCGATATAATTGTCCAACTAATGAGAGAGAACACATGCGATTTGCTTGCTTCTTGGTAGGTCCAGAGCCAGATCCAGTAATTACTAAAAATTGTCGAATTAAATGTTGCCAATTTAAATTGAAATATATTCTCTGTACCATTATCCTTGCCTAATTAATATCTAGTACCTTTGCCTAAGTGTTTAATGGTAATCGTCATCGACGCAGTATATGTTCTACAGTAAAACAATTGAATAGGATATTGTAAATTATCGAAACAAGAATTTGAAATAAGGTATACAATAGCTTAGAACAAACCTTAAATGATCTGGTCCATTCGAAGTGTAATCGAAATTAAGAGGTAACTTATTCTTTTGTAAATATATATTAAGTTTCGGGCGAGAATTTTCCATAGTCCAATTTCCAGTATCTGATACAGTGTGTGAACTGTCCTTCATATTTTCAATATTAAATAGATCGTATTAAATGGTCACGATCTTGTATTGTACGATAATTATAATTTACATCTTAAAAAATGATTTATAAATACATACCGTATTATTTGTTGCAGTCGTCAAGTAATGGGGTATTGCTTCATTCTCTACATAATTTAAGAGAGAAATAATGAGAGCAATGTAATAGGTCCTTAGCAGTCTCTTAACTGTACAGAATTTGTTAGCTACCACGACGCATCACAGATTTTTCATCTCTGTTTCTCATTTCGACTATATCTGTTTCATCCTCAACAGTAAAGGATGCTGTCGTAAAACCAGTACCATTAAATTTCGTATTGGTATTTGACGCCCCAACGCTATTACGATCACTAGGATTAATCTGCATAAATTAAAATATGATATTTTTGTACATAAAAAATGAAAGTATAACGACAAACATACATATACATACTGTAGCATGCTTAAAGAGTAGCAGAAACCTGTAAACAAGTACATACTACGAGGAGAATTAATGCATGGCTTTGAATACGAACTTTAGACTTTCTGCTTGGAGTGTAAGATTCTATTTCTTTAAGACAGTATAACTGCCGAACTACAGACAAACAGCATAACTGAGCAGCCTCTTCCTTCGTGAAACCAGTTTCAGCAGCAGTTACTTCTAAGTATTATAATTACAATCAGAAGGGATTATTCCAACAGTAAAGTATGTAGAAACATTATTTATGAACTTATGCCACAGTACCTTTAGCTAAACTATCGATGTATATTGAAAATGATGCTCTAAAACGTCTTATATATGTTTAATGTAACATATATATAGATCCATTGATTAGAATTACAGAACAGAAATTTATTAATTTGTTATAAACCAAAGTATATAATACTTCTCATCATCAGATCCGATCGTGAAATATTTAAAATCGTTTGATAAATTATTCTTCTGCAAGTATTCATTGAGACGAGGACGAGAATTATGCAAGGTCCAGTAACCATTTACGGCTAAGTCGGGAGATTCCAACACATCGACATCAAGTAGCTTAAGAAAATGAAGCCAGGATAGTAGAGAAAGCTTCCATTAGCCGAATATTTGCACTTCTCCCGTTCAAAATAATCTACGCATCGCTATGCATCTTATACCTGTTCAGCCTTCCTTTTATTATTAGATGATAGTACACGTTCGTATCCAGAGTCTTGATTACAGATCTTCTTATCTTTTAGCAAGAATAACAAGGTAGACTGAGTCGGTGGTAGTTTGGCAATTGGTTATTAGGAAAGTACTAGCTATCTGCTAACCTTGGTAGCAAGGTCTATCTTCATGTTGCAAAAGCGGACTATTCTTGATTTCGTAACGTTACATCGCAATTTCAATAAGTTAGCCGAACGTAGAAAATGATTCGAAATTAATTACCTACAGATATCTATTAAATAAGCAGCAACTTTTCGATCTTAAACCGCATTTTTATACTTGTATTAATATGCAAAAGTTTAAGATATACAATATTTGGGTAGTCATCCTGGTTAGTGCATGAGACATTAAAGGCATGATGAGTTCTTGTAAATACATTACGCAGAGAAAGAGCTAATAAGCTAAATTTCTTCTTATATTTATTAACAGTTGATTAAAGAGTCAACAGTCAATACCTCAATATCAACAGCTCCTGGAATTATAATTGATTTCTCTTTCGATAAATATCTACAAAAATCAAGCGCGGCTGCTGTTTGTGCACTCTTTTTGTTTCTCGCTACTCCTGTACCTACATAGTCATGATTAGCCACACGAACCTAACCAAAATATAACAATTATGCTGCACTTTATATTTAGATTCAGCTTTTTTAATTATTTGCAGACTGAAGTGATTCAGTTTTACAGTACGCATATGTCTTCGTTTGACTTGCACTAAAGGTAAATTCTTCACGGAATTTATTTTAAGCAAGTTAAACGGAGGACAGCTTCGGATTGAAGAATATAATTAATTTTTATGATACGTCTTTAGATGATGTTGTGGCGTGTTGATCGCGATCATGGTGTCCTAGTAGATCCATGTTATGATACGTTTAGAGCATGCCCTCAACAAGAAAAATATAAATTTTATTGTCTTCTTGATGCCGGCACAACGACATACTGTACGATGACAAAATTTTTAAAGGTTTTCATTAAAATATCATTGCGTTCAATAATCTCCGATTTTGGTCAGTAGTGAGCATTCTAGACCTTAATGCTTTGTATGAGTGAGACTAAGTGCATATTGAATTCTTGTGCAGCCTTCGTCACAGATATATTTAGCACTAGGACATTATCGGAGTCTTAACAGTAATAGTTGCATAATCCTCAGGTCTTGGGAAGCGGCGCACTGTTCTATTGTATATACGTAACTGACTTATATTTAGTTAAGAGATTTATCTGCAACATAAGTGAATATATTATAGAACATCATAGTCCTGTTAAATAACTAATAGTGGAAATATTAATTTGGGTTAAAAATCATTTCGACTCTTTAATAAGTCATGATCTAGTATTGATATGCTTTTTGACATTTTTAGACTCAGAGTGTAATTAATGTACGACGAGTACGAGTAAACTTCACTATTGGCTAAAAAATTTCAGGTTTTCTCACGTCTTCGAAGTTACATCATAGAACGCTTCTATGTATTGAAATTTTTGTAATTACTAACTTCTTCGCAAGTACGTCGAGTATTAACGATGGAGACAAAAAAAGGATTTACTGTAATATCTGACTTATTAATAGCGAAAGATTAACTTACTATTAGATTGAGTTTTGGTTTTTAAAACACTGCAAAAAGACAGTGTCTAGCTGACATAAGCCGAGTAGTGTAAATCATAGAGGTAAAATTTATTTACTTCTATGATGAAAACTGAAAAGAAGTTTTACGCTAGATACAAATCTTGCACAACCTAATGCTACACGGTAAAGCACAATTTACCATTCTCTGTTTCTTTCAATATCATGTGGCATGAACTATCTCTGCCTTTACGATAAACGCATGTAAGTACATTTCAGAGCTTACATTTATACTTGTGTAAGTAACGAATGAAGCTGCTTACGATTGACTGTCAAACTATGAAGGTACAGCAGAGTTCATGCTTATTTCAATGGCTGGATTTTAGAAGTTTTACAATTTAAAGTGATACCCACTTCGCTAACAAAACCTCCACCACATGCCTTCACGGTATATTTGGGAGTGATTTTCTGTTTTCCACAGTAGGCGTACAGAGAATTCTTAATCCCAGTGGCCATTATTGTACAGTAGGGTTATGTTCTGTGTTCTATATATGTACGTTACTGTATATATGTCACGGTCCAAGCTTGCCTACTGACTACAGTATAGCCAGAATTCACTAGTTCATCTGTCCACGATTGTAACATTGTACAGTGTACAGTACAGTGTACTGATGTACACTGTACAGTACAGTGCTGCACAGAACTGAGTATGCGTAGAATACTATTTGTATTCTGCATTCGATTCATAATTCCCGCCGTTTCGCTCATTAAAAACGTACTGCTGTATACTGTACTGTACTGTACACTGTAGATGTTGATTTCGATATCTCAAATACTCAGCATACAGGCTATGATTCAGATTTTTTATGCCAATTAAAGAGTAAGATGTCGCGCCAACCCAAGTAGAAAATGGTAAAAATTTGAGTTATACAGTGCTGTAGATTGCAAAAGTGATACAATACAGTACAGTATATCATCGTTAAGCTAATCTCCCTCCAGTGATATTATGTTGTAAACAGACTCCGATAACTATTATTGAATAATATGATATTACTGTACCATCAATTATATTACTGGATAAAGGTATTGTACCGTGTAATACGTAGATAACTCTGGCATGCACTACATTTTTCATAGCCTCGATCTGTTGCCAGTTTTTTTCACGGACAATCATACAGTACTGTGCGACAGACAGTACAATCAAGCATTGAGTGTAGTCTTTCAAAATATTGCCATTTACCCGATTTACATAGCAACGTTCATAGGTAAGAAGTGCATCTAACGTTACTAGTCTAGAAGTCGTTGGTGGCTGACCTTTTCATATTTCTTTTCAGATTTGAAAGGTCTAATAGCAGTTATTAAAGTAAAGTTTATACGAGCTCGTATACTAAATCGAACGCAGATATGTACAATTTATTACAAATAAAATTATAATGCTAAATAATAAGCGAATAATTATAAATAATAATAAGATACGCGTATGTTAATTAAGCAAGAACGAAATCATTATAACATCATGAAATCTCTCAAATTTCAAAGAAAATTATATTCTAGGAGTTATCGTGAATACTCATATGTTGTACTGAGTATTTGATATCGAGGAAATATGGTATAGAGTAAATTTAAGGTACACATTGTATAAATACCGCATAAAAATTCATCTCATTATCAATACGGACGGGTACATTATTATATCAATGACCTACAGAACCCTAACGAAGCGCGAGTAATTGTAATTATAAATTTATCGAATAAAAAGCTCATATCAAGCGAGAATCCTAATTCTTTGTTAAATTTTCGGATCGGTAGCCTTTCCAAACCTTTACTTTCCCAAACTTGGAGCTAAAATTCTTAATAAAATTCTTTCTAATTCCTTCATAACAAACTTTGTATCCAATATGAGTATGAGAGAAATACGCTAATTTGAAGTTAAAAATTGGGAACAGTTTTGTGCTGCGATCTGTGTTTGTAGAAGTGATATTATCCCTACATATAATAAAGTTGTTGTTAAGATAATTTTTATCGTTATATGTTATACGAGAACTTCGGATCGATACTCTAAGTCATTATAATCAAATTATATCTGCTTACTCTTTTGAGATTATTTGATCGTTGGGAATTACAGCTTGAAGATCTTCAATAACAAATCCGTGTTCTTCTGTGCTGTTATCCTGCAATCCTAATATAATTTGATTACATAATTTTACGGAGTCATTTTTAGAAACTTTCAGTTCAGTACACATATTGATGAATGCCATGATGATAACTTCTGCCCACTGCTCGGATGTGTTAACTATATCTTCTGTATAAAAAGAAATATAAATTTCCGTAAATGATATTGGTGTCTTTTTCTGAGATAAATCCGAAATAATTAAATACGGATATTGTCAGTTTATTTTTCAATTATTTCGATTTATGCTTGCTAAAGCACAAAATAATAATGATTGTAGTAGCTTATAGCGTTTGTTATACTTACCTTCTTTGTTTAAACTTAAAGGACAACAAGAAGCAATTATTCTTGAATCATAAAGTGCTTGAATAATATCTTTAGAAGTATTCCAATGCTTTTCAAGGTTTCTCTCTGTTACATTCGTTGCCCACGAAAATTCAGGACGAATAACGTTATCGAATCGTAAGGATTGTAAAATTCTATCAATTGTGGTTGCACCAACTAGACTATATACAATCGTATTCGATAGCAAAAAAGATTGTATATCTTTTGCGACAGTGCCAAATTGTGACGGTAGGCAACATATAAAAAGCACATTAACCTTATTACATAGGCACTGATTATCAAAACTGCACCAAACGCCTCGCTGAGCTAAATCCTGTAACAGCTCCGGTCTTCTTGTAGAAATAAAAAGTTCTTCCGGTCTAACACCTGCAAAAGCTAATAATGAGGTGGCCAGTTGCCTACCAAGTCTACCACAGCCAATAATTCCCACTTTAACTGGGTCACGCTGAATAGATGTATTTAGAATCCGAGAACTGCTGGGCCTATGAACTACTCTAGAGGAGTATTCTTCCAATACCACTTGTCGTAATTCATTAAGTACGCTAACAAAGTACGTAGCCTGGGCACAAGCTGCAACAGTTAGTATATAACTTCTTATTCTAAGGTGTAAATAGTGACCATCAGTTTCATCGAATGCTGATTGAAATTGCAGAGAAGGTAAGTTTCGTGTGATGTCTGATTCTAGGGACATTTATTCCTTTTATTTTACTATGACATTCGTCGTTAAGATAACAAGATAAAAGTAAGATTTGCACGTTTTTAACAGTATTTATAAACTCTTTTCACTGTATATTTAAATTAGGCATCAATCAATCAATCTACTTCAATGACTTTAAATGAAATACGTAAATAAATAAGAACATGAAAATTTAGCAAAAGTTTGATGATATCTGGTTAACTAAATGCTCACCCGCAAGCACGATAGTGAGATACAGCATATGCTAGTATTACTGTACTCTCCTCAACTGTATCACGACGTGACAAAAGAAATACGTATACGAAAGCGAAGTTACAATAAAAATCATTACATTAAAAACGGGTATGAAATACGAGTTATTAAAAAGAATGAAAAGACAGCAGTCGTTTTGGTATGATCTTGGTTACCATAGCACCAAATACTGTACGCTGCACAGTGTACACTGTACAGTGTACAGTCGTGTGTAAAAATTTTGCAAATTACAAATTACTTGTACAGTACAGTACAGTATAAGAGGGTCTCTAGTGTTCATGTGCACTGTAACTATCGATTAACTACTGTACTGACGCTGTACTGTGCAGTGTACAGTACAGCACTACAGACTGCTTAGATATGGAATCTGTACTGTGCCGTAGTCCAGTCCACAACTTCCAGTATTGCTTAAGTGTACTGTACTTGTTACATACTCTCTTCACTTCTCTCGTACACTCTACAGTACAGTAGTTATCATGGCAGAACCCGCAAAGAAAGTGTTAAAAAGTAATGCCCCATCAGATAATAGTAACGTAGGAGCTTATGAAGAAGTTTGTTATGAACATCAGGAAGTGTTAGAGAATATAGAACTAATCCAATCTCAAATTGAGGCTTTAAACGAAAGAGGAGCGGACGAAATATTGCAAATAGAAATAAAATACAATACAATTAGGGAACCTTATTACTTAAAAAGGGCGAAACTGATTGAAAAGATTCCACATTTTTGGATAACTGTCGTAAGTTATTACAAATATAAAAGGATAGTTTCGCAAATTCTTCGTGAAGTATCAACTGAGCGTAAAGTTTTAACCTACGTACTCGTTATGATTAACTGCTGTTGATGTGTGTGTACAGTGCATCGTTGTGATGATTCCGGCCATGTTCAATTATATTTACGCAGCTAGCTACGATACTGTATTATTCATTGCATTACGCTGCAAGTGTCCATTGGTTAAGGTACTGTACTATACTGACTGCTTAGTCTTTTTGTGGTTGGTCCACAAATTTGCTTTTACTGATCACGGGTCTAGCAAACGAATGAAAATGTAGTAGTTATCTTTTATTCGCAAACATGGCAGGGCACTCACTTACTTTACAAGATATTCCGCCCAGTTGTATCGATTTACTGCTGCAGTAAAGTGACATTTCATCTGAACTCTCTAAAGCTCGTAGGTTACACTTAACCTTAATGAGTAGTAAGCAATAAAAATCATTTATTCTTTCTTTTTAAATACGATGAGATTATCCTCGCTGTATATCTACAATCTGCAATGAGTCTACAGTTTTGCGTTTATAATCGCGGGTAATTAATCCAGAACGATGTCGGATATCGATTTTGATATGCAACGCGACGTAATAATTCTTTCAAAGAATTGAGAATTTGTATTTGTTTATTACCGTGATATCCTAGTTGTTAAGCCATCCTACCATTGGCTGTCTAATTAATGAAAAGGACGAAGATGTCCTCAGTTACTTGGAATCGATCGATGTTCGGGAATACGAGGACATAAAATCAGGATATAGGATCACTTTTGTTAGTTTGTGCGATTGCTCTACTTGTCCATTTCTTGTAAAGTTAAATTAATTTATTTTTATTACTGACTTTAATACGTATATCCTAGAAATTTAGCGAAAATCCTTACTTAGGAAATAAGTTAATTCAAAAGGATGTCATTATTAAGTACAATGATGATGGCAATGTTATAAGCACAAAATGTACACGAATCGATTGGAAGGAAGGCATGGTAGGGTGAAATCTTGATTTACCGTAGCAATCAATATCTGTTTATTATTTCTCTCAGTCTTGAATCATTTAACTGCAGGATGTTACCGCTATTGAAAATACTGTAACGACAGGCTCAAAGAGGAGACGAGAAGATCACTATAAGAGCTTTTTCTCTTGGTTTTCAAGTCAGGATCACGTATTAAACGGTGATGACATTGGTGATGTTATCAAAGATGACATCTTTCCTAATCCACTTCAGTATTATATAGTAAGTTATCAATCTGTAATTTAGATACCAAAAGTTTGCGTTTAATTTTATCTTTGTATTACTATACAAGTACAAACTCTTATAGCGTTGCTTCACTGATTCATATTGCAGAATACTGCGGAAGCTGAAATTGAGGATGATGAAGATGTAGTTGTTGTAGATGATGAGTCTGAAGGTTAACAACTTAAATGTATTGAATTGTAGTAACAGTTTTTTATTGGATATGCCATCATACAATATTTCTTTCAACAGATACAGAGTTTCAAGATTCCGTTGATGAAAATAATAGACGTGACGTCTTTAATGACCAAGACGTAGAAGAAAGTAACCTTGAGCAAATAATAGAAAAGGAGAAAGAGAAAATATCGGATGATAGCAGCGAAGAAAATTTAGAAGACGATGATTTTGAAGTTTGTTATGCTATAAATTTATGATTCAACTCCAATCACGATTGTATTTTATTATTAATCCTCCTGATACTATTTTGCTCAGAGTGAAGGTGAGTATGACGAGGAGGTTTTAGAGGACGAAGATGAGGGATAAAGGTAACGCTGGATCGAAAAGTAAGTATTCTAAAAATTTTACAAATGAGGTCCCATACAGTTGGCTGGTTAACTTTAACCGACGTCTTTGTCGATATTGGATGGATATTTAGTAAAGTTCCTGTAATAAATGCAAAGTTGATTGTAATAGCCATGACTTCTAGAATTCAGTGCTGATAGCTATAGTATATGAAAATAGAATTGAAATATTCCTTAACAATCCTGAACGGAAATTGCGTATTTGCCGATAATTGCGTTCGCTATATCTTAGTATTCATTAGTTGTTATTTCATAGCTACTGTACTTGAGTAAATATAAATGTACGTGCATGTACTGTAGATAGCCGAACAATGATGACAGATTTCTGGTTTGCTTTTTTGCTCATTTCATGGATGTCGTTCTCTTTTGAAATAAACACAAAATTCACAGCGAACTATGTTTTTTCTTAAGTACGATTATATTTCATGACTAAACAAGAAGCGGTTACTCTTTTGACATGCTATTCTTTTATGCTTGAGTAATCAGTGTTTTGAATAATATCGAGGCAATTGAAACCTCTTAAAATTTGATTAACCAGCATTGATGAAATCGGTTAGTTACAGCCATGGAGGCTTTCTGTCATATTTCTATGTTTACAGGTAAAACGTAAAGTTTTATAATAAAAGTTACTGCACAAATATGGCGTGAAATTTTATGTCGAACTGTGGTAGAGGTTCTTTCCTAACCTCTATGGTCTCAAGTAGGGAATGCATCCAGGTTTACTCACAAGTCTCAACAGAACATAGTATAATTCAGTGGAGGAAGAAGGAAGTTACGAAATGCTCCTGAGCTGTACTCTGTAGTGTTAGCGGATGGTATACTCGCAAAGGATGCTTCCGATATGTAGAGGATAAGATAGATATTAGTATCTTATAGAGAGAGAAGCAAGAAGACTGAGCGTGTTCAGGATATACATAGATATTTATTCATATGCACTTTACTTCTAATTCTTGAGTTTATATGATAATACGATACATACACATGACACATCTGTATCGCGATGCACAGTTCACCGTACGTGAATGTACGTACGGTGCTATAGGGTTGATACGATAGTTCATTATGTTACATCTCCTGGTTAAGATATGGATAGGTCTGCTATCGCCATGCATAAACAGTTACTGAATATAGACTAGATGAAGTATAGATTTATGCGTGTACTATGGCTGGTGTGTTACTAGAGTTTCGATGAGTTTTAGAGGCTTCTTCCTGGCTCTGGATGATTTTCTGGGAGTGGGAGACACGACTTGAGGTTTGCTTGAGATCCGTCTGTACGTGAATATACAGTACGGTACTGTACTGTACACTACAGTACACTGTACTCAGGGGATGACAATTGAGTTTGTAAAGGGTGTACTGTACAGTACTGTACAGTACAGTATGATAGTTCATTACCGTACAGTACTGTACTGTACTGTACAGTACAGTATGTACTGTGTACAATTTACAGTACATTTCACTGAGTACTTTACAATTTACAGTACAGTACAGTAAAATCCTGCTTCTTTTTTAAATGTAATGTAAAAATGTACAGTAAATGTAATACTGTTACTAATACAGTACATACAGTACAGTACGAATATACAGTAGTATCAATATCCAAAAGCTGGATGTTACTAGTAGGGGAATTTTCATTACCGTACTGTACACTATAGTGTTCGATGAGTCTTAAAAGGTGCGTTTTAAGTCACTTAATTGACTTTTAATGGTTTAAGGCCTTAAGATTGAACAATAACATTGTGCAGAGTGTTGCACTAGTGTTGCACCGTGTCTTTCTTTTGGTGGGACGATCAACTTTGGCAGGTCAAGCAAACAGAATCAGTGTTTGTACGCCGCACCTGGTTTTGACGTCTTGTAAAATGCTTGCGAATTACCTAAAAATTCGTGAACGCGGAGATAGACTAAGTGTAAATAATTCTCGCATTTATCCTATTAACTGTAAATAACAAGACGGAGTTGACATTATTGTGCACTTGCATTGAAAAGTGTGCGACTAGCATTATACTCGTATGATGATATACAGTTAGACCTGACAAATACAGTACACGTATTAATTATTATTATTCTTGGAGAGTGTACAAATGTTAGGAGATCCTGTTCCGTATTGCTATTACATTCCAAACAGTCGAGATGTAGGATTTTTGTTATACTAGTTATTATATACGAGTACGTCGGATTAGCACTACAAAATTATGGTAATAACTTAGCTTTGTCCATAAACTCTGGATAAACTAACTGCCTTAGGTGATATTGTACTAAAGAGTAAATGTATTACAAGCACTAAGTTATGAATTTTCGCATGTAGTTATACAGTATACTGTACAGTACTATAGGGCTGCACGTTGTAGGAGGTACTGTAGAAGTAGTGATAAAATTTGAAATCTAATAAATGTGTACTACACCTCACGAGTACTGCAAAATCAGTGTCAGCAGATTACGTTGTTACCCAAAATAATTTATATTATATGATATTCTTCTGATGATTCTATTTATTATCTACATCTACAACTAAATAACTTTTACGTGCAGCAAGCGTAAATTTCGATTATAATCTTGACGTTCCGTTTTATTAGAGATCTATCAAGCCTTACCTTTATCGAGAATTTAAAAGCTTTAGATCAGTAATATCGAATGGGGAATGCGGCTATGATCGTAACTCAATATTTAATGTCGAATTTAATCCTGACGGGTAAATTTCAATTTGATAAAGTAAGACTCAGTAATGTAGCAGGATGTACAATTGTACATGTATAAGGGATAAAAGGATCGGAGTAACTGGAGTGGATTTTGGATGTTGATTATTGTTGCTGACTCTAATATAATGATTATTACTATATTGTTATTAATAAAAATGTAGCCCTTACTGTATTATAGATGATATTCTGACAATATCGGTAATCTAGTGACTAGAAAACTAATTTTCTTTTAAATATTTTAACTTAAAGCTCATGCCTTCTCGCTGCATGCGAGAGACGATCTATCCTTATTTTTGACTGCATTACTCACAGAAAAATAAAAGAGATCTTTCCAGCCCATTCTGACTGTGTTAACGTTGTACGGTTTGTAATAATGTAATATTGATAATGTTTGTAGAACTACTGTACTACTGTATTAGTACACGGTAACAGTAAAATGCACAGACTCTATTAAGGTTCAGCTTTAGGTTTTCCGTTAACCAGTATTTAGATATTTATTTATTCACTTGATTTAGTAAACATACATCTTATACTATTTAGATACGTTACTAATCCTAACTTACAAATACTGTATCCGCGACATTAAATGGCTTTGAATTAAAAATAATGCTAGTTAAACTAGTTGCTGTCTAGTATTCTTGGCCTATACTGTATTGAACTTTTACGAACGCAGCGATGGTCTGTATTTCTTTCAGAATTAATATATAAATAGTAAATGCGGCAAAAGTAAGACTAACATAACTTTTAGTATGGTGATATAATGCCGTAATAATTTGTCTTATGCAGGATTTATAAAATGTGGGTATTATACTGTGCATATTTATTCTAATTTTTCTGATGGTACAATTATTAAAATGTAAATAGTAAACATTTAGGATAACCTTAGTAGACTGTTTGGTGCGCATATTTTGGAACATGTAGAATGCTTTTGTACTAATTGAATAACTCAATATTAACAGATTCCTAGATAACAGATTATTTATATCTTGTTCAGGTATTACTATCTTGCTTTCCCTGGATTTTATTGAATGGATAATTACTAAAATTCGGACTTTCTGATAGAAATTAGTTTTAGTCTGATTTAACCAGTATAAATCCTAAGGCTATACCATATATTTCCATTTTATACAAGCAGATGACTATACCATTGCCGTTTGGGACTTTCGTAACACGAAAGCAAAGTTAACTACCCTCAAGGGTCACAGGTATTCGGTTAGCTATAAAACTATAAGGTGTTTGAATGACTTGGTTGAAAGTGTTACGAGTTCTAAAGATTTAAGAATTCTTTCAATATGTCTTTAAAATTATACTACGCATCTTTATACTAAAGGAACTGGGTAAAGAGTATTGAATATTGTGCTGCAAGTAAGGTGCTGATAACTTCAGGCTTCGATGATACTATAAGGTACAAAAGATTATGTAACACTTTATTTTATGTATGAATGCTACGAAATAACTTTTCGTAGACAGATATTTATCCCATTTTCGACAGATACATAAGTTGGTATTCATTGATAATGCGGTTACTTAGGATGTTTTATATCTTTGTATAGATACTGTAATTACATACCTCTATAATATTATCTAAAGTCCGATAATTAAGTAAGGTTTATGTTATTGTACTATAAGTAAACTGCTTTTTCAATAAAATTTGAATTCATAGTGTAGCCTAGAAAACGTTTTTCAGTGTCTTTAAATGGTACAGTAGATAAATATCGAGAAGGACTAGTCTGACAGTAGGCTATTACCGATTAAATAGAAATAAGCATTTCGATATTAATTTAAAGATTCCTAGATCGATGCAGTTTATAAATGTTGAGATATGGAATTATGCCCAGTAAGATAAAATTATAATTATGCAGTAATAATTAACATAAATAATGGCCAAAACTCTAACCCTGTACAGCATTATGTTGAGCTAGATATATCGTTTCTATTTCATGACTAATATCAATTCAGTGTTCTGTATAATAATAAAATTTGGATATAAATTGGCATTTTTGCAAAGCTTTAGCATTTATTGACTTAGAATCTTAAAATTGATGTATAGAGCCTGGGACATGAATTCGCTTCGATCCCAAGCGAATAATGAAGTAACCGATTGTGAGGTAAATTAAAAAAATTTATAGCAACTTTGTTGTACTGATCGATCACATACTTTACAGATTTTAGTGCCTATAGAAATTGAACATAAATTATGAGATTTGTTTTAATTCTTTTTTAATGATGTCTTTTGACATAAACTGTCTTTACTTGCAAATGCCCTCTTAGCTAAATTTCACTGTCAAATTGATCTCTTAGCATTGGTACTGTAGTCGTTTATTTTCTGTTTAACACAACTAAGGTATACTTAGCTACTGGTATATCTAGACTGAAATTATCACCAGATGAAAAAAAACTGGTACATTGAATTTTCAGAACTAACATATTTTAGAATCAGTAGCAGTTAATAATTATAATTGTTTCTACTTCGAAATTGTGTAAAGTTTGGCCCTTTATTAATAGGCTATCGCCACCGTAGATGGAAATCTACTTATTGTAAGAAATTTGAACATTAATAGCTTAAAGGTAACTAATTTTAAACAAAACGGATTTTATAACTTTAATATTTGATAGCAAGTAATGCAATATTAGCTTAATATTAAATTTTAATCAGGACAACCTTCGACCTACGTATTCTCAAGGCAAGCTAATTCCTACAGTTATTTCTTCTGAAATACTCAAGTACATATTCTAGCAAAAATTGGATAATTATCATTATTATTTATCATTTTGATTCAATATTTAAATAAATATTTCCTTTTTCAGTAATCCAACGTCAGTAAAAGAGAATGAAATTAAAAATTCATTTGAAATTATTAGAACATTCCCCGATGAATTATTTGATGTTGTACGTTATTATTTTTAATCATTGGGAATTGCAACTTGCGACGGTTTACGAGTATTTTGTCCATTTTTATCAGTCAGAGAGATGTCACCGAAACGGATTATATTCTATGGATTTTCACCCGCAATCAATGAACCTAATAACACGTTTTACCTTAGCAGATGATAACTATTTGTCTGTTCTTGAGGTATCATCTCGTGTGACCTTATCATACGGAAGATTACTTAATAAATGTTACTTATTACCTATGCTGTTTACATTTACTAGCTACTAAGTGTACATGGATTGAATTTTTCCTCATTTGATCGGTAAATCTTATTAAATTACTGCAGTAATTTATCCCTGTTGTTTCATAATTTAGAATTATATTTTATTCATGAATAAAGTGCTCATCATGAAAGTCAATTAACACATTATAAAGTAGAAGCAAATTTTCGGCCAAGTGTAGATTACATTAAAGAAATTAGTTTTGGAGCTGATGGACAAGTAATCTGCTCGCCTTATGGATTCGGGTAAGGATCATATCAATGTTGAATGCATGCACAAATTGACACTAAATGCTGAAGAGGTCTATGGTTTTACATTGTCAGGGTGCGACTTCTAAGTTATGATCATAATTGTTGCCCTTATGAATTTTCGGAGCCTTTAAAACGTGTAAGTATAAGATTGAAATTTGCTTATGGCAAGAATATTTATTTGTTTATATTTATTGCAGAAATCTCACTATCCTACTGAACTTAATACCCTTCAGCTGTTACACGGACATATGGAGGCATGCTTGACTTCTAGGTCCATTTTATAGTTGGGACTAAATTTGGTGCCTTTCTTGCAAATTAATCATTGCTATTAGTATATCATACAGTAACTGAACATTATTTTTACCTTCACAGATGGTCGCCAGCTCATATGCTAATCGCAAGTGGAGGTCTGGATGGTAATGTCATATTTCATGAGCCAAAAATTACTTAGATTCATTTAATTTCATTCAAATTTATTATTAATAATTCGTGTACAAGTATTATCACATTTTTGTACATACTGTACTTTACTAACACGCAATTACTGTACAGTACAGTAAACAGTCGCTGTAGTATAGACTACAATTATTCCGATTTAATAGTCATTGTACGATGTACCAGCGCTCCGCAATGGCCAATATAAAAGTTAGGGTTGGCTGAGTTTCAAGTCGGTCGAGTTCAGGTTGGGTCAAGCATCAGAATTTTCCTATTTGCGGAACGCTGCGGTGTACTATCGATTTATATAAAGCTAATATCGTCAACTAACTCACGAACTGTTTCAGAATTGTTTAATTCAAATATGAGCTAGCTGTCGTAATATTGTAGTGATATAAGAATTTAAGTAAAGTAATTCCCATCTCATGTCATGATTAAAATCTAAGCCTCTCTGTTGTATAGTATATTAATCATGAATTTAGTTAATCTTAGCTCATGGTTAATTACAGCATATGCTGTATAATTTGACTTGAATAAAAAGTACACCATTTAACAGTTCTTTTGTTCTTGAATTGAAATACTACCGGTATATAATTTGTGACTCGTTTAGACTAACATTTTACTGGACTTACTGTACTGTACAGTACATACTGTACGTAGCAGTACTGTACTTTACGTGAACTAGAACAGAGCTGTCCGAATTCACGCGCTACGTTACTTAGTATTACAGGGACTTTCTACTGTACACTGTACTTACTACTGGGACTTCTACAGTAGAAAAATCTAGTACGGTACAGTACAGTTATAGAATCTCTGAACGGAACGGAAACTTGCGTCATTCATTTATAAAGTACAGTACAGTACTGTATGGCTGTAACTTAGCCTGTAATCCAGTGCAGTGTACAGTAGTGTACTGTACAGTATAGCAACATTATTTTCGTATCAGATATTTTAGTAAAAGTACTGTACAGTACAGAAAACGCAATTAAAGACGCTGTACTGTACTGTACACTGTACAGTACAGTAATACTGCACCTCTTATAACATTGAAATGATACTAGTCACGTGATGACATGGATGGCCAATCACCCTACGCCACACCATGCACAATTTACACCAATCAGAATTGGCCACGATGTTTCGTACAGCTATTTAAGCTCGGCTACATTCACGTTGCAATCGTAAATTTTGACCTTATCAGTGAGTTGTAGTAAAGTTTCAATCCACGTGTATCAGTAAAGTGACCATTTCTGTGATCATTTAGTAGAATTCAACAGTAATATACTTCATCGAGCCTATATAGTCTTTGTTGAAGATTTTCGATTTGAAAAATGTCGTATAAATTTGTTCAGGTTCTTCTGTTTGTATGCGTGCTCAATGGCTTGGTCCTAGGCAAAGCTGAAGAAAAAGAAAATTTTGGCACCGTTATTGGTATCGATTTAGGAACAACATACAGCTGGTAAGGTTCAAAACAAGCTAATTGTTATGTGCGTACATGAAAGAATTAATTTTATCCGAATATCGCCTGGCAAAAGTAATCTTTGATAACATTATTGTAATTTAATAGATTCTGTATAGAATGCTCCTTCTGTTAGCAGTTAAATATTGCTTCCTATCGTAGGATGAGCAACGGTAGTAACAGTACAAATTTAGTCATACCCACTATACCTTACAGTATATACTGTATATACGAGTAATTGTTTTTGATTTAATCTGTAGATTGTAGCAAATTGACGCTTTTCTTGCAAAATAGTCAGATTTTTATGAGTATGTTAGTATTTATGCAGCATATATTATTACTGCATGTATACGCGTATATACAGTAATATTTCGTTAATCAGGCTTACCGGGTAGATATATTCTGTACTCTGTACAGGCTGTACGAAACTTAAGTTTGACTTGATTAGCGATTTTACTGCTTATTAAATTAAATTAAAGATGGTTAAATTGGTTTTTTATTATATAGTGTAGGAGTATTTAAGAATGGCCGTGTAGAAATTATAGCTAATGACCAAGGAAATCGTATAACACCTTCATATGTAGCTTTCACCGCTGATGGTGAACGCTTAATTGGCGATGCTGCGAAAAATCAGTTAACATCCAATCCAGAAAACACTGTTTTTGACGTAAAACGATTAATTGGGCGGAATTGGAATGATAAGACAGTGCAGAAAGATATTAAGTACTTTCCCTTCGCTGTGATTAGTAAGAATGGTAAACCACACATTGAAGTTGACGTTAAAGGTAATAAGAAAGTTTTTGCTCCTGAAGAGATTAGCGCTATGGTGTTGTCAAAGATGAAGGTAAATTGATAGCCATCTACTGTATGTATTACGCTCAGTCTCGTTACATAATTGCGTAGTAAGCTATTTAGTGACTTGGAAAAAATTTATCCACAGCATACTCATTATTGTGCATTCATCGACTTTTTAACGCACAGGAAACTGCAGAAGCCTATTTGGGCAAGAAGGTTACTCACAGCGTAGTTACTGTACCTGCTTACTTCAACGATGCCCAGCGCCAAGCTACCAAGGATGCCGGTACTATTACTGGTATGACTGTAATGAGAATCATCAACGAGCCTACCGCAGCGGCTATAGCATACGGTCTAGATAAAAAAGAGGGAGAAAAGAATATATTGGTTTTCGATTTAGGTGGGGGAACGTTTGATGTATCATTATTGACTATTGACAATGGTGTTTTCGAGGTAGTTGCCACAAATGGTGACACTCATTTGGGAGGTGAAGACTTTGATCAACGCGTAATGGAATATTTCATCAAATTGTACAAAAAGAAGAAAGGTAAAGATATAAAGAAAGACAATCGCGCTGTGCAGAAATTACGCCGAGAAGTTGAAAAAGCTAAGCGTGCTCTTAGCTCTCAACATCAAACAAGAGTCGAAATAGAATCATTGTTGGACGGGGAGGACTTTTCCGAAAGTTTAACTCGTGCTAGATTTGAAGAACTGAACATGGATCTTTTCCGTTCGACTCTAAAGCCGGTACAGAAAGTCTTGGAAGATGCTGAATTAAAGAAAGGCGAAATTCAAGAAATCGTTTTGGTTGGTGGTTCCACTCGTATTCCTAAAGTTCAACAATTGGTTAAAGATTTTTTCAACGGTAAAGAACCAAGTCGCGGTATCAACCCTGATGAAGCTGTTGCCTATGGTGCGGCTGTTCAAGGAGGTGTTTTAAGTGGAGAGGAGAACACCGGTGAAGTTGTGCTCCTTGACGTTAATCCCTTAACCCTTGGAATCGAAACTGTTGGTGGAGTAATGACGAAGTTGATAACTCGCAACTCTGTTATACCCACTAAAAAATCGCAGATTTTTTCTACCGTTAGCGATAACCAACAAGTAGTTACCATTAAAGTATACGAGGGTGAACGTGCTATGACGAAAGACAATCATTTACTCGCAAATTTTGATCTTACCGGTATTCCACCAGCACCACGTGGAGTTCCACAAGTTGAAGTTACGTTTGAAATCGATGTGAACGGCATCTTAAGAGTTTCAGCTGAAGATAAAGGTACTGGTAAGAAGGAAAAAATCACTATAACCAACGATCAGAACAGATTATCACCAGATGAAATTGATCGTATGATTAATGATGCTGAAAAGTTTGCTGATGATGATAAAGTCCTCAAAGAAAAGGTGGAAGCAAGAAATGAACTTGAAAGCTTCGCCTACTCGCTTAAAAATCAAATTAGCGACAAAGAAAAGCTAGGAGGAAAGCTGTCCGATGAGGATAAGAAAACCATCGCAGCTGCTGTTGAGGATAAAATTCAATGGTTAGAATCAAATCCAAATGCTGAAACCGAAGAATTAAAAGCAAAAAAGAAGGAATTAGATGACGTTGTCCAACCAATTACAACAAAGCTATATAAAGATTCTCCACCACCACCACAAGGCCAAAACGCTGATGCTGCTGGTGATGGTGAAAGTGCTGACGGCAGCAGCGATAAAGATGAATTATAAGAGTATTTATAATAATCTCATTTTCATCTATTAAGAACTGTTCGGAATTATTCAAAAGCAAGCCATTCCAACAAATGTGAAAATCATGGCTATTTCACTGATCATTTTTATTGTTGTGATGGTATGCATAATACTTTGAAAAAACATTCATTTAAATATTCAATCTCAGTTTTTCAAGTTGTTAAACTCATCGACTCAAATAACAGCTTTTGGCATTCAATATATATTGTACGCTTTGGCTTATTCATACAGTATCTAATACTTAATCATATCAAATTCCCTTATTGAATTCGAAATAAAGTTTTTACTACCGTAATAAGTAACATAGAGTATATAAGCGTCGATACGGTATAATGTAAATTCCGTTCTACAAGTAATGTTTGTTTATATGATTTAGATGAAAAATAAAGTAGCGATGTGAATTTGGCTATCAATTTTGGGAAGTGAGATATTGTGTACGACGATTGTCGTTATTTTGGAAATGCGATCCTCTCTATACGCGTATAGTACAGTACTGTATAATGACCGGTATACAAAAGCAATTAATTCAGAAATGAGATACACCTTGAATATTAGGATCTGCATGCAAATGTCCTTTATTAAAGGCGATTCAGAGATCTCATTACAGTATATTTGATAATTCGCATGACGCCGTGGCCACAATTCAGTTCACAGGCGTATTCATGGTATACAGTGCGTATAGTAAATTTATAGTACTTTACTTGCAGACAATAACACGCGTATAAACCTTAGAATCCAATGTACAGTGCAGTAGTATCATCCTAAATTCAGTACTTTGCGCTAAATTAACATATTTGTAAGCATAACAGACATAGCTTTTCGAAAATTGAATGCGCGTATATTATGTTTTAGTACGTATGTATTGCAACAATCTCGTTAGTCGCAACTACATTGATATATAAATCATCGAAGTGCACAGCTGATAAAGCCATAACCATTTTTCGTGTTTAAAACTTGATAGTTTACAATTTAGGCGTATTAAGTAATTTATTGGTTACAACCATAGCATTATTTCATAGTTCTAATCATTTTATTTTCGAAAATTTAATTACGTTATTGGTATTATTATTATCAGTTGTGCTCATTATTTCCTAATCGGTGTGCGAATAATCATTCAGACCTTATCGACTTTAACGATAAACGATTATACCAAAGATTCATAGAATACGGTATCGACACTCGACAATATTTCTAATACAATGATAATTTCAACAGTTGATCGCTTCAATAGTCAGCTTTTACATCAGCTTAGGCATGTAGGGCATGAAAAGATTATTTCGTAAAATTATCAACGCCGAAAGAATCCAGGAATAGGTAGCTATACTTGATTATTTATTACATTGATAGATTTCTATGCAAGTTATAATTCGTCTCGTCCTGTAGACAACGCTGCATTGGGTGAGCTAACAGCTTTGCCATATTATCAAAAAGAAACACAGTGTTTTTGGTTACATCGAGTAGGTAAGAATTTGACTTGACCAGATTGCACAATGTTTCATAAATTAGCTATTAGAATTTAAAACCTTATGTTAGTAGTTAAGTAATATAATTAAAGAGCGTATACTTAATAACTATATAATCTGACCTGGCAATTGTTTTCTTCTGTTGGGATATCATGAATATATAAAAAATCCAGAAAGAAGCGATGGTTTCGAAGTAACTTTTGAAATACCTTCAAGATGGGATAACTTAACGATTACCGATTGCTCTTGCTAAACATTTAGAGATGTGTAACAGTGCGCAGCTTACTAAGTAGACTCTAACGTAATAAGTCAGTAACTGAAATTTGAAAGAATGAGTAGCGCTGTATTTTTTAAGCTATGCTATATCAAATAATTATTACTAATCTTGCATACTATCTTACTTCTTGATTACTAAGGTGGGGCTTGCATATTGAGCGACCATAAATTAAGATGATTCTTACTACGTAAAATGGAGCTGCATTTTCGCCTTCAATATTGAGGTTTTCGTCTCTTAAAGCATGTTATTAATAATAATGTAGCAGAAATACAGAAAATACATCGATTACATAATTATTTATCCTATCACAAATTGTATAGCACCTATGATTAATGTTTGCAATATAGAAAGTCATCGATAGAAAATAAGGAACTTACAAGATTTGAAAAAGGCTAGTCATATCTTGAATGATCATAAATATTTAAAATAGAAATGGAATCTCATAATAATGATTTAGCTGAAAAGTGATAATCTAGTATACAATGTAAACGCTTATAGCGACTATAGCACAGCTATAATACCGCAGTTAGCGATCTTTAATTTAGCTTGTAGACCAAGATTCGTTATAGTAACGTACGGTATCCTATATGATTGTGTGCTTAAAGTACAGGCTTATATTTATTTACCAAATTCATGCACATCATCTGGTTTGGTATGATGGAGAACGGAGTTGATAGTTTCTGGATTGGACGTGAAATCGCACATCTTTCAAATAAGTAATCACAGTTACATTTCAGATAATAAATATAGATTATAGCGAATACACCGAAAATGCTACATACGTATATTACTGTACATATATTATTAGCGCAGTTTCGCTACTTACATTAGTATAATTAATTATCTAAATGACTACCGTATTTTTATTACAGATAACTCCAGTATCATATTAGATACGTATAAATAGCTATTTATAAGTAAATAAATGTAACTAAATTCATTTAGCTATGCAAATGCTAACCCAATTCGCTTGATCGTACATCGCAATAACAGCAAAACGATGCAATGGATTCATGATATGTTTTGAATTAACAAAAATATCTATCATCTTCTTAGCCAGTTGTAGTGCGGTCATACTGGAGCTAAAATCACATACGTTACGTTAAATGTGCCTGTACCGTGCTTAAAGGAAAGCTAGAATCATTACTTAACTATAATTTTGTGGACGCTCGGTTTAAGAGATTAATAAAGAAAATGTTATTAATTCGCTACATTCAACTCTACAGTATCAACAATAGGATTGTATGGAGAACTGGGTATAATACGCAGAGATCTGCATACTACCGTACAGTACAGTAGATTTGACCCTGGGACATTAAGTAGGCATCAAAATAAGGATTACTTCATCAATAGAAACATGATGACTGAAAGTACAGTACTTGCGATAGTACTTGCCCTTTAGATTTAAAAAAGGTTGTATTCATTTCGTTGGACAAATCCATACAAAGAACCTACACAGATTATATTATTATTATTAATAAAACGAATTTAACTAATACGAAGTATTACCGCATTATATAATTTACTGTAGTGTATACTTCCTTCAATACAGAGTATAGTACTGTACATTAGTTAGTAATGTCAAGTACTGCACAGTATGTACTGTACTTTGACATAGTACTACAGTATGCTGAACCAGACGTAATTTAAATTATCTACAGCAGAAGACAGCTTATACGTATTAACAATTTTTTCCGGACAATTCTCGGGCCACTGATTCATGCATGTAATTCTCTTTTTCGTATCTTGTGGATTCTCTGTCTGCTCTTTATAATCGGCCGCCATGGTCCTTCTTTTACTGCATCTTCTCGATCTTTCACGCTTCTGCGTTAAAGTCTCATACATATAGTAAACGTATCCAGCGCAGACTCACTGATTTGCAAAAACCAAATCAGTCCTTTGTACAGTATAATTACAGTACTGTACAGTACTGTACGCTATACTGTACAGTGATGAGTTGACTGTCGTACTGTAACATACAGTACAGTACTGTAGGGGTAAGAAAACCTCTTAATTCTATGTAACTTGTACAGTACTGTACAGTTACGGCTGAATATCTTCATTAACATCCATCATTGATGATAGCGAATTAGCTATACTGTAATTCAAATTTGAATATACCGTAAAAAGTCAAGTACATTTTAAGAATTATAGTAATAATAATATTTATAGTTGTATTATATTCTTTATAGTAAAAATTGGATCCATATTTCAGCACCTACTTGTCTGCTGTATGTGTGTATGTACAGTAGATGTACTGTACTGTAAATAGTGTATGTACAATTGTATTGTACATGTAAGATGGGACCGACTGTAACTGTTAAAAGGTAACTGGACCACAGCAACTTGTCGATGTCGCTATAATGATAAATTAAAAATTAAATTAAATTATTATTATATACCGTAATATGCGTAAGTACTGTATATTGACTCGATTAGCTGTAAAAGTTATGCTGTAAATCGAGAGGAAGTTACAGTAATAGTTTACGTAAATTAAATTATAAATAGTGGTATAAATTAAAGAATCGGACGTGCTGCCTGCGGTACACTATATTCGTATAACGGTACAGTAAGAGCCACTGATGGCACCGCTATTTAAAATGATATTCTTGTACTATATCAATTAATAATAATTATAATGGAAACTTATTGTAGGTTACGTTTCATGAATGCTCCTGTTACTGGATGCCAGTGTCACTACCAAGCAACAACTATCGAACAGACAGCAAACATTCTAACGCATGGGGTAAGTCAGCGTTCGGAATCTGTAATTTAGATTACTACTGTATGAGCATTTTGCTAGAATCACATTATAGTGTCGTGAAAATAATAATTTTATTTAATGCGATACTGATCCTATTAAACCAGACGATAATTATAATAGGCCTCTTGTTCTTAAAACGGGATTTTTGTGTGAGTTTAAGTTAAAGCTAATGCTGTAATACCCGAGGGTGATAAAATATTACGAGTATTGTCATGAAATGTGATCATGACATACAGTACAGTATTGCGAAACTCTGGTAGTGTACCTACTTTACGCATCCTGCATTTGGAAAAAAGTCGGCCATATGAACCTCTTGCAGATTATGACTTTTAAAGGCATACAGTAATTAGTTATTTGGGATATGTTAGACCTGCTGTTAAAGTTATATAACATATAATTACTATTCCAGATTCATAATAGATTATCATACTGCCATAGTTAGTGAATCCCCTCTCGACATCCTAATGAAAATTAGTGAAATTACCGTACTGCACAATAGTGTACAAATTGTAAATTGACTGTAAACTATGCTCGTACACTGCGCATCTTATCTAGACCGTTTAAATGGGACGGGAAGTGAAGTGAAAATAATACGATGTGATGGAACGGGAATGGGACATAGTTCATCAGATGTTGCAGACCTTTGGACTGTTCAGTTAAACTCTTTTAATCTACTGTTGAGTTGTTACTCAATCGTTATTCAGTTCGTTATAATTCTTAGCAGTAGTCATCACTCATCAGGCGCTGCGTTAATAAACAATATTACTAACATCTGATCATCGTCCTACTAAATATCGTTACTGTACTGTACTTGTTAAATTGAATAAAACAAAACCTTTATCCCGAACGATAGCCTGGTATTTGAGTTACTGTCCAAGTAAATTAATGAGTTCTAACAGCTATAGTCGGAGTGCCTATGGTTCCTGCATCAGGTGTCATTATCAAAATTAAATTCGTAGTACCTATATCTCATCTCTAGGAAATACACGCACAATAGCTATCCTCAAAATATCTTTCGTTTCGGAGTTATTTGCTTTGATTCAAGACGTTCTGGAAATTAATTGTAAAATATACGATTGTACACATAGTGCTACAGTTGATTTTAATACTATTGCCTTTACTACTAGAACTGCTCTACTGCGGAAATTTCATTTTCTCCATTTACTAATAGGCTTGCAAAATTGGGAATACATATATATGTCTAAGCCCTGAACGCTTGCTTCGCTAAAATAACGCAAATATTACCTTAGTGATTGTATAGTATTTTTTAACTTAAAAAATGTTATGACTTCGAAATATTTTCAGGTGTGGATAATACCAGCTATTTATGCCCTCTTAAAAATGCTAACATTAAGTACTACTCAGAACCAATATTGGATTGCATGGTGGTATGGAATGGCCCTTATCTTACTTTTTTCTACTTCGACTAGCTTTCATATCTCCTCGTTAATCTTTGGGAACAATAGGTAGCCTATTCTAACTAAACGAATTTATTGCATTTACTCTTACTATGTTTTTATTAGGTTATATCATTTGAACGAAATTTATCCGACTAATAGATTATGCATATTTATTTTAGCATGATATCGCGGTTCTTGCATTTCTGGGACCGATCGACGATATTTACTTTTATAGCATCATGCTTCATGCCCTGGTAAGATGATTGATATGCGATTTCTAAGGCCAGCTTCCATAATTCTGTCAGTAAATCTAGGTTATGGTGAGATTTTTAATCACTCGTTTAGGTTTGTATTAACTGAAACCTTGAGTAATACATATGTGATGAAGTGGTTGGTTTGCATTTGGCTTATGGCCATGCTTGGAATTACGTTTACGTACTTATTTTTAGATAGGTATAATCCATAAAATCGTATCATAGTGCACTGTAATTCTGTATATTAATTCTATGTCTACATCCTGCTGATTGAAGCGAACCAGCAATAAATGATGTATAGTTTAAGCAAATAGTGCTGCCATGAATCTTTGTAGCAGTGTTATAAACTTTGTAACTTCCTGCCTTATTTTGATATTTAAACTTCACAGATACAAGCTGCTTGAGACATTACTGTACGTAATTCTTGGAGTTGTCCCTTCCATTCCTATTTTGTATGCAAATCAAGTAAGATTTATTACCGATTTGAATTAAAAATCATAAATTCTAACTCGATATGATTACCGTATCATCGTTACTACAAGTCATATAGTAATTCTCAGTATGTAATTTCGGTTAGTTACTCCTATGTGAATTTCTATATTTACGATACCTGTTTGTTCCAAATTAGAATTCAGGCGCTTGGGAACTTACTGCTGGTGGAGGTATTTATGTAATGGGAATTCTGTTTTTTAAATGCGATGGTCGGATACCCTTTGCTCATGCAATTTGGCATACCTTCGTAGCTTGTGGTGCCTTAATTCACTACTCCGCCGTCATCAGATATAAATATTAAGTAATATGTATAACCTTCATTATTAACTCGTGGAAGTGCCGCGAATAATCATTGAAATGTGTATCGTTACGCTAATATAATAAAATATGAACCGCAATGTAGTGTTCATGTCTGATAATTATAATTATAGTAGATAAGTTATAAGTTACAGTATAATGATAAATTACAAATTATCAATATGTTACATTATCAAAGTGCTTGCCTGTGTCGTGTCTAGCAATTTAGTAAACTTAAACATCTGTATAGTACGACACTACTATGATACAAAACGATCCGTTACTGTTACAACTACAACCTCATAAAGGGAGAGTCCGAAGACTTCTTCGGCATTGCTTTACACAATCACATTACTCTGCTAATGTATGTACAGTTCAAGCTTCAATAAAGTCAATTAACTAGTGGCAAAGCGCAAGTTGCATTTTATGCAAAGTGTCACGGGCCAACCTCAAGATCCACCGCTGGAAGAATAATTGCGTTGTTAATAATTAACTATTACGATTTCTCTTGGGCTTTAAAATCGATTTAATATAACCTTTATTCGAAAAAAAATAGCTAAGTAGTACTTTAGAATATACTGTAATATATCTTATTATACAAATTATAAATGAGCTGCAGTAATTTTATGACGTTATGAAACGATTAGTAAATAGGATCGAAGATCGAATTCATCTTTAGGTAAAAAAAGTAAGATGTTCACCCCACGGCTGATGCTGATGTTTAAAATACTATGCATAAAAATCTTTGTTTAAAATCATTTGATTGTTGGTATGTTTAAGGGCATAGAAGTCTCATGCGAGTAGAAATAGTACATAAAGCAATTAGAGTGTCTCTATCAAGCTACAGTTAGACTGAAGCACAAGAGTTTGTTAGCGTATTTACGGCATCAATTGTTCCACCAAGTCACTAAACCTAAGCCGGGATGATTGATGGTGCCCTATGTATAGTACAATATATTTGATAATTTAAATTTCAAATATTACTTAATTTTCGAAAACTGAATTTTGTGAATTGCTTTCCCATCCATTAAAAGTTATCACTATACCGAACGAAAAGTCACTTACTATAATTGTATAAGGCGATTTACTACAGTCATAACTTTCATTTTCATTATCTTCCTTTTGAGCAGTATCAGATACTGGAGCACTATCAGCAAAGATATGGTCAACAACGCGAAATCTAACTTCCTTATTTACATCCATAAAAAGGTCATGAATACGATTTTCAGTCTGATACTCCCATAACCATAGCTGCTCTTCGTAGTCGCTGATTTTCGATTTAAGCAATAACTTAACAACGTAAGAATATCGTAATACGAAAGCGATAGTACTAATAAGTGAAAAATGATTTTTCGTTAAAGTGTACACACAGAGAGGTTCTAAATTATTGCCGTAAATTAAGCGAAAAAATATTAGGATACAATCTGGATGGATGTTGCAGCATCTCGCGAGGAATAAATACTTCATCAAAGAACTCTAAAGAGACTAAAATAACATAACAAGTTTACTTTTTAAATTGAATTGAACCATTTAATCAGGATCATACAGTGAATATATTTGATATTCATATACTCATATTTAGGATGCTTTATAGAATAATTCACTGAACTACAAAATACGCGTACAACTGACCATCAATACACTTTATATGCATATGCTCAGATCAGAAGTCATCTTACAATTATAAATTATATAATATGTACCATGAATTCCTTCCTGATTGCAGCTACGTAGCCTACCAACCAGAATTTCATCTTTGAAAGGGCGGAAAACAATATACCTAAACTTTACTATAAAGCAAATAAGCAAGTTAACTACCTCCTATCCTCCGCCGGATAACCTGCATAATTAATTAATACATATATACATGTATATTTAAATATCAAACAAACGCATTGCTGCGATTCAGTTTACTGCAATTTTCCGCCATCAATTATATTATAAAAAGTACTGTAAGTAGAAAGTATACTTAGTAATCACATACCAAGCTTCGACAATATATACAATACACAGTCCGGTTGTACAGTAGCACGATTGCATCTGCAAATGTAGCATTTCGTAGTGCATTGCAAACGACAGGTGTAATTATGCATCTTTATAATTCTTGCCTTGCCGAGCGTTTATGTTAATTTAAATACTACAATAACTGTACGAAGTACGAGTACAGAAGGTGAAAGAATTTACGATGTCTCATAGCAAGTTCCGCGAACTATTTCAGATGAATGAATTAAACCCTGCTAATCGTGCAACAAATAAAGTGAAAGGATAACGATATTTACAGTGCATTTTATCATTAATTAATATAATGCTTTACCTGATGTAAATGAAGATCCATCACCAGGTAAAACATAAGAATCGCTGATGGAGAGGATATCGTACACCCCAATACATAATCCTACATTATGAACAACCTACGAGAAACCGTAGCACCAGTCGCTATTACTATCTTACTTCAAATAATCATTCATAAGTTCTATTACTGTAACAGCAGAATCATGATGGAAATTTATTCGTTTTACAGAATACTGTAACGTATACAACATCAATTATGCAGGTTTGGGCAACATTTTACGTAGTAGCAGGACACTAACAAATGGTGAAAAAGTTAGTGATTTCAAAGCACTGTACTGTCAAGTAGGTACCTTATTGGCAAACTTTTTATTTAACTGTTCTTCAATGACGTAATGTATATCTAGACGAAAAAGATGTGGCTTGATCCGAATGGTATCTTTCATACAGCACAGAACAAACATATTTACAACTAAGGCAATTCAGCGCTCTTAACCAAATGTTAAATCATAGAGGTAAAATTATTATTATTATGCAGTAAATACTACAGTACAATGTTAGATACTCAAAATACTATACAGTACTGTACAGTACGTACTGTACAGTACTGTACTGTACTGTACAGTACAGTGCAGTACTGCTAGGTTTGAGTTCCCCCAGCAAAGGTGGTGGGCAATGAAATATTAATGTACTGTACAGTACTGTATGTACAGTACAGTACTGTACTGTATTATTAATGAACGGTTCACTATAGTAATACCATACAATATACTGTACTGTACCGTACTGTACTGTACTGTCTGTTAATTACCAGGTTCAAATATAGTACAGTACATTACCGTAGTGAGTATCAACGCGTACAGTATACAGTATGTGAAATGCTAAAGCTTATTAAGGTGCCTAGCTAGGTGCTTAAATCCAACATTGGATTAAACATTTAATATGGCATTCGGACGAAAAGAGCCCTATGACTAAGATCGATGTTTTTAAAAATACCGTTCAACGCTGCTAACCATTACTGTATTCAGCTTTCTTATAATGAATATATGCAAAGCATCCTTTAGTGCTTTACCGTTATAATCCCATTAGAAATTAAATTAATAACTCGCATTTCATAAGCTTTAAAATTAGGAATATCCGCTCATGATTTGAACGTTAAAGTGAAATTATAATTACCGCATTTCTATAATAATTTATATTTATAGCCTACAGTAAGCCGTACAATACAAGAAATGGACTCGAGTGTTATTTCGCCGTAGAGATTATCTCCTCAAACTCGTCCTGTAGTTTTAGTACTCCATAACTGCACAAAGAACGGCAGGTATAATTTTGATTAGCAGTATAGATATAGATACCGATATACAACTGGGTTCAAACATTTATTGTGATTAATTATCATTACTTTGCATTACTTCTCAATTAAACGATTAGATAATCAACCTTTCAATGATGTATATTCATATATGATTATTACATTTAATTATAATTATCCCCCAAAAATAAAAACAATAGTAATATTTCACATCTACGGTTAAAGAAATGTAGAGATCTCTGTAATCCAATCTTCTAGTAAGCCTATATAAAATAATAGAACTATAAAAACGATTAACCAATAGAAACTTGTAAAATTAAATGTAACCCTTCCTTAATTGATATAAAGAAAATTGAAATTATTCGATGAGTTTAATTGTAATTTATCGCTGGATAAATATCTAAGTGTCATTAAATGTTATTTTATTAGATAATAAAGAGAATTATAAATTTAAAATTTCGTCTAAGTAATGTATATGTTATACTGTAATTAAGCAATTAGTAGCAGGGATTAAATCATACTATTATCACAATCGTGCTCAAATCAGATATACCTAAAGACTTTCCATTAGAGGGAGACCTTAATCTGATTTCCACATGATTGTAGATATTTTGGTAAGTTTATAGATCTTAGATAACACACCATAGGCAAAATGTAAGATTTTACTAAAATACCAGGAACATAATATAACGAATTCAAAGTACTTGAGTTACACTATATAATAACAATATTATGGAACGACCTAATTATCTCTTATCTGTCATTACTGTCATAACCACGTTCCAGCTATCGTACCCGAGCTGTTATTTATTTGTATGTTCGTGATTCCATAACCGTAACGATTAAGATAGACTTTAGGCATAAGTATAAGTACGCGCAACTACTGAAATGTTCAGCTGCATTCGTACGCGTGAATAACATTAACACATAAGAAAGCATCCTATATAACCTACTACCGATATACTCATTTTATTACAATTATCAAGCTAATTGAATATTGCAGAGGCAAATACATCAGATAATTTGCGACTCACATTTCGTCATCTAAAATAAGAGGACTTGCATATTTGAATTATGCAGCAAGTCAGCAGGTGTTTTATTGGCCCTGAACCTGACGATCTTCAGCAATGATAGGAAAGTTAATACAGATAGGAGATAATGAAGCTTGAGCTTGATTAATGGCTTGGTAATGTATACGCAGCTCTGCTAGCGAAACAAACGCTCTTTCTGTAATGGCATCTAACCTATCTTTTTCTTGGCTTAAAGTTTGAATACGTGCATCTGCCCTAGTTAGTTGTTGAGATAATGTATTAATGCGTTGCAAATAGTCCTTTAAATTGGAGCTATTCCAGTTATCAGCTATTGCTAAATTTTTTTCGATATCGTCTAACTCGTGATTGCCAGATATTAAACGGTTATCTAATTCTCTCTTTTGTTGACTATCAGCGTTACACCCTCGAATAATTTCTTCTACTTCTTCTTGTTTGGATGCTTGACTAGTTCTTAACTGACTGATCTGATCTGCTAGTTTCCGAATTTCGCCAGTTAACTTATCGAGTTTTGTTCTTAATTCAGACGTATTACTTAACACTGAGGAAGCATCAGGCTCATAACTGACGGTTGTCTATACATAAAAAATGAATTTGTTAATACATTTTATAAATAGCACGATTAAATGAGATATCGACGAAAAATATAATCGTGAAGATTATGAAAATAATGCGACATATAAATACCTGATTTTCTCGAGCAATTATCTCTACTGTTGCTTGTATTCTCCGCATAGATTGGTCTAAGTAATCATATGCTTGTACTAACCCATTTTGTATTGAGCTAATTTCTTTCTCCGCTATACCGACAGTTGTTGCTAGTTCTGGTATGTTTTCTAGAGCTAGTGATATATTAACTTGTAAACCAGTTGCTGCACTTTCTAAGAGGGCAATCACTCCTCTCACCTTATCTACAGTGACATTACTGTCTTTTGCAGTCTTTAAGATGTCGTAATATGTTTTGTCACTAAGCGCTAATATATACGCTAGTCTAGATAGCATCATAGTTGATTCATCTAATTTGAAATTAATCCGATCTGTTTTTCTATGAACTTCTTCAGTGATATTGGAATCGTAAGCCGTACTGAAAATTGTTGATCTATTTCGCCGTAAATCGGAGAGTAAGATATTGTCAATTCGTAGCTGTTCTTCGATAGTTGAGACGTTGGCTAGAATTTTTATAGAAGCCAAAGTTACTTGATGATTTCGTGCGATATTTAAGGCAGCGCTTGAAGTATTATAGGCAATTTCCGCCTTATTTCGATCATCATTTGTCTTAGATGCTAGACTTATCATGCTATTGTTTCGCGTATCGACTTCAGCTATAATGTTACTTTGTAATTTATTGGTCTCATTAATACGAGTTTCTCCGGTGTTAATATTTGCTTCTATGATTCGTGTTTGTTGTTCGATTCTGTTAACTGTCTTTTCGTTCGTATATAATATTTCTTTCGCTTTTTTAGCCAAGTTTGTTATCTCCGTCAGGTTAGCACTACTAGTACTTAGCTGTCTCATAGTATCCATTAGATACGAAGTATTGGATAAAAGTAAGGCCGAATTGTTATCTATCATTTGACTAATTGTGGAAAACCTTGTCAGCACCATATTTCGGTCGTCATGAATGACTTTTATTTTATTTTCGGTTACTGCTACATCTTCCAGAGTTTTCGCTGTGCGATCTTTTACAATATTAGTCGTGTTCTGGATTTTGCTTAATCTGCAAGTGAATTTCATATAATATTACCTATTTAAATATAATAATAGATAGATTGGCTACACTATATGCTAGCCAGATCAAAAAGAAATTAATTATATGGCTCGATGAACAATTTTACGTAAATTAAATAAACACAAAAATACCTGCATACACGGCAGTATTTATAATATGATTGCTAATTGTGCAAGTGATTCAGTCAGTATACGGTACAGTACGAGCTAATTGATAAGATAAGCGTCTCTGGTCTACGGTATATAAGACGGGTTATCTATGTTATAAGACCAGTTCTATTACTAGCCTCTGCGTGCAGTTCTCGAAGAATAACCTAAATAAAACCTGTTACTTTCAGAGTCTAAAGACGAGTCTGAATTACTAAGCTCACAATTGCTGAAACTAGTACAGCATTCACTTACGTTGTGTACATTTGGATATCTTGTTGAACGACTACCTGCATCGCGTTTAATAACTGTTGAATGCTGCCATTAGCTGCTTCGACTCTAATTTCGAACTGGGTGACGTTAATTAATGATGTAGGATTGTATAATAAAACAGCGATAATTTCTTGAAGATTTAGCAACTCTGTTCTCCGCTGGTTGACATAAGTTTTTACGAATTGACCATAGCATTGATCGCATTCTAGTATTTTACGCAGTAAAAATATACTATATTAAAGCATATCTTCAGCATGCTTTAGTATACGGGATATACCCATACAATGTTACTTAATTATTACAAGATTAATACATTCAATTAAGAATATTACAAGAAAAGAAATACTATAAAAATTCGAATATTCGTATACGTATTTCTACCTTGACAAGGCTGTTGTGGCGAATAGACTCGCAAAGAATGATGATTAATTACACACTGATCACACTTCTCGCCTATAATGGTGGTCGATCGGCAAGTACATGTTCCGTTCTCGAAACATTGTCTTCCATTTGAAGTATTATAAATTCCAAAGGGATCGCATCTACAAGCTTGAAAAGTCAACATTATTAGTGTAAAAGTTGCCAATGTCTTGTGTTACGGAGTAATTTTTGCGTAGCTGCCGTAACATAGCGTAATGTAAATAATTTATCTATGACTTTTTTACTTATTTTCAATAGATAACTGCATAGTTTTATATTATCTATAAACTTGTTATATGTTAGATAGTAAATTAAAGACAAGACGTTAGAAACCGTACTTCAGCTGGATACATAACAAAACTTATAATTAATGTTTACGTAGATTTTCTATATAAATTGACTGACTTTTCAAAAAAGTTTGAGTTCAGTTACGTTTAATTTAAGATAGGCTAATGTTGTGTTATTGCTGTTGCTCCTGACGATCAGAGATCGTCCGTACCTCGAGCCGTACTGTATGTTAATGTCAGGGAGGACTAACCTAACAGTACTGTAGACTCATAGTGTATAGTTTCTATAATAGTTTTAATCTTTTTTTCTTGTTACAAATTTCGATTTGTAACATACTGAGATAATGAATACTCAGTACCGTAGCAGAATAGTATCAATATGAGCTAGCTAATTGTTAACGAACCGTAGAACAGGTCTACAATAGAATGGTATACTACAATCGTATAAATTTTTACCTGTGCATCCTTCAATGGAAAAATTATAAAAACCATGTAGACATCTATCACACAGCTCGCCCCCAACATTTGGCTTACAAAGACAGTCACCCGTTATTTGATCGCAACCTACAGATCCTGTTTTGCTGCAATTCTTACAAGAGATACACCCTTCTCCTGAATTAATCCCCCAGAAGTTAGCCTTGCATTGGCTACAGTCTCGGTTTATTACATTTTTCCGACAAGAGCACTGTCCCGTAATTCTGTTGCACGGTGAAGTAGCATTTCTGAATGAATTAGTGCCAAAGGGATGACAATTGCAGGCTAAATAAATTAGAATTGGCAAAGATTATAATCGTTATTAACTAATTAATTATAAGTCATTTTTAACGTGCATCCAGACTAAGCTATTTCATGCATGTGATATATATGTATATATAATGGATTATATGTGCATATGCTCGTATGTAATCCCATAATGGGGTTTTAATACTGCAGTACTCAAACAAAATACCCATACATTACTCTGCTGTATGTAACTGTAAACTGTAAATCATTATTTTTAGGCTACGCGATACCTTTACATTGTTTTCCTTTAAGGGGTGACAGAGCATTTCCGTAATAATTAATCAGACACTGTTGACAATAAAATCCTTCAGTATTATAAATGCACTTGTAACACTCTCCTGTAGTTCTGTTGCAATTTCCTACAGCATTCGGATCAATATTACCATTACATTGACATTGTTGACATGGAGTTACTACGCCGCGAATACCGGCAGGATCGCCATAGTAACCGTCGCTACAGTGTATGCATTGCGGGTAAGCATATCCTCTACGACAGTTAGTACAAATGATTTTATTCTGATCGTCTTTCAAGCATTCACCACCCGCTCCCACTTTACTAAGGTTGCACACTGATGGACAACGACTACAGAAACCACCATCTGTGGCCTCACCGTAATAGCCTGATTGGCAATTCTCACAAAATGTTCCGGCTGTATGGTTGAGGCAGTGACACATAGTAGTATTGCATGTTGCAGCTTGATTGTTACATTGACAAGGAACACACTCCGTATAAACCGTTCCACCAAATTGATCACGCCTGTAACCATCTGCACATAATTGACAGGACAAGCCTCCATAAGGCTTTGCACAGGTACATTCCTCCACGTAATTAGCTAATATGTATGATGAGGAAAGTTCTTGATTATTGATTAATTCTGCTGATTGTAGTGTTACATTATGTAGTCTGACTACGGAATTAAGAAGACCAGAAAATTTGGCAATAATGATAACTTGTTCGATATTGTATAAAATACTTTGAAATTCGATGGACGATAAGGATGGAGACCAACCGTATGTCGGACCTTCATGCAATCGTAAATCATACCATCTTATTTGATTAGAAGGTAATATTTGACTTTGGTTGACTCTGCTTAATGATGAAGAAACAAGGCGCTTGGAATTCCCGATACCTCCTAATATCTGAACATCTAGTGATGTTAGAATGAAGGAAGTGGTGTTAGGGGCAGTTGCACTGATGCTAATTCTTAAACTTTTACCGTAGGAGTAACGCTGATCGCCGCGAAATTTTAGAGGAGCATAAAAGTAAGCTAAAGGCGAATCAGCTCTAACGACTGTAGCTGAGACTGATCCTATCGTCCAGTTAAATGCTAGAAAATCTCCTACGATGATTCTTCCTTTATCGTCCGTTATTCGCCAGCCATCAAACCCTTGCTGAAAATCAGATTTGATCATACTTTGTTTGTAATTGGAGGCTGAGAGACATTCAGTACCATGCTGAAAACAAAAACATCTCTGACAACCTTCAGGATTATCAACCGAGAGAGCAAAATGTGAGGTGATGCATCTATCACATTGTTTTCCAATAACGTTAACTTTGCATTGGCATTGGCCTGTGATTTTATCGCAATCACTACTATCTGCCCTGGTCCCAGCTTCTGAACAATCACATGAGCTAAGAATAAGAGGAAAGTTAATAATTTATTTATAATATTACAATAACAGTTCTGAATTCTATTTTAATGTACGTAAATGAAATTGTTCCTCTTTATTTGTTTCATATTACCAAGCACTGTAGTACATTTATACACATAAATTACCTACAGCCCGCTGATGTAAAATTGTAATAAAAAGCTTGACAGCGATCACATTTATCGCCAGCTACACCGGGTTTACAGCGACATCGTCCCATCGAATCACATACAGAATTGAGAGACCCAACGGCATTGCAACTGCAATTTTGGCATCCTACATTGGAATAAAAAACCTTAGTCTTTTATATCTTTACTAATAGCAAGCGAGATTAATCAAAATATGATCCCTGCTAGTACAATTTTTTAGGATCTATCGGTAATATGCTAAACGATTATAAATGAATAATGACATAAGTTACACCGTGATCAATTTTAATTTTTGATACGTTTGTTAATAATAATTTCAAAAGTACCTTTCGATGGGTCATTTCTATCAATAGGATAGTATGCAGATAGACACTTTTGACAATTTATGCCTGTTGCGCCATTTCGACACCCAACACATATTCCACCACTACCCGTAGCTTCGTATAACGTTCGGTTGAAGTTACAACTTTCAGCTAAACCATTGCATTTACACTCTTTGGTTTAAAAAAAATTTTTAGTTACGAGCAAGTTCTTAGGGTGAAAATTCTAGCTAAGCTATTAATATTTAATTTATTAAATACTATTAACGACCATATCTACAAAATAGTGATAGCTTCACTTTGCTAGTAAATTTGGGACAACGTGTTATTATCATTTAATCAATTACATTTTAAATGATTGCTCATAATGTAATCAGCTACAATATTTATCAGATTTATGATGATATATGTGGGTGTACGTAAAACACTTACCAATACATTCGTTAGCTTCCGAATCTGTTGCGGCGGCCCATGGTCGATCATTAAATTTACTTTGGCAGCTTTGGCAGTCTCTGCCTTGAGTATTATGCTGACATCTGCAAGTTAATGTATTACTATTATCGTAATAGCATGAAGCGCCGTGACCGTTACACTTACATCTTCCGCCGACTACAATGTCAGATATTGCGTAGAAATAGCTATTTTCATCGCCAAAATTATCATCACCAAAAGTATTTAATCGACGTAATTCGATTTTTAACGCTGAAACAGTTACCCAATCAGACAACTCTGGGTTTTGTAGAAAATCTGCCCGTGTTTCGGCCCGCCCAGCTGTGGCATCGAAGGTAATCGTACCACCTGTGAACGGTGTAATTTCCGTACTGCCTTGAACGCAGATTACTTTGGTTTTGTTTGTAGCGAATGTCGATTTGCGAATTTCACTAACTGGTAAATTATACGTTTTAGTGCATGATTGAGAAAAGTACTGGTAAGTTTGCCATGGCGAAGATAATGTCGTTTTTTTATCGATTTGTAACGATTCTGGACGCATGCTACGAAAATAAATTATAATATAAGTAATATCAAATGTTTTATTCAGTAAAAACTGCAACACCACTGAATTTGGATTGCCAATTATCGCGTAGGTATTAGATTGCCACCATGTTGATGTGCGTGCAGAGTCAGTTAAGTATTGAGCTGGATGGCTTGTAGCTGAATTACTGGCGTTACAAATAAAGCACTGGCGATTTGAATTTTCACTATCACGAACACAGTAAGAACGAGGTGGTTGACCACATGTATCAGAAGCAAACATAATTTTATTCAGAGCAACGTTCTGAAATGGTGGATAGCACCCAATTGCTGCACCATCTTGTCCGTAGCAAGATTTTTCTGATTGATTATTTTGGATTGTTGCATTATTTGTTACTTGCCCATATGTTGAAATCGAATACAAGGCAATCGATACCAAAAAGTAAGTAAGAGTAAACTGATTTCCAGATTGAAACATCTTCAAGGAGTCTAAAATGATTTTTCGAATAAAAATTTTATTGCTGCTTTATCGGATTGAGATTAATCTATCATTCCAGTAACATTTGCTTCAATTCAATGTTGTTAGGAAAAAGGTTACTTATGGATCTTAGGCCTGATTTTATTATAATAATTTATTCGTCTTTAACTTCCAATAAAATTTTAAAATTTTCTGTAGTTGATTACTAGGTGTATTAGACGTCGATTCAAATTTCGATCAAAGATGAGTTTAACAATGCACTATTAGGAATAGTCCACTGAATAGTGAAAGAACGACGCTGTAAGAGGTCAAATATTGACCTCGGTAACCTAAAATCGCGGAAAGTTATGTGCGCGGAATCCTCTAAATTGTTTATTTATTAATTTCTAGCTCATCCAATAGATTCTCTTGGAATGTTCATAGTCCATAGCGTTACATTTTTTACAAAATTTTTAGTAAATAAGTTTTAAAAGATGCTACCATTATGATCTCAGATATCTGTTCGATCTTACTGGTGGCTTGATAGTAGTAATAGTTAATTACAGCATGATCTAAATCTGATCCTTCGCCAAATAATCGTGATTTTTACTGCGAGTAAAGGGAACCTTTAGCTATCCTCTTAACGTCTAATATACAGTATCCATTGAATCTCACTAAGTAAAATTAACGAAAAAATGGTTAGTTATATGGCTTTCTAGTTTTAGGGTTGAGTTTTTTATCTCAATTTTAGAATAGAGTAGGATAGGAAGACTTTAAGTACACGTTTAGCTAAAACGTCTAGTGTTCGAGTAAAGAATACTTTTTAGTTTTATAATAATAGTACAATCTATAAAGCTGAGACGTATAAAATCCTGTACTGTGTAATAAAACTGAAAAGAAGTGAGTTCAATCGGTACTAGTACATATTATCGTATACGATAAATTGGGGATAATCAAGTGAGTAATGATTTTTCTTAATCTCATCATGAAATAATTCTTAACCAAGAAACTAGTTAGAACAACCGAGCAACTAAACATACTGCGAGAAATCCTGTTCTCATGGTTGATGATTAGAATGTAATATTTTTAACACGGCAGCACGCTTTTGGATGGTCAGTCTGCTTTTTGAGTTTCACCAACAACGAGTGTATGGATTTGACGGGAATCAATATTTGTTATTGTGGAGTATTGAATAATATGCGTATGGCTAGTTTTACTGTTAATTCTATTATCTTCTGGTATTAGTGTACAGCACAGTCTTCTGCATTTTTGTCTATTATATACGAGATTACTTCAGTTACATTACCAGTACGTTTTTATTCTTTAGTGATATCTGTGATCCTGGTTATGGTATAATTATAAGCTATGGCATGCGTATTCGATAAAATATTTCTCCTTCACACTACGTCTTCCTGGTTGTGGGGTAAGAGGCACAGCTGTCTAATTTTAGTTTGGGTGATGACAGCATGGCTAGTGAAAGGCTATTTTTATGAATTTACGAGATCTTCTAGGTATAATCTAGACTACCTGAAAGGTTTCGTAGAGTAATGCAAATCAAAAAGTCAGTGGGAGTCGTTTAGGCAGTTTGCTTTCAAGAGCGGCTACTCATTATCATATGAGTATTCATTCTATTTTTTATTGAGTAAGGTCATGCTTGTACTGCAATACTATAATATGCTGGTTTAAGATATATCGGAAATGCCAATAAAGATATGCGATAATCAATGAGATATCCAAATGTTAATTTAACCGTTACATAGTTTTAGCAAGTTGTAATTACTGTCAAAGAATCTAAACGTTTTAAATAATACAGTATACAGTTCATATGATTGCTGCATTACGATGATGCAGTATCATACTATTGTACAGTGGCGATATGTGTTATGTGAGTAAAAATTATGGATTTTGACGTTAGAGCATAGTTTAAATCAATGACGATATGTGTTGAAGTGAGATTTATAATAAGGTATACTTCGCAATAAATAAAGAGCAGTATTCACTTTTACATATGTAGTGCTATCTGTGTCGAGCGCGTATTTAATTCTTTTCAGTTTCCACATTTATATGAACTAAAAAAACAGTTTACAACATAAAAATTTGCAAGTTGCAAATGAATGTTATTACGTGTTCAATTTAAGACAGCGAGGACCGTTGATGGCTGGGATTAATAAAAAATGTTTGTAAATTTGGAGATGATTTTTGTTGCAGGCTTATAAAATATATTTTGAATAGTACTACAATGAATACTACATTCGTTAGTCACAGTCTTCATTATATTATGTACATGTAATCATGTATTATAACAAATTTATGGCGCAAATTTAAGTAAAGTTCTCGAATTTGGAAATCCCTATACTTCTGGGAAATTTCAGGGAATTCAGTAATCATTTCAAAATGAATACTGTAAATAAAATGATTTATAAATTTTATGAACGAAAATAAAAATTGTATATGATTTTTTTTCGAGATACCAACAAATCCTAGTTAGTACTGGCTTTATTAATATTTTTATTTTATTCAGTTAATAAATTTAGCAGATATGTTTAGGAATTGTAATCTAGTAATCATTCACAAAGTAGCATGTTTTACTTTAAAGTTTGATTAGAAAGTACCAATCTTTCCGGTAGTACTGGGTGCTTAAGGAATAAATTGAAAATTTCGTTGTAATTACTATATTTACAGCTATTGATCTATAGTTCTGAAATTTTTATAATTATAACACAAACTATGATATTAATACTGATAATTTAATTACATATAGTAGAATTTAACATTGAGACACGATATTCAATTAGCACTCAGTTACTGCTCTATAACAAAGGTTAAAATTTGAATACAGAATATTTTTATTTAGTGTGAGGAATATAAACTTTAAATATTGAAACTTTGATAGAAGTTTGTAACAATGATTTGGAATATTTATCAGTAAACATTTAAGTAATTTCTTTGCATTGTTTGGATGTTAGATGTTGTAAATTGCAGATAATATAATCATATCGTAGAATTTGAGTAATAATTTAATAAGCTGTGCCTTGAGAATGCTCTAGATCAAGTTTATTTTACATATAAGTCTTCTCTTCATGTCAAAGTTAATATTTAAAACTCTAAATTACACTCATTGTTCAACATTAATTGGGTGAGCATTTAAATCGTTCATTTCCAACTGTTGATGATGCGTAAGTTCTCCTTCAAATAAAGGGTTGGTAACTTCGACGTCTCCATTCTGAAGAATTATCGAGTGATGGATAAAATTAGCTAATGTATAGTATATTAATAATAGAATGTATCATATAATTAACTTGAATATTAAACTGATTCATTTACGAACTGCTACATGTTGAATAGTACTTTCAGGGAATGAATCTATTGTCAAAAAATAGTTTCTTAGAATAATCATTACCGATCCTAAACCAGGACATTCATACATCGTAAAATCATCTTCATTTTCCGTTTCATCGCCGTTGTCATCAACATCATCTTCACTTACTGGCATACCAATATCCAAGGAGTCAATATCCTTCGTTCTATGTCACGTAAAGAATATATTGTAATCACATCAAATTCTCTATGTATTATATAACTCGTAAAATATGATTATATCTCAGTTGTAAGTAACAACGTTAGCTATAAATATTAATTATTAATAGTGTACTTGTTCAAGATCTACTCATATTCGAAGTTACCTATCCATTGACTCTAATTGCTTTTTTTGATGATGATAATGAAAAACTTGAGCACTTTCAGCTAGACCAGAGTCCGTATCCTTAGATAAAGTACAAGGGTACAAAGATCAATTACAGTACATAAAGTTATTAGATTTAAAACTTATCCTTTATACCAAAAGCTATCCTTAGTTTCTCCTAGTTAATCAATAATATATTAGCAAAATTTTCTTAAATATATACATCGAATTGGTCCCGTTTAAGTTTAGATGAATCTTTTTGAGTTATCTTTTGGTACTTTAGTGTATGTCGATTTTCCTTATCTTCCTTTGACCTAGAACAATAAATAATAAGTACCACTAAATTACAAAGTTTAAAAAGACTGAACATATTATCAGACAGGAAAGATGATTAAAATACTTTATATCTAAGTTAATTGATTGATAAATAAAAATAGTACGTTAGAATGCTCGAATACACGTATAGGTTGTGATCTTATATTACTACACTAGGATAATCTGCGATTGTTTTCTGTAGTTTGAACGATCAATATTGGAAATGAAAAATATCCAGCAAATAGCATAAGTGTTACAACAGACTTTTGTGATTACGTATCAATATCAGTTGGTTAGATTTCTTATATGCTACTTACTTAAACCAGCAGTAAACGATTGCAATAATAGCAATAACACCAAGCAATGTACAGCCAGCAATCATAGCTATAATTTAAGTAGATTAGATTATAGAAATATAAATACAATTAACATTATATGACTCTACATAATTATTTTCAAATTAACAGGAAAGCTAACACGTTATAATTTAACTAGTAATACTTTTTGTATACGTATTTATTAATGAAACTGATAAGTGAGACACCAGATACACTACGTATAAATAATGTCTTAGAACCTAGAACACTTGTCGGTTTAAAGTTCAAAAATTATTAACACAAAGCTTCGATACACGCTGTGCTTAAATTCTAGCTATCCCTCTGGATTCTGGATAACTTATGCAAGTACCATATCATGGGTAAGTTATTGCAGTATAAATCTTGTTTTAGTAGTAAAAGTGACAAAATTGGAAGATCCATTTAAAAACACGAAGATGTAACTTAATAAATTGGTATAACTTTGCAATTTGTTTAGTACAGTGTTCTAGAATGATTCATCATTAGTACTGATTATTTGCAGTTTCAGTTTCATATACAGTACGCTATGCTTTAATAAATAATATTTTATGTAAATCAATTACGGTCGTGTTTAGTATAAAATTTTTGTCAGTGGTATTTATAATAAATGAATGTCGTTTATAACAGTACAGTAGCATACTCTCAGCTAATTCTCGTACGAATGATTGAACACGGGCGGAGACGTAGTTACTTTTTATTCAATAGTACGTGCTATTTTGTGGGTAAGGCTGATATTTAAATGATGAATCGGTGAGTATAAAGTTATTATATTATCAGAAGTATCAAAGATTATAATTACTTGAACAGCCTGATATGCGGAATCAGCTAGTTTAGTTGAATCACTAGTTTACTACTAATAAATCGGCTATATGCACACTCTCCAGCCAACTTATGTGTAACTTTTCATCAAATATTCATTAAAAAGGGTATCTTTTCTCAAACAGATATATTAAATAAATAATACATGAGAGGACATTTTAAAATTTCCATGCAACTGTTTCTAATACGACATGACTAACAACAACTAGATAAAATATTTTTAACCTTACCAAAAAAATACGCATTCCTAAGAGCAATATCATCCATAGTCGTTGTGCGATCCGATGGATACAATTTATCCGTAACATCGTTTTCGCCACTTGTAGTGCTACCAAGTTGAGGTGGCAAGGTATTCCGCGGACTAGCAGCTGGGAATAGCAATGGTTACAAATGATAATGTAAGAATCTTGGTCAAGTAGTAAATTAAACTTTTGAAACAAAGTTATAAAGCAATTTCAGGTGTTTTGAATTCGCAGTTATATAGACGGCGCCAGAGCTCGACAGTACCTTCTGACATTCTCATTTTTCTAGTTCTGTCAATATTTTAGCTTATTTGAAAGATTTTAACCATAATAAAAGCTAAGTTATCTCACTACTGATGAAAATATATCTAAGGTAGTATCCACTGCATCAACAGTATTCTTATATCAATTTGATCCGAAATTGATTTCAAAAGCAAATTGCGCCTAGTGATACACCTTATGGCGTTGCTAGTGCATTAAACAGAAATTACACTAGTAAATACAGTGTTATGGCCGTGAGATGTACTAGCAACATCAGCTAAAATTACGTAATTCTGTCTAAACTTAATCAAAGTTGATTTTTTTAGAGATTTTTAACCAAGAGTATTGTCACAGAATACAGTTAATACTTTGGCTTTGCTTCAGTTTAGCCTCATAATCAGATGGAAGTCAATTCTACTGCGTTGTATAGTACAATAAAATGAGACCAATCTTCACAGCAAGACAGGTCAAGACTATGGCTACTAGTCTGCTACTAGATTTCACTACCGCTATACAGTACAGTAGTATTACTTTCAAAGATAACAATTGTTTGTAATAGCATAGTTCTTAAAAATGACAATGGTTGTTAAACACGCTAAAGCGCACTGTTTAGATTCTTGTTAGTTTTTATCATATATTTATGAGTATATTGATTTTTCTAAGCAGTTAAAGTTTTTAGGTTACAGGGCAATCTTGAGAATCATCTTTAAAATTTACAATATACCGTATGTCTCGTAGAATTAAACAAGTCAATTAGAATTACGCGTAATTATTTTCTTAAATATTACAGTAGAATTCCAGTATTTATGTAGCGCAATATTGTAATTAATTAGAGTTGACACTGTTACATTGAGACAGTATAGTATAAATGCAATAATTTCTCAGAACGAGCCAGTTTAATAAGATTGGTATACGTAATACTGTAAGAAAGCAAAAGAATTTCAACGATCTTATCACTGTTTATTTAAAGTTCAGTCGGAAAGCACTAATATTGTGTCGATCTTATACGCGTGCATTCACAGTACATTACTGTAGTTTTAACAGTATTTAGTACTTCTGTTTTATTCTTAATAATACTAACCGGTCAAATCCATCTCTGATACTAATTACGCGTTGCAATCAATACGCGTAAATTACTATACGGGTATACTGTACTGTAAAGCAGTGTTGCAGCTGTAGTAAATCATTCTATGCTGTACTCTTAAATGAGCTCTTTTAAAAAGTAGTAATAATATCCTACTGTTAGTAAAGATTTTTACCGACTTCAAAGCTGTAGCCTAATCATATATGCGTATTACTGTACTGTACATCCGAGATCTAGAGGTTAATAAATATATAATTTATAGCTACTTTTTCCTAATTTCAGCACCTCGTCAAATAAGGATGGTAATGACATCGCATGTGTAACATTCATGGGAAATAATGAAGAGAGAAATTTTGTACAGAAAAACGATGGGTTTTAAATAAAAATGTAGCTCGCAAATAATTTGTTTCTATTGAATGTGCTGTTAGCTTTAGTCCTGTAGTGTCATACTGTACAGCAGCGACGGTAAAAAGTTTTCTTTTTGAGATACCGTCTGTAAGACAATACAAACTTTGTTGCTCATAACTGCTGCGTAAATTGTTTTTATACAGTACTACATTAAGACTTCATAGGCGAAAGCACCGAAAGCACACGTTTTCAGTACATCTATGCCTTGGAATGCTACAAAAGTCTATAGTTAATTCCAAGAGAAAATTAATTATTAATATGCTTTAGAGATCAACTAATTTATGAATAAATTAATTATATCATTAATCCAATTTGAATACTAGCGTCTTTGCGGTGATGCACTATCTGAAATGAATTAATAAATTATGCTCCAATGTCATGTTACGCTAAATAAAACATTACTTTCTTACTTCATAAAGCGCTTGTAAGATTTTATTATAATACATTACTGATATACGGTAGTTAAGGCCTTCAGTATAGGAATGGACTCTTAGATTTATTTATTCATTCTATTTTTTTAGAGATCGAGTTCATAAAGTATGCCTTACATTATTCTAAACATTGCAAATAGCTAAACCAATAAATACTCTGATGGAAAGCTACTTACGAATGCATAACAACTTGTCAAATGTCTTCCGTATACCAGTACTGTACTCAAACAGATAACTACATGAGAGGAGTTTCATGGTACTACATGTTACTACTGTTATATATCGATTACGTACTACACCAAGGCACTCGGATCAAAATTTTTCAGTTTTCTATATGCAGTCAATAAAAATGATTATGAAATCTATAGTAGGCAAAATATTATATTATAATCATAACACAGTACGCACTTAATAAGTATCTCAAGTTCTGTTTCACGAATTACTAAATTGCTCGTAATTCAGTGATCATAGCTCATTTAAATTTAGCTGAATTACTTCAGTTATCAGAATTGGTATACAGTATATCAATCGATACAGTTACACTTTACAATTACAAGAAACTAGTAAACTACCCGTTCATTCGAATATCAGGCTAATGTTTACCCTTGCAATACTTACATTATCAGCGCTTCATTAAGAATATGTACAGTAGATTATAGTGTTGATGACTTTAACTAATTTTGACATACTGAATTCGGGATATTGGCATGGAAACCAGCTGGGTTGCTGAGTACCGAGCCCTTATAGCGTATCGCTACGAGTACGCGTATTGCTTCCACAACGAATACAGTATAATTTATAGCCAATAATTATTTATTTTCTTAAATTTTAAATTAGCTGTATTGACTTGGGAGAACACACATGCATATATTATTTATAACGCAAAAAATTAATTTCCGTTATGTCTAAATAGAGATAACTATTATAATTTTGATATTTATATCGATTGAAAATCGGAATAAGTAATATCACCAATATTTTAATTTAATTAATTAACGGTAAGCCCTTGCTTGAAAGACTAAAAAAGCAAATATCTGCAATAGAAATTTCTACGTAAATGGAAGAACTACATTCTTGATTGAACTTACGCGAGCTAAATTAGAGGTTTAATGGGTGGCAGGAAAGTATAAAGAGGAGATATGACAATCACGTCGTTCACTAGATCCTTTCGTTTGAAAGATCTTTGAACCATTGCAAATTTCAAATATACATACAGTATGTACAGTACGTTATGCTACGGGTACCGTGTAATTTACAATACGTTTTTGTTTAGTGAGTACCTTAACACCGTAGTAACGAATGAATTGTAATACTAAGAATACGTATTCGTATGGGATGATGCCATAAATAATATAAAGCGTATTATTCTATTTTATGAACTTAAATCGTCTTATACGGATAATGTACTGTACGTATTTTGTAATTATTTATAGTAGATTTAGTTATTGAATATTGGCTGATGCCATTTTAGTTATGCAAACAAGGTTATTTTTGTTAGCACAGCAATTGTTTATTTCCTGCGTGATCATGGAATGTCAGAAGCTCAGAATATGTGCAAGCAGTTTATGATTACACAATTATTAGACTGCAGTACAAAAACGTAGGCCAATCACTGGTTAGCAAAATGGCTTAGTCGGAGAATTTATTTCTTTTTATATATAATGACATTAATAATTATAATCGAATACTGATCCGATTAAGATGTCAGAAAACTAAGAAAGCGAATTTAATAGAATTATTCGGTAGAATAGTTGATAGAATATTCGTATTGATGGTATGAAAGCTATACGGTATTTTTTCTCAGGCACGTCAGGGATAAAAAATTTAAAACGTTTGCGTCGCCGTAACAGAGTTTGGTAAAACATAAAATTTGTAGTCATAACAGAGAAAGTTAGAGAACTGTACTGTACTGATAGCTAGCAGGATTGATAATTTATAATATGTGTAACTAATTATTTCTTCACAAAACAAAAATTTATGCCAGTAAACCCTCAAATACTGTAGGTTGAGAAATAAAGCAATTAACGGCCGATGGGGGCTGCTAGTAAATAGTTAATGATTCGTACAGATATATTGTACGGGTATATAACCGATGGTGCATAGTACTGCAAATATAAAGATACACTTACCTAAAATACAAGCGCCATTCAGTTCTTGATAATTAATCTTACACCGACCACATTCAATGTTCGGGTAAAAACATTCCAATCGATGCAATCTGTCGCACGTCAACTTTGATGGGCATGTAACTAGTAAAGAGCGATCAAGATCAATTATTACTAGTTTTTAAGTATTTTACGAAAGTTCAAACTTTTGAATACTACGAATAACAAATTAAATTCATGATGTAGTATTGCACAGTATTAGTAATTAGCGACAGAACGATAATGAAGCGAAAAATTTTTTTAAATTTCAAAAATCGACTAATAATACGAGTGTGTAAATTATAAACGATGAAGCGGTGTTCAGGGGTATGTCACTGTTTAGTGCATAGTTTAAGTACATTACTTACAGCCATGGACGGGCCACGACGACAGGGTAGCTATGAACAGTACCAGAAATATATTCCATTTAAACTCCATATTTCTTGCGTTTTACTGTATGCTTTCTGTATTAGGACTAGAGTTGCTAACTATATCACTTTCAATCTTTAATTAATTTAGCGCACCTCGCATAATTCGATCACTGTTGAGAACTACGCATTAACAGGAACAGCAGTACAATACAGTACCTGACTTAAAAATTAAAAACTACTAATTCGATTTTCTGAACTTGTCTTTTTATACGCAAGTTATTCGCGGAATCAGGGTACTGTAATGTGAATACAGTACTGTACTGTACATGATTACTTAGCATTGTGTTTTGCACTTCACAATACTGTACAGTACAGTACAGTATTTTAGCATCAGCAGCTTCAGACTACACTGTACTGTACAGAGTACAGTATACAGTACAGTATTAACTGTACTGTATAACTAGTAAATTAACAGTACAGTGCAGTGCATTTTTACTACTGTACAGCACAGTAGTAAAAATGAAAATGAACTGCGACTATACAGTACATTAAACATTACAGTGTACAGTATTATCAACAACGCTGATATGTACATTGTACTGTACTGTACAGTACTATGGAGTAATCACAGTACCATAGTACCGACAGCGTGTACTAAAGTAGTCTACGGTCGTGCTCTGCAACGTCAGAATTTGAAATGAACGTGGGACTTGGCAATAACTTAGCTATTGCTACACAATTAGCTGAACTTTGCGTCCGTACTATACCATCATACCATATTATAATACTCGATTACATATTAATCGCTAAACACTTAGAACTGCCTATTTCCACGATCTCATTAAAACACGTAATTAATTTATGTTACGAACGTAGCATGAAGTGTTCAGTTCTAATAAACCTTTTCCCACAATTTTTTCGCCGAGTTATTAAGTTTTAAAGTACAAGCCGATATATTTCATATAGCAAAGTGATATATTAGATTCATGATATCTATCTCGTGTACATTAACATTAAATGCGCGTGCTGTACAAGTGTACATCATATCTGGTTGCAAGAAACTGACAGCTAAACAGGATTCTAGTTATCAGCTATGGTATTCGCGAAGTGCGGACTGATTCCCAAGACCATGACTTCTTAGTTCTTACACATTACTGTACTGTACTGCACTGCGATGTGACAGGTAGTGAATTGTTAGCAATCTGAATGACTCAGTCTGATTACGCGTGAGTACGATGATCTACAGTATGCTCTTTTATAATACATAATTATTGAATAAGCATAACATCTGTGGAGTGGTTAGGTCAAATAAGGGTACAGACAGCTTTCACAAATATATATTATATAAAAAGTAGAATAATATAATTAATTAATTAATCAATCTATCCGAGGGTAGATGTTATATATTATATTTTTGGAGAAGAGAGTTTGAATATCAGTTTTGATAGGACAGGAGGGTTTAGTAGTCATTGCTAAAGTGTTGTATATCGACATAGCAGTACGTATTATACTGTACATAAGTAATAATTCGTGAGATAGACCATGAATTATATATGTATGAACTACACATCTGGATTTTATTAACCACTATTTACTACAATAAAAAGATCGAATCGATTGTCTAGTATTAACATAAATTAATCTATATGTAATTACTCATTTAAATCGCTCAATTTTACTAACACTATGATATAATAGTTATAGTAAAGGATAAGGAGAATCTGATATTATAGATTTTGCAATTATACGTGTATCTTTGCAATCTACCTTCCTAGTCTATTATCAACGATGTTGCGAATATGCTAGAGCAGACTAATTTCATAGCTGCTTTTTAAAGTAAAATTTATAGTTATCATCAGAAACCCAAATAATACTTTAGAATACAAACGTTGATCTTATCCTTCGGGTTTTGATACTTTTGCTGAGTTTTACATTTAATAATAATTACTTTACGAGGTAAGGAGTAAAGTGATGCTCTGTCATACCCGTAAATACAGAATTGCCAAAAGTAATAATTAGGTATTGCTATCTGCGATACATGTTTAACGGTTAATTTACATAAGCTATTTATTGTAATTATCCATTCGATGATTTATTAACAGTGCCTCGATGAGCATTTCTGTGCTAATCGAATTAATAGCTGCAGAAATGAGTACGTCATTACTACATTTGCGGCAGTTGTCGGTTTCGAGTAATTGATTATACAACTTAATGAGTTTGTATAGTCGTTCATCGTTGAGATCAAATTAACTATCTGATCAATCTATAGTAATTAGTTTTACTAGCCAGACAGCTAATTTTACCCAAATGTAATCATCACTCACCTAAAGTGAAGGTTAACATCTGATCAAAGGTAATTTAATAAAATAGATACAATGCAAGGAACCTATCAATTTATAGCTTCCTTGATCACTTTAGTGTTTCAAGTTATACCTAAATGCCGGTTACATTACAGCTATCAAAGCAAATTCAGGATGATGCTACGGTCTCTCCCAATACTTCTAAGATTTCTCGTTTGTAATCATCAAAATCTCCTTCAACTTCATTTATCGTCTGATCTTCTACGACCCACAGTTGACAATTTGTTTCTTGAATAAGGCGAGCATCATGGCTAACAAGGATTACTCCTATCAATGGTTTAAATATGCTCTTTATGATATTGCAGCAAATAAGTTCATAGATATAAAACGAACCTCCAGAAAATTCATTGATAGCATCACCAAGAGCATCAATGGATTCTAGATCCAAGTTATTTGTAGGTTCATCCTTTGATAATAAGGAAAGAATTAGATATTTTAGAAAATTATACTAAACGACAAAATCATTGTTTACCAATATCAAGATATCCGGTTGGCGTTTGTTGAGTTCTGCGAAGACAACACGTGCTTTTTGACCTCCTGTATTCGGATAACCAGTATGGTTAATCGCAAATTATCAAAATAATCCATATATAATTATTACCGGAAAGATCCCCTATTTTTATTGTGTGAGCATGGCTAGCTAGGCCATATCGGGCCAATAACTGTCGGGAATGTTGATAATTCATATCGAAGAGTCGCTGTAAAGAGTGAGGGTGTAACACTATAATTAGTTGGTTATGCGGTACTTAATCTCCATAAGTAGTAAAACAGCTCAATGTATATTTAATGAAGGCCTCTGGTACATTTAAGTATTCCACAGGGGTTTCCGTAAGATTAAGTTGGTCAGCAGCATGTTGATTGTAAACTCCTATGCGCTGTAATACATCCTCAAAGTCAATGACATTGATACATTGCTAATATGTTGTAGGTACTTAATTAGTTATTCGTAAAATGGTGTATCTTAATTACCAATCGAGGATTTCTTCTTACTTCGCCGTCAGTCTAAACAACATATAATCACAAATGAATCAATAAAATTTAATTCTCGATACTTCATTAGGATAAGTATTTTTACCGGAGTTAAATTTCCTATTAACAGATTTAGAAATGTACTTTTTCCAACGCCATTTGGTCCAACAATTGCAACTATAGAAAAAGAAACATTAACTTGTAGACTAGCGCTAGGAATTTCTGGGTCAATTCTGATCATTTCTAACCTCTTGAATTCATATCTATGCCAAAATCAACGTTTTTAAAAAGCAACGGCAGCTCAGGATATCTAAAACCAACTCCTATTAAATAAACATTTAGTTTCATATTTAGCAGAAATTTTATCATCAAATCAGCATCTAACCGTATAAACCAAGGACAGGAGGATTTAATGGTGGAGGGTTCGGAAACGAAAATCTAACAACGTATTCTCTAGGTTTCCTTAATAGCTCAGACATTGATGCAGCAGAGCCCTATTCGAGGGGTTATAAATTGAATTATATCAATACAAAATAACTAGTAAAACCGGAAAAGGTATGACATTTTAACGTAATACCTCAGAATCATCCTTATGTCCTTTCTTGCCACTCTTACTTTTTTCTTTCCTAGAAGCATTCGCCTTTGTGATTTGTTCCTACTTTGATAGATGCATTGAATTAGCACTAATGAATTATAGTATGCTTTTGCTCTAGTATGCAGATTGTAAGCAGAGAAATAGTTTAAATATAATTCAGTACACACCGCTTTTTTCTTAGATTGACCACTTTGCTTCAGATTTTTGATTTCACGTTCCTTAATTCGGTACGATTGAAAATGAGATAAATTAGTAAGAGGTCCAAAGAGACACACTCAAAATACTAAAATATATGTACCTGTTTTACGAACGCTTTTTCTCTTTCTTTGAATTTCTGTTTAAACATCTTCTTAAACATACCTAATTAATTATTAATTATAATCATTATTTGATCATATAAGCATATTTATGCCCACGGGAATCGCAGTCAATAAGAGTTAACTCACTGTAATTCCCTTTGTAGTTGTACAGTTTACAGTCATCTAATAGAAAGTTAATATTATGTCTTCAGTACAGCAATTCAAATGATGATTACGATCGTTGATAAACTATAATTAATAAAATATTGCATTTAAACGTTCACCTAAATGAATAATATCAGTACAAACATCGTCTAAAAATGCCTGATCATGGGAGACCACTAAGAGTGTTTTCTTCCAGGATTGCAGATAACTTGGATGCACAGCGAGCGATATAATGTAAGATATAGTATTTACGTACGATATAAAATCTTATATTTTCTAATATAATTGTATACAGTATTACAGCTTCTAAAAGCGACTCACTTGTCCAGCCATATTACTGCATTTAGATCTAGATGATTTGTAGGCTCATCAAGAAGGAGTAGCGTGGGTTCCATGAATAGAGCTCTATAAATATGGTCAAAATCGTTAAACTGCTCTGATCAAGAAATTTTATCGCAAATTCTAAGCAGTGTTACCTAGCTAATGAAACACGCATTCTCCATCCACCGGATAACTGTTTAGTGGGGCGCTCCTGCATCTCCAAAGTAAATCCCAAACCCTTCAATTAATAAAAACGAAATTCAAAATTATTGCATATATTACTCTCTTAAATGAAAAAAGTACGAAGATATCATTGATGAACGTTAATCTACCGCTAAAATTCGTCTTGCTCTTGACTCAGCGGATGAAGCACCAATAGCGTCAAGTTCTGCGTAAACCTGTGTTACGAGATTTATAACTTAGATATTTATGAATTTTTTCCAATACGTGAGAAATAGTTTTTGTATCAACTACCACATGTAGTCCGAAGCTACCACGAATTGAAACTTAAAATTCAAAAGTACAATATTATAATTTCACGCTGTATATTATTTAGTGTTCATCTTGAGCTTTTTACTACAACAACAGATTTTGATGTTACTAACTTCTTTTAATCTCTCGGTATTATCCAAGGGTCCACTCTCGCATTCGGCTAATAATTGTTTTTCCTACAGTATCCAAGCACTAAGTGTAAGTCTTCATTGATCCAGCGTATTATTTAAATAATAATACAAACTAACTTCCTGTAGCAGTGTCAGCCTCTTTACATCAGAATTAATGACAGCTTGAACGGCGATCTCATCCCCTATTTCTACTTCTGCGGATAATAAAATCAATCGATAGAGACTGTAAGATTTCTATTATTCTTTTGTTAGCATTTAGTTCTTTAACACGCATGTTATATTCACGGCTGCATAACTATCGAAACTTAATATAGGAACGGATTCTAATACAAACCTTGTTCACAAAGTAATATATCAATTGTAGGAGGTATTCTAAGCTTTCTTTCGGCAATGTGATTTAATAGCGTAGTCTTGCCCATCCTGCCTCGAAAATTATTAATTTTGCATTATAACAAATATTCGTAAGCACTGTAGTTATTGTAGTTCATGATCAGTAAATAAAGATACCCGTTAGGCCCAACAAGTCCATAACGCCGCTTGGCAGCGACTGTTAAAGACGCATTGACGAGAAGGTTTTTTCCGCGAGCTGATAGCGTAAAGTTCTCAACCTTAAAAAAGCATTAGTTATTTAAGTCCGGTGAGATCTTCGTTTCAAGCTATAGCTATTAATTATTTTTACTATATGGGTACATGTACGAGTATTAGGACAAATTACAGAAGCAGCCAGTTGCGTGAAAGTACATGATTGTATGAGTTATTAAACGATTTAATTGCATCTAGTTCTCCAACATTTGATGACTTTTAACAACGCTACTTTCTATTCGCAGGGCTGTTGAGGGATTGATAATTGCGATTTTCGGATTGCTATATACGAAAGGTATAACAGCGAAAGCGTAGTAGCGCTAGCTTCATGATAAAAAGTAAGCGATATTCGAATAGACTGTGCCTAGGACTTCTCTTAGGGGTCCCTGGTCTAACATATATAAGGTCTACAAGCAATGAGATCGTGTTCCTCAGTTATCGGATTAAATTAAATTTTTTTACATCAATTTTTTGGCTATTTAAATTATGACATCAATTATTCAACCGCTTTTTGGATCTATTATATTCAATATCTTACTTAAATTTTAAACTTTTGCAAAACGTCATTAGAGTTAGCCAGCAACAAATTTAAACGCTGGGATCAAATATACAGCAGCCGAGAGTACATAAAATCCTCGCATGATTTTGTATTGCTCTTAAGTAAGCGAATGGAAGTTATGCGATTTGTTTCACTTCCACTTTACCCTTGTTACAAATACAAAGTACATCTATGCTGCATATACAGCTTACAGTAATTTTCTACGGAAAATTATTCCATTATACCTTGATATCGGATGCGTTTTCTAATACAGATGCTTTTGTTGTTGACTCTTGTTGTGAAATGGAAAACTGATCGCCTTCGGACAATAGATTAAGTTGTTTCGCGTATCGTTCCTACGAAGAAATTGCAAAATGGTAGTAGCTAGCTAGCTAGACCTGAATAGTGAACGCATACTGCTAGTATCACCATAAGGTTGTAAGTTACCAGCAATTAAAATTGAAAGCCTTAGTCTATCAATTAACCTTTTTTTTCTGTTTTTTTTGTTCCTTACGAGTCAAACTTGATTTAGTAACATCTAAAGTGCAATTTTTACGTTAATATTTTTGAATGTCAGATAAGTTTAAGGAAATTCGTATAACTACCACAGGCTATCTAAAGCTAATACTTGCTGTAGTAATCTGATTAACGGTGTCGTACCGTTGCTAACTCCAGAAATTTCTTCAACCGGTTTCTCTGATACATCGCCGTCGGGTTCAGGCTTTAAGGAAAGCGAAAATTGAAAAGAATTAATGTATGAATAATCTAACTACAGACTAACTAAATATTACCTTATTCAGAGAATTTGCTTGATCATCTGTATAACTATCATCGCTATCAATTTTGGTATCTATGCAAAAGTACAAAAGGAATTAATGGTAGAAACGAATTCGAAAGCAACAGACCATAAATAAATTTCACAATCTAAACAAGGAAATCCTAAACAAGGAATTTTCTTTAGATTCAGTCAATCATTGATCTAATATATAATTTAAAATGAAAACTACCAGTGATGCATATGAGCTTAATAAATGCATCAAAGGAGAATTCTTGTAGAGAATCTGCGCTATTCAATCGCATAGACCAAAGTCTACCCGTAAGCTGATCGGTTTGATCGACACAGTTACGGTCACATTCACGGCTCATCTAAGTTTCAGTACGATCGGAAGTAATACTCGTATCTACAAACATCATTTGAATGAATGCGTTCATATTTACTGAGATTGCACATCATTTTTTAACTACTGTATACTGTATCATGTATTAGAGCTAAATTATCAAATTTATTATACCCTATACCAGCATATCTGGCTCGGTCACCATATTTTCATTCATAGGTATACAATTTAAATACAATTTACAAGAACAAGTAATGTCCAGTACTAACTCAACGAGTCAGAGAGGATTGCCAAGATAATAGATTGTTTATACGTGAGATACTAGATGTATGAAAGTGAACGAAACAGCAGTAATACGAGAGCAAGGCCTATCCAAATTTAATGAAGCTGCCTGATGTTGGTTTACGTACAACGTAGGATCATACACTATCGTTTTACCAACTACGATTTATAGCTTTGTAGAGTATAAGTGGCAGTATATCGACTTTGACAGCAGATACTGTAATGCTCAAGTTATAACATGGTATAGTATAAAATTGTACCTGACTGGAATGTAGCGGCATCTGGATTCTTCACCTTATCCTAGCATCAACAATCAGGAAAATGCGGCATTCAGTACTTATGAAAACGACGAAAATTTATACGATAAATATTTACAATATATCTACGTACTTGCTGCGAATTAATTATAATATACTATAGTTGATTCTACGATTATAGTTAAGAGTAGTACTTAGGTGTAGATGGATCATGTACCTCATTTTCTGTTTTTGCCGTTCGTACCGGGATAGCTAGTGAAATTTACAAGAGAACATAAATGTCATATGCTGTAGCCGTACAAATTGACTTTAAGATACTATAATTTATAATTAATCAGCGGTATAGAGGTCGAATTTGGGTTGTTTCGTTTGAGGTGAGTAAAAACGGGTGCACACTATTTTCTAGTTGTTACGGATCATTAATGATCTATCGCTGCTCGTAAATTAAGAAGTACAGTACAGTACTTATACAAAAAATGCAATTTAGATTAATTTTTTATTAAATACCAAAGTTTTGTCAGATTGAAATACGGCCACATGGTACAGCATAAAGCATAAAAATCAAATCAAATACGACGTTCCAGATGCAAATTTTTTGTAGCTAGTGTTACAGGTGTATTACAATTCACAAAGCTATCAGATTTCGTATGCGAATCGAACGCGTATCCTGCGATCGTATTGCAACTAATGAGGCTTATTTCCAGAATTAAATCAAGCCATAGCTTAGAATGCAGTACAGTACAGTGATCCTTTGTCTGATAATGGTTAACCTCAAATACTTAGCCATATTCTAAAAATCACTCTCGTACTTTCAGTGCTCTCGGTCGATAGTGCTTTATCTTCTTCTTTAGGTCCGATATTGCTTCTCTTCGGAATCGCATCTTTCTTATTTTTATTTTTTTTACCCATTATACCTTGATATCAATAGCGTTATACAGTACTGTACTACTAAAAGCGTAAAAGATAAGAAACGAGCAGCCAAAGATCAGCACAGTTAAGCACAATAATTGAAATTCAATGTTGCGATTCACGTACGCTAGTGAAACTAGGCAGGGATGATATTCATCTCGTTTCAGTGTACTGTAGTGTACTGTACTGTACAGTATCTTGGACCGTGGACTACTGTACTGTACTGTACAGTACTGTACAGTACTCAAAGAAAACCTCACTGCATGTACCGTAGAGTACAGTACTGTACACTCAGCGTACAGTACTGTAAAGGACACCACCGTACTGTATTGTACAGTTTCAGGTTTAACTTATTAACTTGATGTTCAAATCCTAACCCATGGACTACTACCTGTAGATGCACATACTGTACATTCACATGGAAATCTGGACAAACATTCATTCAGTCAAAACTTTGCTTCAAATTTACTGTAAATGTAGTTGCGAAAATAAATCTTTGTTTCAGTTTGAATGTTATTACGACAATAAAACTTTGTTTCAAGTTTGAATGTTATCCCAGCATTCATTCAAAATTTTAACATCCAAACGTTCGCGGTGAATGTTGGTTAACGAAAGTTCACTAGCTGAAGGTCGGCAGCTCTATCCATGCCTAGTAATGCACAGTAAAGGGTAGCCTAGCTGGGAGGTGTTGCCTACCCTTTACCCTCACTCAACATTACTGTTTAAGGCGATGTTGGGATCGTATGACATACTGTACACTCAGTGTACAGTACAGTAGTGTACTGTACTGTACATACTGCACAGTACAGTACTACTGTACTGTACTGTACTATATTCAACTGTACTGTAGATGCAGAACTAATCTCCATGGTTACTAGTTACCTCTGCAACTGGGCGCGTCTGCATTTCTAACGCTATTGTGTACTCATCAATTCAGCAAGTCCAACTTGTGATAACTTATAACTTCTATGTATTCATATTCTACATAACCGTATAATATTGTCATAACAAGATATTCTTACCGTGTTTATCTACAATGTTTCGATGTTGTTTTGGTAAGGAAGAAATAAGTCAAATAGATCACCAGGCAAATGAGAATCCAACAGCAAGAACCGCTGCATGTCATAGTGAGCCAGTAACATGTATTAATAACATGAGCTACGGCGTTACGATATCTGGTAGCCAGGATAAGGTAATGCTATATGTGTACGTATAAGTATCGTGTAGACATTTTTATGATACGGATATTGAAAGATTTAGCCTTCATAGTATTGTAATATTTTAAATTTATTATAATTAACAGCTGTATATTATTGTGTATAGTACATGAAAACTTGGTTATGGTATTCTAAAACCTGACCATTCAGTTAGAATCTTCATGGAGCAAACTTTGCAAATTTTATTATTCTATATTATAGTCTCTCACTAAATATTCGCACTGTAGTAGCAATTACTTCTCTATATGCAATGTTTCAGACCGTTATTACCGAGTAATGTCTCACGCAACTAACCTTACAGAATGCTCCCGGTTCTCGTTATATTCTTATTATATCTTACATCTTAAAGCACAAAGTATTACACGTACAAATATGTAACATTATCTACATAGTTCAACTTGACTCCTCTTACTGATATCGGGGGTCAGTACAATACTCTTATCGCGTAGTTATTTTATTCACTAATACCGAACCTGAACCTCTAACGTTCATCATACTGACTACACAGAATGCATACTAATACCATAGCACGTATAATATTAGTATAACATCTCACTACACTATATTTACAATTATAGTTACTTTCTATTGGTTGATCATCATCTACTTTGGTCTTCTGATCAGATCAATCAAGTACTTTGTTAAAAAGTGCTAATTTTCGTATTAATATGTTATACAAAGATGATAGTTATGCTACTTCCTTTTTGCAGCATTGTCTCCAAATTAAACGAAGCGTAAATTTGAAATTTCTTGTTTTTCGTAGACAGTCCTGGCCTATAACTGGAGGACTGGTAATATCATACGCAGATGGTTCGGGCATAATAAAGAAATCACAAAGGTACAATAAAAAATTCAAGCATTAAATTCGAACCTGGATATACCTACATAATGTATAAATATGATGGTATATATAACTATACTTTATTACTATCAGAAAATTATTCCCCTGAATAGGTAACTGGAAATTACGTAAGACTGAGATCATTTACTTTACGTTACGTAACAAAGTTGGCAGTGAATTGGACTCAACTACAAATGTAAATCAAGATATTTCGATGCTCTATCGTTAATTGTATTTTAATTAATTTATATCAGTTACTGAATCCTGAATATAAATAAATAATAATGTAGCAATCTTACAGTGATCAGAATCACATATACTATACATTAATAATATTAAGCACAGCTACGTGTGGGATCGATAAAATACTGGTAGGGGGTTTAATAAGATACAGACTGAAGTACAGCGGCAACATAAAAATAGCATTTAACAAGATTTTTAGAATTACTGCCATTTCTAATAGATTGTTCCTTTAGGGTGACGTATAGTTACACTAAGGGGTTAGATTCTCACTTGTATACAGTAGATATATACTTATATTCTTCAACTTAATAAACCGAATAGGTGAAAACTATGGTTCATTTATGGAATATTTCACATAAAAAATTTGAACTGAATTAGCAATGACTGTAGGCTACTAGCGATAAGCACAAGTTAAAGAATCTAAAGAATCTAACAACGGAAGTTGTCGAAATTGAGAGAAGCTCAGTTTAAATTATAGTCCAGTACAGTATAAGTACTACATACTGCATATATCACTCAGTCACGTGGTTATATATAATTTTAAATCCGCAAAAATTGTAATACTTTGAGGATCTGTTTGTTATTCTCATGTAATTCTACCTTAGAGACTAGAATGTATTTCTAATAACGTCTTACTGTGTTGCAAATGAATCAACACGGCGTTAAATACATGTAACTTATTACTTATCCGTAATGATTATAATTTTGCAACACTATATCAGACTACTGTATATTCATGCTTATATTTGAAGGTCGTAGGAAGCCTATGTACAGGTTATTACCTATGACTGAGTGAAGGCACGCTATGAATTATGCCCGCGGGACATAGCTCAGATGTTGTACCTTCACAACGGCGAAGACAAGATGATCAAAAGTAGGTAGATCTTTGTTATCAAACAGATTTATAAGACAATACAGAGATAAACTGGGCTCTTGGCGCGGAAATTAGATATAAGCAGAGAGCAATGCAATCTACTAGTATTTATACTTTAGTTACTGACAATCTCATCTTAAATCTACTGAAGAAGTATACGAGTGCTTCGATGAAGTAATAACTGATTTCAACATGGTCGTACACTGCATGACCATGGAGGTAAGAAAAAATAGATAGAGGTTTTTTTCTTACCTCTATGTACATGACACTTTCCTGTTACAATCATAGACCAAAGGTGGAATTTCTCTTCCTTCTTTTAATAATCCACTAACTTCGTAATACCTTCTGTAAAACGGATACAGTCAAAACTTATAGTCCACTCCGATCCAATCGACGAACTTAATAATTCAAATTGACAATGTCCCACGTCCCATTATCCTCAATCTGAGCTTAATTCTGCAATAGAAAAGTAACATATTCATCCTCATAGTCATCGTATTATTCCTGTTGAGAATTTATATCATCAAAATTTATTCAGCGGTCAAATTTTGCTTTCGATTAGTCTTTTAATTTAATATCAAATTTCTGCTACAGGTTATACATGCGAACATAATTCGATCAGTCTTCAGTTGCTCTAGAGATCGTAGCATTCGAATGTGGCAATACGACGGTGAAAACGACGATTTTATTCGTGAATTTATCGGCCATGATTTGGTAGTTACAGGCATTACCGTTAATTCAGGTAACTTAAGTTTAAATTCGTAGCTTTATCTAGTATGTTTTCGTATATTTCAGGAAATTGGCTAGAATCGTACACTTGAACCAGTATACAATTGTCCACTTTATTGATTTATCAGAATGAAAACTTTTGTTAATATACACTATTTATTAAATTTAAGATTTATAAGTTACCACAGAAAGTAGATTTAGGGAATGGGATGTATTCTCTGTTTCAGTATACGTAATTAATAACACCGTGCTCTAATGGTTCTGCTATTATAGACAATACTAATTTATGTTCTGGATCTCGTGATAATACGGTTTGTTTATGGGATATTGAAACTGGAAAAGCAATAAAGCGACGAAATATTAATAGAAATTTGGTTTGTAATCTACTGAGATAGAAACACTGATTAACTATTTCGGCGACGTTTTGAACATCTTTGTCGTGCTGGAAGGATTTATGACTAACCTAACTAAACAGTAGTATTTCCTGTTTTCGTGAAGGTGACACATTTGCAATGGTTTCCTAAAGAGAGTAGTAATAATCTCATTGCGCAAACAAGCGAAGATAAATGTCTAAGGTAAAAATATATATAATTTATATGAATTTATTATAAACTTGTAATAGTAGACTGTTATAAATATCCTTCAAATGAAACAAATTTATATTTCGCATTTCTGGTTAATAAATAAATTCATACCTTCTTATTGTTTCTACTAATCGGAAATATACGTATGCTAACCCAAATCTATTTCCTTTACTAATCCTAGCGATTAATACTAGTATGTAGGAAAAATAGGGATGCGCTATTAGATTTTCAAGTTTTTATACTCGGAGTATACTGTACTGTTGCTGTTTCATGTAATAAGATTCTCTTTACTTTCATAAAATTGGTTAGATTTTAATGTCAAAGATGTAGAGTCCTGTAAAAAATCTATCACATAACATTCCTAATGCAATACCACATTTAGCCATGATAACTTTTATTATGAAGGCGCAAATAACTGTATATGTAAACAAAGGATTTTTACTTGACATTACGTAATTTATCTATTTGTTTTTCTAAGGATATGGGATTCAAAATCAATGGAAGTTGCAATGACCTTTCCAGCACGACATAATATACTTGTAAGTGAATGGTAGGCACTACTTTCCTAGTACTACATCACTGTATTGGAATTAACTAAAAAATTCGACGTATCAACGAAACTTAAACAGTTATCAAATGAACAGTGCTGATTTCAACGTTGCATAGTTATTTTTCTCTAAATAACTCTTTCAGTAATCCCTTAACTTCCAGTCATCTAAACGCAATAATTAAAAAAAGAATTAAATTCAAACGACTAGTTGCTGTATAAGAAAATATATTAATTCGAAATTTTTAAAGGTGTATCAAATTATCTTGATCCTCAAATTCTTTATTTGTAGCTGCAACTATGAGTCACTAATAATTAAAGGCTTAATACAATCTACGTTCTAGGAGATAGTATTCTGTTTATAGTTTACAATTTGCTGTTTCCAATCATTGCATTTTGTTACTTAACGTTAGTTTGCATTTATTTGTAGACGTACTGTGATATCAGCTGCGACGGAAATTATGTGATCACAAGTGGTAGCGGAGTTAATAATCAAGGCTGTGATTGCGTGGTATGATTAAAATGGATATTCATACGCTTTTTATGAGATTCGTTCTTAGTTACTTGCATAGTACCGTGCGCTTTTGATATTAGGTTCAAAAACATTTAGTTAAATGTTATAAAAAATGGTACGGAGACAAGATTGGAAAAATACAAATATTACAATTATTCACGGCGTAACGATTGTAGAGAATGAAATTTATTTATAAATAGTCATATTTTAGGTATTTCTATTCATTACTTGTATTTGAATTTAAAAATCTAGTAAGACTTTGAGTAACCCTTAGATAATTAGATTAGATAACACATAGTTCTTAACGATTAGTGTGCAATTCGAATAATTAAAAGTAACGTTATAGTTATTGCATTGTTAACTGTACTGATAGGTTGGGTTCAATAGATCGAAGAAGATTATAACTTACCCTGATGCTGTACTTTTAACTTTATTTACCAATTAAACAAGAGAATCGTCATTTTTTACATTGAATCGTATTCCGATTGCCATCATAATCTTTGATTTAATACAATTCCTATAGAATGATAAATGCAATCTTATCCTCTTAGAAGTGACTTGTCCGAAATTGTGTGCACATTTAATAGATGTGGGATGTAAGAGCGCAAAATGCCGTAGCGAAATTTTATGGCCATTCCTTGACCGTTTCTGCCTGTTGTTTTGCTGCCTTCGACAAAAATTTGTTAGAATATTATGTTTTAATTGTTGAAATTAGTGTACTGCCTTTTGCATTTCGTTGGGTATTTCATGTAGGAAACCATAGCTTTGTATTCATGTACTGTAGATTAGTGATACTCTCTTTCTTAGGCTTTCTTTCTCAGGTAAAATTTTTTCGTGATTGTACAGAATTCTTACTTCATCCTACGATCATTCCGTCCGTATGTGGGATAAAAATACTACCGGTACGAACTGCACTGTTAATATTCATTGCCATTGCTGCATGGAAATTGCATTTCTTAGGCATTTTAATTGATGTGATATTTTTATAGATTGTGTATTACAGTAGCTTGTATACAATAATAATATTTTTAAAAATTATTAAGATGATGAGGTAGTGATTAAAAGGGAATGTGGTCTTCTAGTTTCTTATTGCATAGCAAAGATTATGGTAATGATAACGTAGCAATTACATATTATTAAGCGGTTGAGAATATGTATTCTGCAACATTTAAAGTTATCATTTATATTCATTGTAGTGTAGGTGACGTAATTCTATTTTATTATTACTCCGTGTTACAGATTGTCTATTGCAGTATAGCATTAATGGAGCTGGACCCATCACTGGAATTTGTAGCGATACAGATAAGCAGTTAGTCTTAATTTTTCTCTTATCTGAAAGTACGATATAATAGGCACGATATGTTGTCTGTTATTTATTTATTCATAATTATATTTTTTTAAGCTTTTGCTGTTCAACCCATGCGGATGGTATTCATGCGGTTCATGTCAATACGGAAACTTCAGTAGCCACTCTTAAAAGAAAATTTTAATTGTTGTTGCTCATACTGTATGTTGGAAACTTGGAATGCTATTTAAATAACAAATATGGCGTTGATAGAACTTACATAGCGTTCAGCCTTTTTAACACCACTTTTCTTTAAAATACATTCTTACTATGTACTATTTATAACGACCAACAAAAACTTGAATTTGACTAAATTGCTTTACAAGAAGTGTGCATTTATGCCATATGGATTTTGATTAACAGTACCGTGGGGCTAAATTGTAAGTTCATAAACAAGCGGTAACTGGAACTTAGAGTAAAATACCTTCAGGATATAGTTGATCAGATGTGACTGAATAATTGAAAGGTATCTGGTATCTAATATTATTTGGTGGTAGATGATAGAGGTTAAGATTTTAGTGCTGCATTTTATTTTACAGACTGAGCTATTCATGTACTATTTACGATTGATTAAGAGACTCTTCCATCGCACAAAGCTTGGTAAATGGAGATTAATTGTCACTTTCACTTTGTTTGCAAAGTGCGACATTGTTATTACGAATATACGACCATAGTACTAACACTCTTGTTACTGGGTCATACTTTTTACATTCATGAGTCAACAAATGTTTACTGCTACTGAAAACTGTAGCTGCTTTAATTTATTACTCGCATGAGATACTTTGGTCAGAAGTTCTACGTATTCGATTTAAGTGCTTTATTAATTAATTAGTAAGTACTATTGTAGGATAGAATAGCGAAATAATTTACTTAGTAAACAAGCAGGCGAAGTATCGTAAGCAGTTCCACTAGTCATTTGATGTACTGTATGTCAAAGACAATCAGTTACTATATCTACGCATAGATATGGTATATTTTACCATTTCACACGAACAACGTATCAGTAGGGACGACGCAAACGCATACTTCTGGGTAGGACTGGTGATCAAATATTTCACTGCCGAATAAAAGGGATGGGACTAAGCACAACAGATTTTGTAGACCTTTGGGTCGCGAGAAGGCTTTCGGACTAGTTAACATGAAATCATTTTGGTTTTAAAATTTAGGGTCATAGTAAAGTCTTGTCCACCTCGGATATGATTTATGCGTAGGCCGGCGATTATTTATTAGGGTGCATAGGGTCTTCTAACTCATTACATGTATATATTTTTGCATTATCGGAATTATGTATAGGTACATGATATAGCAGAGAGCAATGAAAATGTACAAGGTAATAACACGCCGCTTGCATTACTCAATTTTAAAAACATTAAATATTTAAAAGACATGATCAAATACTGTTCTTTCTCTCATCCGATGTCTGATACTGGTATGGAAGCTCATTAAGCTAGTTTAAGTTGCGTCTATCAAATAATGAAAATGTAGTTATATGTTACATATGATCAAGGATTTTTAGAAGTGGCACGTCCACTAATGAATATAATTCATAACAATTATCATAGTACATTGGAAACGGTTCTTATTTACAATTAATATAACTCGGTATTCAGCTAACTATCATCATTAATTTCATCAATTGGAGGCATGCTTCATCATTTGAATTAGTTTTATCATTAAAATTTTCAGAACATTTTCTATTCAACAATTATTGCTTCATCCCAAGGTCCGTGAATATTACTGCAACAATAAATACTTTCCATTAATCATTTTACGACTTTAATCTACCATAGGCGACATAAAATGCTTTACTAACTCTTTAAATGCTTGCAATCGATGTAGCCATAGAGGACAAAGCACCATGATACAAAATTGTAAGATTAAGAATAGTAATGCATAATCTATCTTGATAGCACATAAGCATATGAGACATACTACAAATGTCAAAGATGTTAACAATTTCCGTCGGCTGTCGTGTTTTTTCTGAAAGTATAAAAAAAATTGAATAAAGAATTATATCAGATATACTGTACTATGCATTATGAATGGCAATGGAACTCTAGAGCAATATATCAGAGTGAACTAATGTACATTAAGACCATGGACATACGCGTATATAACAAAGATATACTTGGTAAAGTAATTCACTATTTTTAGTCAAGAATAGAACTTGCCAAAAATGAAGTATCAAGTCATGTTATAATTCTGTATCCGAGATATATCGCACCTGATATTTACTTCTGAAGACAGGCAAAAGTGAGAAAATTTGAAAACCGAATAGAATAGTTGCAAAAGTATGCTCCAAAGTTGGTAATCTCGAGGCTAGACATACTGATGCGAAGACTGAAGAATACACCCTATATGAATGTAAATAGATTGGTAGGTTTAGTATAAATTTTTATGCAATATCAAAACACTTACTATTTCGTTTGACACATTATCTAAGTAAAACGATATTATTTTAGGGCAATATGAGTAGAACACTTGCGTAGAATATCAGCAGCTGCCAATATTGTACGTACACGCATGGAACTGTATTTGGTAGCAAACGCGTAATCCTGCCTTATAGATCAGGTTTATGACAGAGACAACAAACAACTGCGTATATTCGACAGACTTCAGAGTATTGTTGTGTGCTGTTTCTAATTATTTACGGGTATATCACAGATTCACGGTGTGATCGTATGTAAAGGTTGATTGTTGATATTGTCTCATGGGCTACTCATCGGAGATCTAATAAAGCAATTTTAACTAACAAGACTTTTAAGTTATCTGCTGTCAAAAACTTGTTAATAAATAGCATAGACGGTATTCAATTATAGGAATTTGTAAATTAAGCAGACTAGATATGTTCGGGTAGCAATTTATGCGAAGTAATCATTTACATTCATAGTATTTCGGTTGTAATAGGAATGGTATTGCCTGAAATTAGATTCTGACTCGGATAAATCTAAACATTCACACAATTAGCCAGGCTAGGCATGATAAGTAATCGTAATAAATTGCTAAATCTCAAATTGTATGTAAAATATTACTAAGCAGCTAAATATAATCGCTGTATTCATTGTCCTAATATTTACCGCGTGTATATTTAAATATCGATTAGATGGCATCTACCAGAGGTTCGTGATATCAAAATGTAATAAACTGCTTTACTTTTTATATTTTCTTACTTAGTAAGCTTTATCCTGTGAGTGCATGAAAGTATTACACTGGTACTTATAATCGCATGCTAATTACCTCAAGGTCTTTAATGAATGAGTAGATTTACCGATACATCGTAATGTCTAAAGTCATTATTTAAGGTTTTAATCATCTAAACTTAAGTTGGAAATAGATATACTAATTAATAAACGGTGTGAATGAACAGTTATGAATTGTTAATGCATAATCCTTATAATAAGTCATCGTTAATTCACCGAGCATTCAAAATGGGTATGTACAAATTGAATATCAAAACATAATAGCAGTTATAGGATCGTAAATCTTAATCAATACTGTAATATATCAAGTTGTTAAATATAGTATAACTGACATTAAAAGCGAAGACAAAATGGCAATCAAATGTCATCAATATGAAATATTTTTCCTGTTCTAGAAATTTTGATATATTGATGAACATCAAGGTAATCACTAATCATTGCTTTGAATTAGGTATAAAACTATTATAAGATTATAATAAATGCTCTATTCATATATTAGCCCTCACGTGTCTGCTTGGTCATATCCATAGTCATGAAAGACAAGATGGCATACAAACATTAGAACCTACAAGGAACAGAATAAGGATCAGATATTTACTCCAAGATCACTTAGCAACTGTAATGGAAGAGAGACGAATACGAGGCATTGCATTAGATACATCTATCAAATCTGATTGGGAATTGAGGATTATAGCGAGTATTATAAAATTAATCATTGGCTAAAGTATTACATCCAGTTGCATATGCTGGAGATCGCGTTCACTTATAGTTTGTAAAGTATCATGTTTAAATAGATTCGCGAGTAACTTCATATGACGTAAGATATGGCGTAAAAATTTTCGGTTCTGTGGGTTATGGTATTTACAAGTTAACGATTTAGATAAGTTCCTAAATATAGTAATAATTTCTGATAAATTTAGGATGTAGTCAGTATTACCGCTATTGAGTAGATTGTATCGCTGCAAATGGTATAGGTCAATGTTCGGAGTATTGATGAGAATCCAAACAAAAATCCAGCCAAAAGCAAAGAACACCTTACATCGTCCACATCTGTAAATAAGCAGCGACGTGAAATATGAAGTTTGTATATTAATCAGTGTAGGTATATTTTCTAACTTAAACTTTAATTTGATAATTTGAAATATGAAAACGAAGAATGCCGTGTAAAAATTACGCATATAGTCATTCTCATCAGGTATTCCATTAAATTCTGCTAGCTAATTATAGATTTCAGACGAGTTGATTTTTAAGTAATCAAAAGATATTTAGATACGATAATATATGAATGTAAAATTGTTGTTATCAATTTGTTGTAAAGGCTGCTACAGTATACTCGCATAGTACTATAATCATTATGAAATGTGGTAGTACTCTACTGCAAATACTTTACAAGGATATTCATATCCAACATTTATTAATAAAGAAACTGAAACTTCATCAGGAAAAATTACTCTCCAAAGGGGCATATACTAACGAGTTCTGTTCATTCTTCCAGCTGGAGAAGTAATACTATCCATGACTACTATTATATATCCACCAACTGTTAAAGTTGACGAGATTCCAATTAGAAGATATGGAGAGAGGAATTTCCTTTGCATATACGCAAACATCGCAACGAATATGAACACGCTAGTCGAAAAATACGAGTGCAATTTATTAGTCATTATAATACTTTACTACTACAACAGTTAATTTTTAGCTATTCATTTTCATTTAGTTATTTTGATTTTGTGTAACAATCACAAAATTACCTGCTTATTTGTTGCGAGATAAGTCCAGCCTTGCCAAAAATCTGGGATAAACTATGATTGCGGATATGGCCTGAAGAGAGAAACACCGAAAATAAATGATTCACTAGTGGAGTTATCTCGGAAGAATGAGGAGATGTAATATTGTACTGCACACAGATAGTAATATCCAAAACTGTCACCGAGATCGATGCAGTGAGGCTCCGATCCCGATTTCTAAGTAAGGAAACACTTGAAATTGATCGTGAAATATTGATACTTAAAGCATGGACTTTTAAACCTACGTGTGAGCTGATAGTGTAGTGACATGATGTTCGGCCATGCTACTGAATTTACTCATTGGTGAGCGTTATCATTTAGCAATAGAGTAAAGCTTACGAGTCTCAAGGTACGGTAATTTGAAATTAGATATAAAATAAATAAATTTTAAGGAAACCAGTGTATGCCCACGGACTCTGTTCATTGATAGCTAGTCGGACGAAAAACTTCACGCACAAGCTTTTTATATAATACTGTACTAGTTGAACCCGCTCACTACGTTCCAAATTCGACGTCAGGCAGTTAATTAAATGTTTATTAAAAAATGAATGAGTTAACTATTTCTGAAATACTTCGGGAAATACGATATTTGTTTACATGCGGCTTAACCTTAACGCAACATGTACAGTATTTCCTTTACTATATATAACTATATAGAACTGTACGTAAAAGTTGCAATGCTGTACTTATGCAGTATAATGTGCTGTATTTATTGCACGGTTAATAGCGTACAGTAATCAATGTTATCAAGATAAGCTTAGCTTACGATTCTTCTCTAATAATTGTAAAAAGGATCCATCTACAAAATTGTCGGGATATGGCTGGCTTTTGTAGAGTATCTTCCTCCATTTCGAACGGCTGTCCATGGTACAACAGGTATTGATAAAAATACAGTATAGTAAATGTTAGAACTCTGCTGCAGTTTATCTTTTACGTGTGTACCATATTACCGTTATATGATAAAAGGAAGCAAGATCAGTGCTTTCGAAAATTGAGTAGCTGTAATATTGTCGCATTTAGGCATTTGGGCAGCATTGTGTGAGTGTGTAGTAACACCGTACAGGATAGGATATGATTGAATTTTTTAAATGAAATTAGCATATATGAGCGACGTCGTGGTTCCCACAACGGGAAGTATAGTACAGTACAGTAACCTTTCACTGTTTACAGTATCATTCATGAATCGTACCGTACTGTACAATCGTGTCTAAAATTTTTTACTACTGTACTGTACACTGTACAGTATGCCAACTATACAGTATAGTAAAGTATAGTACAGTAAATTACAATATCATTTTTACGGAATAATCATGAAGACGATTACCTTAATTTTGCATAGAATTAAAGTATAAAAGTATCTATTTAAATGTGAGATTTGAGAGTCCGTTGGTCTATTAAATAATTTTAGTTATACAGTATATAATTATTGCAGCAAGTTCGTATGCGTACACTACAAACAGTATAGAGAGAATTATGGTCGGCTTATCGCGAAAGAAAGCAACAGTAGAACCAGTGATCCAAGCTACTGAAAGTGATTTACGAAAATCGATCGATGTCGTTTTATATGAAATTATGAAAGATGACAAAGGAGTGAATATATCACCATCCCGTCATTTGAGTATTTAGTAAGTCACGAACTATTTGGAATACAATGCGGCGTAATTAAAAATTGCAAAAATATTTATGGTATTGCTTTACTGAATAATATATTTTTCATATGCAGTACTCGTACTAGTACAGTAGGTATGCTCTATTTTTATTTAACTACCTCAAATCTTAAAAATATAATTGTCTTATCTATTGTTCTCTTGCAGCAAATCTTTACCAGTGCTAGGAGTAGATCTTAACGCAGACTCTCCAGGAATATTACGTTCTGATGACGACTGTATGATGACACAACAACTTAATCATGTGGCGGAGACTCCAAAAGTGGTAAAAGCAGTCAGTAGAAAGAAAGTAAGACGAATTATAACAGAGTAATAGCAGTCTAATCACATATTAATTACAAATCTTTATGCGATTTTATGGTTCATAAATTTCGATGATCATAGCTCCCCTAACTAGAGAAATACAAGTACATTATCGTGTACTGTATTTAAATGCGAACATAATAACTTCTATTTTCGGAATAATAATATAAATGAAAGGCACTATAACACAGTATTATAATTATGGGTTATACGACATGTTCTCGGTGTACGAGTATTCACTAGCTTAGTGAAAACCTGGGTATCAATACAGTAATTATACACATTTGCCTTTTGGACACTCAGACTCTAGTTTACTTATACATGTTATATAGCAAATTCGTCGGAGTTTTTCGTTAATTACATGCAGTATCTTCATATGAACTATACGATGGATTAGAAATCATCATCCATTTGAAAAGCGAGAGCCAAATTATTTATTCTGCTACTGTACACTTAGTCATGGACCACTAGAACATTGGGTTCTAGCGGTCGATGACTTAAGCTAAGTGTGATAATGATGGAAGATTTGAATGATAATACCTGCTGTATAAAATCTACTCTATTGCAGTTATTAAATTTTGCATATGCGTTATAATAAGGGACTTGTATAGAGGAAGGAGTAAGGTCCTTGGTATAATATGTGTTATAGTGCAACTACCACAGGGTATGGTATCTATAAACATTGGTCGTAAATGGTTCAGTTTATAGGCTAATTTAGTGTAGTCTATTATTTCGCTTCTTGGAAAGACGTGTGTAGTACAAGTATCTGCGGCTAAGGAATAGGTAGGTACGAAATGCTGATGTTAGTACAGTGTGGTCGGAAACTAGGGATAGACATTTTGAATAGCTGTCCAATAAATTATTCTGGTAACACTTAGCGTGCAAAGTGCAGCTATCTGAGACTGATGAAAGTAAGATACAAGCAAATCACGATCGACGGAATTACTGACAATGTAAAGACTCTACAGTAGCGATTGCACTCAGGTTTAAGTATTCAAATACCTTATGTTATATAATTATCCATACAGTATACAGTAGAAGGAATCATACAATTATATGTTTAACGGGTCTCTCTATAAAATTAGGAGTACAATTCATGCTCTTGAATAATTATAAGCATGGAAGGCATGTACACACATGCAATATTATTCTAGTTTCCCATGATGTACTAAACTACACTGAGACTAATGATAATTATACAAATAATTAATGCCTGTGATTGCAAGATATACGAATGTTCGTGCACGGGGAAAAATTTTCGTATGCGGAATATGTACTTAAAAATTTTACACTGAATTTCAGTGGTTATGATTGTTACTTCTTGGTTGATGACAGAATTGCAGTACTGTAATGTGGTCTTACGTCACACAATCCAACCTTAATTTAGATACATCAAGCTAGTTCGACGGCTGTTAGACTACTAGATTCTAACTCGGGCACAGCAACATTAACACCTGAAATGGAAGCAGATTTGGAGATCTTGAAGATGAGGCATGTTTTGGATCCTAAAAGACACTATAAAACGGTTCTTCGAAATCCACCGAAATTATTTCAGGTTAAATATATTAATTCTCTCTTCATAGTTCAGTTTTATTCTAAAATTTATGTGTCTTATCGTTACCTAGATGGCAAGAATTGTTAAAACACCGAAAGGATTATTTTCTTCTCAATTTCGGAAAAGTGATAGAATGTCTGTGGAGGACTTTCTGGTTGATACTAAATTTAGAAAGTAAGTTTTATAGAGATTGGTATTTACCCATATTTGTTTTGCAATTGACTGTATTTCATATAATTACTATAGATACTGTACAAAGAAATTTATGGAAATCCAACATTTAAGAAGACGCCATAAAAAAAAGAATATGCGCCGTTTCGGAAAAGTCTAATAATTATGTAAACAGAAATTTCTGTTCATATTGTTATAGTTCTGTGTATTTAAGAACTAATCTTTGATCAATTGCTCTAGTGTCTATTCGGATATGCTAGCTAATTCGCTACTTTACTGATTTAGTTGATTTGATAACTTCGATTTTTATTAATAAAAACTTGTCTAGGGATCGTTGTCTAATTGTCCGTTATGTACAACTAGTTCTGAAAAAAAAGAAGATAATCGGGTTGCATTTAAAAACTTGTGTACTTTTAATACAGTACAGTATTACTGATGTAAGATTGTGCACAACAGTAACGCAGATAGTTATAAAAAATAAATGTCGATGTGGATTAATAAATATATATATAATATATACATTTACCCCAACCCTACTGTTGTGTCTTGGTAGTTGATAACGATAAATCATCTGAATCATCTTATCTACGAATGAGGGCGATTGTAAGCTCTACACTTAATCTAGTATAACAGTGCACGTTTGATATTTCATTATTTTTTAGTCAAACTACTTGATAAAAATGCTATATAACATAATAGTTTAGATAATTATAATCAAACGATAACTATTTGATCGAGGAGAAAAGCTAATTCGTGAAAGAGAACGTGTATTTTGAGTTTGGCGTCTCATTTAATTTAAATTTCGTCATTGCTATGAGCATTGTATAGTCATGGACTTCTAGAAGACCTGAACTGATCACCCCCTCAGACAGACGAACTTTTCTAACCAGATGAGATTGTAAATATCGAAAAATGGCTACTTAGTATGGATCTTTCGTAACTGTTTTCTAAATAAGGGATAACATTTTTACTTTAGTGGTCCCTGTCAAAATATTGTGCAAAACACTTTGATATGATAGTACAATACTGTACTTTACTGTACAGTAGTATGTAGACGGTCGATTTTAAATTGGCTGATTTTTTCCAAGTTTTAGGTAATATTATGTTGAATCTTATTATCTCTTACTAAGTTCTGCTTGGAAATAGTTATACAAGATTGTAGATGTTATTTAAAAAATTAGTAGTAGTGATTTACAGTACTGTACAGTACAGTATTACTTAGTGTACAGTACGGTATGTAGTGTTGACTTTACCGTGAGCTACCGTACATTACACTGTAACGTCATGTTGGTTGATACAGAAAATTTTAACACCAAAGCGACGGTTATACAGAGCTATCTCTAATAAATAAATAAATAAATTAAATTTTATTTTGAATTAACTGACAGTGAGTAAAATAATAGATGTACAGACTGCCTACCGCATACTGTACAGTATACTTTTTGAAGTTTTTTTAAGTTTATCTTTGTCTCATAGCTGCAGTGAAGCTCATGGATGTTTCAAATCGAAAATTCTTTTCGAGCGCTTCTTTGATATTTTTGTCTGTAGCATTGATTGTATTAACTGTTAAACCTAGTTTGGGAAACGATTTTCATCGTTATTATCAAAGCATAGAGGATAATGGAGGCTGGTAAATTATAATTACTGTATTGCATTTTAAATTTTTGATCAGTATAGTATTGTACTGTACATTTGAGCTATTGTACTCGTATGTTAATCATGACGGCTGCAGCCATATTTGTGATATTGATATTGGATGAAAGATCTGATTTCGCAGATTTGCAATCATTTCTCTTTAGGTATACACCAAAAGGACCCATTGATTACTCAAATTTAACAAGGAAATGTAATATCGAAGTTTTAGATGCACTTATAGAACAAGAAGAGTTTTTAACCAGGTACTATAAGGAGGAGGGTAACTAAAGTAGGCAATGGACGATAAGATAATGTTTGCAATTTACAGTTAGTAAGACTACATTTTATGCATCTGGATAAAGCTGAGGGTGTTGATATTTACAGATACGCTAACAGAAGGCCCGTGATATTGCGTAAAGCAGTGAATAACCAGGTTAGTCAAAATAACACTTATTATCTTATAAATTTATACAGATTGTGAACGTGTTTAATCTTATTAATAGAATTTTTTAGACAAACTTTTCTCGTCGATCTTTGTCAGCAGTATAATGCAAAACTTTTATACATGAAATTTTGGTCAAATCGACAAGGTCTACGAATTATCTAATTTATTAGATTGGCTTAAATTTTATATAAACGTTTTTTGCTTTGTACTGTTAACGAAAGTCGAAGGGAAAAGCGTATCTGAAATACTTCGCGAAATGAGCTACCGTAGTATTTACTGTAATGTATAATATAATATAACTGGCTCATACGAACAATGACGATTTCTTGCGATAGTTTCATCCATCATGGATATAATAGTAATATTGCATTGCGGATATGTAGTACCATTTATATAGTGCAGAAATTAAAACTGCGTACATCTAACTATAATTAATAAAATATATATATTGTGGTTCGGGTCACCCAGGGAACCCATTAAATCTCTTAATTACGGTTACTTTAGACCTGTTATTTCATGTTTAGGTGTTAAGAAATTTTACTTCTCGCAAGCAATTGTTATCAAAATATGGAACGAAAATTATTCGACTAAGCTCTGCCAATACCTATTCCTATAATAAATGTAAGGCTTACAAACGAAATTAGGTTGCGATAAAGTGTATTTAAAATGATGTTAAAAAATGCGCTTATGTTTCGAAGACTTAGACTTGTACTAATCCTCGTTACTACTCTCATACTATATATCTAATTTTTAATTTTTAATCAATTTGTTGAGTGCTATTTTGTACAACCACTTTACTTTTATGTAATTGTAAATTTGAAATCTAAGATTGTAGTACGTAAATCCTTATGCAACTGGCGGATTAGAGGATCGTATACACAACTTCGTACAAATCTATTGTGTCAGTGATGATACGTGTATAATGATCATGATGAAACAGTTCCTGATTTGGTGACTGGTTGATGGTGGCGTGATTAGTAAAATGATGAATATGGTAGTGTTAAAACACTAACTCGGGTAGATTTAAGCTTTGTCTATGCCAGCATTTTATCGCAGCCATTAATTTGTAACTAGTTGATAAAATTAATTATCGAAGGAATTTGAACAGTAAATGTTCACAGTATTATTATTCTAAGTTAAAATATCCCGGTTGAGTGATATATTCACTGACTTTATTTTGCAAGCTGTATTTTAATACCCAACGACTATGCTATAGATTTATAGTTATCGATTGGCTAATGTTGTAGCTTCAGAGTTATATTCATTGGTAGCTACCACGTATAGATGAAGAGAAGGGTATTCTGCTGGAGGTATTGTAGTACATAGAACGTCAAGGCCGGGTGTACTTAGTTTGAAATGTTTACGAATTAACTTTATGTTCACTCAGAGATGCAACATGCCATTAAAAATACAATACAGCATTTTTGGACAACTATTTCTAATCTGGTGCCCATATATCTGTGTTACAAATCGAAATTTGTAACGAGGCTGATTAAAACTATTACAGAAATTAACACTATGATCCTACTATCAGGTTTATCCTCCCTGATATTTGCCTACAGTACGACTCTAAATACTGACGATCCCCTATCGTCAGGAGGAACAGTAATACAACTCTAGTCTCATTAAAGCAGAGTATCACGATGATCTACATCAGTCATGCACCAACGCAAAACGGAAGGGTTCAAGTTTGATGCAAATGATAATGTTCGTACTGCTAGGTGTGGCCGTGTAGTAATGCCGAATCCATGTTACTTACAAATAAATGCATCAGCAGTTTATATTTGTTACATTGCGCCATTTAATAAGTATTCTTATGCGTTTGTTTGCTTGTTTAGTGTTTATCATTGGTTAGTAGGAAAAAGGCGATGTAGATTGGCTGTATACTATGCTCGTTTACATCTTATCTATACCGTTTGATATGGATTACGTCAGGGTACAGTACTACTCTCTCTCTGTAGTCCCGGATTGCATACTGCTGTGCATCGTACATTACCGCTTAATTATCAACTCCTTTACCGTATCAGCATTTACGAAGCTACTATTTATTAAAAGCCTAGCCAGCTTTCAATAAAGCATTCATTCATAGCTTGAAGCCGAATCTACTAATTTAATTTACTATGCATAGCAATTGACAGTAGATAAGTTTTCTTATGGAATTTATGTTACGACAGCTGCGCAAAAGTTTACTCCATAACTACCTATGCACAAAATATTTTTATATCCTATATGTAAAATTCCCAAAATATGTCACTTTCTTATTAATAGTACCTTTCCAATTATGCTATAGTTGATACCACCTTATCAAATTATGTTAACAACTATATCAAACCGCAAAGCCTGGAAGAACTGGGCGTAGGTAGGAATATTTTTAAGCTTACCGCACCGGAATTTCTAGTACTGTAGTTAGATATTATTTTATAATATCAATGTACAACTGCGTATTTTAGAAACAATTATATTACTTTAGCTTTGAGAAAGTATCAAACTAGCGAATCATTTCCTTGCGAATTTAAATGATATCACACATAACTCTATGATATTACTGCTTGATCTAAATTAATACGTTCTAATGTTGTGCCTGCGTTTTCTGATCATAGCAACTTTGTTATACTATATTATAATTATCAGACACATATTATTTCTTTGGAGACAATAACCATACGGAATGGAAAACGCTGTTTTCCTACTATTATAAGCCGCCATATAATATCCCTGGCTTTACCTCAATGCTAAGTTTTGGTATTGCGGGTGAGATTTACGTGCAATTTTAATACTACGTTTTCTTTTAACAGTTTTATTTTTCATAATAGTATAATAATAAATATACTTTATAACAGTTGATAAATGCTTAGATTTACTTTTATGTGATCTACTAGACTAGATTACTATGGTAACTAAAACGTAGCAATAATGGAAGATTAGGTTATATATGTATAGGATTTTTTTCTGTCTGTAGGTCCTGGTAGCGGAGTACCTTTTCATTTTCATGGACCTGTATTCAGTGAAACTCTCCATGGAAAAAAGGCTAGATTAAGCTCATGTGTTATTATCATATCTGCGGACAGTTTATGATTCTAGACTTTAATGTTTGGAAATATGCTAGTCAAGTTCATTTTTTTAGTTATCGGTACAACATTAGGATTTGAAGTACCTAATAGTCTAAAATATGATTACTTGGTTAGCCTGTTTGGAATTAGAATAATATACTAACAGATAATTTAAAGTTTAAAATTTACGTAAAGTGTGCACATGCTATTTTTTTATTACTGCAGTAATTTACAGTTACTTTTTCACCTTCGATTCACACAATAATCTAAATGCAATGTTACTTGATTATTATTTTAGCACTGGCTTCTATACCCTCCTAATCGTAAACCGCAATTTGATCCCAACCAAACAACACTCCAATGGCTTACCTGCCAGTATACAAAGTTAAACATCAATGAACAACCCTTTGAATGTTCAGTAGAACCGAACGAGGTATGAGAATCTCGCTTGGTCATTCACCAATTATATTTGTACTAGTATTTACGGATCGCTTTGCTGATGGTTGATGGGTACGACTATACACGTAATGTGATCCAATATTATCTCATAAGATGATACCGGTTACCACAATAATTTTTGAAATCAGTGATTCAAGCGTTATCATCAATCCTAAATGTTGTTATGGTTGTATAGTAGTAATAGTACTGAATCTGTTAAGCTAGCAAATAGGATTAAGTTAATTTAATGATGGTCAGTTATACGCTTATGTAGCCTTCAGTTTAGCTCTTGCGGCTAATAAGCAGCGGGGTGCTAGCATGGCGAAGATGTCAATGTATAGTAATCCGATTACGTTATCGCCATAAAATGAGCAAATCTATTTCATCTCAGTCAATTGTGAGGAGCTGCACTTTAGAAGCCTTTGTCGTATCTACCGAATCTGAGATTATTGTGCTGTAGCTGTATGCAGTACTATCAAGAAGTATATAAACACAATACCTAGTCATGTATACTCGGAATTCTCAACTTTTTTGCATTTGCAAATTACAAATGAAGTTACACCAATATGTTCTGTCTGATATACTATTACTTCTCATATTAATAAGATGGCAAATTATTGTAATTCAAAAGATGCATCGCATTGACTTTCTTTGTACTGGGTTTTTACTGTTGTACTGACAATGCTTTAAGACGGAACTTAATTGACCACATGCCTATGCTGCAGAGCATTATAATTAATCATATATAGCCCATGAAGTAGAACTTTCAAGACAATGCCAAGCTTATAAATATCCATAAATGATAGCGAGAAATCTTTATTTTTTTATATTCATATGTCAAGTTTAGGGCAATGCAGATCAGTTTTCTAATAATCAAAAGTATAATATCATTTGTGCTTAATGGTATTTCTATTTTTCCTTTTATCTGACTGTACAGATAATTTATGTTCCAAGTGGCTGGTGGCATGCAACGATCAATATGAAAACTACAGTTTTTGTATCTACATTTTTATCCGGCTAAATTCTGACAATTGAAACAATATTTCAACCCCCATCTTTGGTTTTGTTTAATTGTTATTAAGCATTCAAGAGAGTATAATATTGTATATATGGTAACATTCGGTATGTGCGATTCCCGAATGTTACCTCGTGCACATTATGCAAAGTTTGTTTAAATCATGACGTCGTCTTATCATGGTCTACCACCAATACCTATTTTAATGAATAGGAAATTTGTTATAGATTGCAGTACATTGTTGTATTTATGTACAGCCACTGAAACAAGATTACTGAACTTGTGACCTGTATCAGTTTTTACTTATAAAATAATAAAAGGATAACGTCCTGCTGTCAAGGATTACCTACTATTGTATCAGTAATTTTAAAATAAATAACTACACGTAGTGCAAAGCGTTCTAGTGGCTTAGCGTTTCGGCAGTTTGGTTTCTATTCGTTTCAAGTGTTGTCTATTAATGTTGATGTAGCGCATAATAATTTTACTGTCCACCGTTTATTGGTAGTTGAAGTCTAGTTCGAACATCCTGCGAACGTTAGCATTAAGTACAGATAACATAGTATTTCGATAAGATGCTCGATCGTATTGGGTCATGTACGGTAGGTCTGTGTAAGTCTCACTGAATTTGCAATTGCATTTAGAAAAGTAGGCAGATCAGCTCACCTACTTATTGAATATTAATAAGGTAACAGGGTGTAGTGATGCACCCTATATTTGCTTGTAGCGATAGCTATATTTGATTGTGTTGTGTACTATATTTAGAATAGTTAAGTTTCTAAAAATAGATATTCTTGTGCTGCTAGATTTAGGTGACTGGTAACTACTATATTAGAAAGTGTTATTCACTAATATAGCTGTTAACTAATTATGGTACAGGACGTTATACGACTTGAAATACTAAGATTGTAAAGATGCCCAATACCTTACGGTGTTGGACATTAATGGTAAAGTAATAATATTGTAAGCAGTTTGATTAATACTGTAAAATGTAGTGATGATTCATGTCTGATTGTAGACGATGTTATTGCCTTAAATAGATTCAGAGAAAAGTATATAAGGCGTACAAATCTGAGCGTAAAGGAGGAGAAAAGATTTGATATCTAATTGAGCTCAGATTACTTTAGACTAGATTCTTGTGAGTAATTAATTATTGCTGTACTATTCTTTAGAACCTTGTAATAAAAAGCTTTTATAGTACTGGATTCCTCTGTGGACTAAAATTACTGTGGAAACGATATTACACAGGGTAAGTAGCTGAAGTTTTCAACTATTAATTCATAGAAATAGTGCAATTTACTAAGTCACATTTTCGATTTAATATCTGACCGCTTCTTTGCTAGTCTTCTGATCTATATGACTATTAAACTGTCGATAATTCTAATTATTTTTACTTTTAAATTGATAGGAGACTTTCAATTGAATTAATCTCAATTTATGCTATACTGAAGCTGTAATTGCCCCAAAATTTACTTAATAGTTTTTCTTAATTTTATAGCGTTCCCGCTACACATACTGCATATAGCGGTGCGCTCTATAACAGCTGTTATTTTCTTACATACCAGTTACGTATGGTAGTTACATGCGTGCTACACTGTACACATATAACTTTTAAGAGCATAGGAATTCAAGGCTTAAGCAAGCATTTTATTACCTGTCCTAGAACACACTACCCTACTGTGAACAATTAGCGCTAGATCAGTCAACTATATACCATACTGTAACAAAACCCATAAATTATACTTAAGTCCTGTTGTATCGTTCTGAAAAGAGAATAACTACCTCAGAGCTATCATGTAACAGTTGATTGTTAGCTCTGAGCTGCTACTTCTAGGATTAACAATTGCGTAAAGCGCGTATAAAACATAGATATGTGTTAATGAACTCAAGAATAAACTTCAATTCTATAACTATACACTATGATATCATAAACAGGAATTAATGATAAAAATGTCGTTTCAGATAGGAGTTTAATCTGTTAGGATGAGGTTATTACCCTTCGCCTTAAGCATTTCTTCCCTGTTAATCATGTAGGTCGTTTTATTTATTAAACCCATTAGGTTACGTGTTTTCGTAGACCATTCATTCAGCTTCAGATCTGGCTCGCAAATCTTAATAAAATTTACAATGCCAGCAGGTCTGTCAATTCTGGCAAATATAGTTCTTGAAATGACCAGATTTGATATAAATGTTTCTGTTTCCTATCTCCAACATAACGATATTTTTAATAATCAAAAATAAGATTGGATAACTAAAAAATACATACCGCAACCGTTAAATGTAATAGTTCAGCTAGTCGACCCAGTTTGATTGAAGTATAGTAACTTGCTATCACGATTATATTCTGAAAGTTAGCAATGTATAAATATTAGGTCGTTGTAATTATCTTATCAATAAAATATTCCGAAGCTTGAATAAAATCGAAACTGACATGTTCCACTACTCTCTCTTTAAGACTCGCCCATCGCTTTCGACCATCATCTGTATCAGTCTCAAAGAGATTCGTGTTAGGCGATTCTTCGCAGCCTTTTAAAATTACTTCTTGAAACCTCGTTGTAATGGAATTCCAAAGTACGATTTCTTGACTAATGAAACAGTCCAGTAACTCTCTAGGTACAAGAAATTGTTTGGTTAGTACCAACGATATTAACATCGTATAGAATAGTACTGCATTGATGAAGACGTTCGAAAATTGTGACCAACAAGAATTAACATCTTACTTATATTTCAAAATCTTTTCTAGATTTTTATCTTGACTGATGCGAAGTATCATTTGCTTCTGGTCGTGACTCGAGGGAGTCAATATACCATATATTACCATCTTTTGTAAGGCCTAGCATTTGTCGTAATTATATATCAAAAAGACTGTTCGCAAAAGGTTCAGATCTAAATTTGCAATTACATCAGAAGTTCATCTCTGTTACCTCTTTCCACTTGTTTTCAGATTCCCTAATTATCGGCGTATTATAAATTTCTGAATAGTACTGGCATACTTTAATATAAGCGGAATCAGCTTCAGCAAGGCTTATACTCAATTCGTAAAACTTCAACTTTAAATCCTATGATTTATAAGAAAATTAAAAAAATCTAGTAGCCTTCAGTATGTCGCTAACGAAAGAAGAGAATGATGATTTACTTGTGCCTCGTCATTTGAGAAAAATTTAGGGCTGATTTTTTTGCTGATGATTTGCGCACGAATGTAATCCTTCCTGGCAAGGCAAAGACGCATCTGTTCTAAAATAAATTCCACTTTTTCACGCTTGTCCATAGAGCCGTATGTTTCAACTTGCAATTCCTGTAATAATCGAGCTGCTTCATCGATATTTCCTTCCTTTTCCTTCATCTCAGATAGTATTCTAGTCAGTCTTGCTCTTTCAACTTCAACGTAGATCTGCGTTTTAGTTAATCATCATAAAGATATAGTAGTTGCATCGAGGAATTCGGAACAATTCAAAATATAAATTACATCTCACCTTCCCATCCGTTACTTGTCTCAAAACCTCAATTAATTTTAATTTAATTGCCCCAGCGGGCGTTTGATCGACGAAGGTGAAGGCTTCTTGAACCATTTTAGCAACAGCCTATACGTAGACATTTAGATATAAGCATTAGCAGAAAAATAATTATATATGATATTCATCTAGAGGGCGTACCATCAAATCTTGATTGGTTTAAGTTTAACATGTTATTAATACCTGTTTCAACTGACTTCGTCTTTTGGTTAACAAGACGATGTTTTCGTTCAGCATATCCCATTCCGCTGCCTGGAAGCAAAGTCTAATTATAGAAACTAATATACGAGCTGTTGCAGGGGCATCACAAGCCTAGAGTTAGTTAATATCAGCAAAGATACATAATAAGTTGACAATTATCTCTGCTTAGAATCTAGATATTAGGCTAAGGAGGTGTTTGATTAGAAATATTCTAGCTTCGTTATGCAGTACTGTACTGTACACGTAGAGTACAGTACATCAAGTCCGGAATGGATTATATAATAATATACAGTATATACTGTATTGCTCTAACCATGAGTGCAAATCTGCAGTATTCTTATTTAGGACTAACTTTTCACTTATAAGAAAACCGAGTATGTATTTGCGAAAAATTTAAAATTGTAAGGGAATAATTGTCTGCTCTTACAGACTTTTTCATAAAAATTAAAAGTAACTTGAGAACTGATCTTTCTTTTGTTACAGTAAGCAGAGTGACCCGAAGATAATGTGGAAATTTTACACTTATAGTATTAAAAGATATGTAGAATCCTCACAGCACGGCACTGTGGTTAGGTGAAGTTAATTTCTTACCGTCCTAGCATGTTTTTCAATAACATACAGAATTTCTAAAGCTTCATTTAATTTACCTTCCTAAAGTTGAAGTAAAAAAATTTAAATCGTTTAGAATAAGAGATTATTGTACTGTATTATTGTAGTAGCACAATCTCTTAGATCTAATAACACTTACTTTAGCAAGTTTTTCACATTCTTGCAACTTTTCATTAGAATTTTGGGTAATATCCACCTCCATCATTAAGATTACAGAAATTTTTAATTTTCTATTCTATATCGCAGATAAGGTTTAATAAAATGTACGACTGCTACTCCACGCTTGAGTTTCGATTGCAATTTAGATTTCCACTAGTACAGTACAGTACTGTAGTTCGGAGTGATGTTTGACTCCGATAGTCCGATGTCTTTACTGTACTGCACAGTACTGCAGCCACCGTACGAAAAGTCGTTGTACTGTACTGTGTTAGTGCAGTACAGTACAGTACAGTACTGTAATTTTATTGATTCCTCCTTGTTTCGCATTACTGTACTACTTACTGTACTGTACAGTGTACAGTACACTAGTAGTAGTGCGATGATATCGAAACAGTACACTACACACTGTACAGTACAGTACACTACTGTACACTGTACTGTACAGTACATATTGTACAGTACAGTATAATACAGTACTGTACTGTACTGTACTACTGTACAGTACACTGTACAGTATGGTTAAACCTTCAGAATACAGTACTGTACACTGTGTACAGTATAGTAGCGTACTGTACAGTACAGTAGCAGTATCTGTCGAATGTTTCGAATTTACCACCACTGTTACCTCAGTACCGAAGGAGACGCGCCTTACTGGTATGCGAGACAATATTCGTATGTCGCTGCAAATCTATGGCTTTACGACAAGAAATAATCAGCAAGATTTCTCTGATACTTATAGGTACTCGAACTATACAATATGTCGTTGAATATGTCTTTTCTAGAATAATCTGATTAATATGTATGCATCGATCGTTCGTCGTTTACACTATGCCGATGTACTGTACGGTAATATTTTGATGTACAGTACAATAGTATTGAGCAGCTTTTTGTCATAAAGAAATAGTTACGTAAATGATTATATTATATTATATTAATTTAAATTGACTATCAATTAATTGAAATACATATGTACGCAGCTACGTCCGGTAAAATGATCGAAAAATTGGATCGTATATACATATTAAATATGATTTGTAAAGTAAACTTAACCTGTACGTAAATGTGACTAAACTTTTAGTCGCTGTGTAGACTGTAATAAGAATGCTTAGTGTGTATTATACTATGGTCTATGCTATACGTGTAAATTATTAGTCCTATTAGTTATAATTAGTTTTTATTAACTGTTACAGTTGAATTTCGAAATCTACGAGGCAGCGTGACAATATATAGTTTTAAATAATGTGTGCTCTCCTAGCCTACTTAATTATAAATTCTAATTTTATCACAACTTTACCTTTTATTCCTAAAATTATAATTATGTTATTATGGGGATCCCCTTATAATTTTTCTGTCATTTATAATTATTTAATCATTCCTTGTTGCTATTCTTCTGTAGTGTCCATATTTCAAGGCATGCTATCAGAGGCAACAGATAAAATTGGTGAGAATTCTGCTGTAGCCTCAGATACAAAGTCGTCTAGATTCTCAGCTACACTAAGTAGGACGGAAAATACATATGCCGCCTCGATCATCACGGTTACAACTTCATCTCTTAGGATCACCAGCAGTATTAGTAAGGCAGCTACTAAGAGTGTTCATGACGAAACCAGATCCATTACCGCCTCAGCAGTAACAGTCACCAGCTCTGTCAGTCAAAAGTCGCCAGGTTCTGGTGGTGATAGTGACGAAGAAAATGTATCGATGATGGTTTTTATATACGTGGTAATTTCAAATTATAATGTAAACTTATATTTGTTGCGTCTCAAGTGAGTTTATAGTTAGAACTTGCCAGTAGTATACATTAGAGATCCTAACCCTTATAGGGTCTCTAGTGTACATTATTTGTAATATCAGCATTACGCACACCCAGTAAACGCGTATGCAAAATAGTGAAAGTGTAGTCTTGTCTAACATTCAATGTATGTAGAAATTCTACTTTGCATTATTTCACGGTTTGATCAGCGTTGAAGTCAGTGATTCATTTTTTTACAAGAAATATAATCATTATGAAACGACTGACCTACAATATAATTCAGAGTGGATTTGACATGAACTGTAACTATCCATGAAACCATACTGACTGCTATGCTTTATTTCCTTTCCAATGACTTTCTAATATCTAAACTTAGTTTTTAGTTAAGTGGGCCTTGATTTAGAATGATTAACTACCGTAAATGGTAATTGCACACTAGTGCTTCATGAGTACATGTATGCGCGAAATCGCGGATCGGTTGCATAGAGCAGTGTAAGATTGAATGGATGATCTAGAGCATTCCTACTTAAATTTATAGCAAATTCTTTATTTGATCTGCTTAATTGTGATATATTTCTGTCTTGTGCGAAACAGCATACTGTAATTTGTGTGTTTATGCTAATATGCGTACGAAAGTAACTGTAAATGCAATACTGGATATTTAATTACAATGCCAATGAAGCCTATTGTGCGAGATGTTACAAAAATGGTATCAATGTACACATTATAAGGGGATCTAAACGATAAAAATATATCTAATTATGAAGATATGAGCAGGACTATAATAATTAATTGTTATTTGAGTTTAGCATTTGAGGAAAAAGAAATACAGGATGACTTAGGATATAGGATTACACAATACTGTAGTGTATTACATTTCAAAAGTGCTAAGAGTTAGAGTTGACCATTGGGACTGATAAATTATGATTTATTTATTTAATTACTAGAGTAGATGTAATGTAATAATCCATAAATTTCATAGATTATCGTCTTTATACTTTACTGTGCAATGTCATGGATTACAGAAAGTAGCGGTATCTAGTTGTCTATGGCAGTATACACAAATGTAGCATTTTCATCCTGTAATTTCCTACACTTATTGTTGTTATTGTGTTGTGTCTATTATTTTAGTTCATTGCAGCTTCCGTGTTTATACTAGCGTTTTTTGTATACCGTGCAGTCACTGGAAAAATGAAACGAAAGACAAAACGGTATCATTTTACATAAACTGTACTGTACTACTGTATTTACTGACATAAAATGTATTAACACTAGTTAACATATATGCAGATTCTTTAGAACTCGGAAATTATTTTAGACTCACGTAGCGTTACTGTCTAGTTTCCGTTAAAATTTCACGGCTTAAATCATACTGTTACAATAGTATAAGATTCACTAGATATTACTGTACTTTTACTCTGCTATTGCCAAGTAAGTACAAATTTATGCGCTATTATCTGCGGTTTGAGTCTGCTGCAGAAGTTCTCAGTAAATTTACGGTAATACATGCTATGTTGTATAGAATACTTCTCGTTTTCCAAGTAAGCGGGTTGTAGGCTAGTAAAGTACAAATAAAGTGTAAACTCGTGTAAAGGCACTAAATAAATATTATGTGCAATTCTCACAATATCCAGGCACTTCATAGTAATACGTACAGTACATTTAATGATTTTAATCATCCCTTATTAGTCAGTAAGAGTTTATTATGAGCTGCGACGTTGTATATTATACAGATGCTATCCTTTAATTTTTAGTAGCTCACGGTACAGTTATACCTTCATGCTTCTACTAAATCTACTATTTTTAGTTTTGTGATACATGGCTACAAATTGTTATTAAATTCTTAGTCTTAAATATTGTAATTTGTGTTGATAATATTCAAGTTATGGTGTTATTGCTGGCGTTGATATGGAGATGGCTCCGCTTGGACCGACGGATGACGATGACGACGATACTACAGTATTTGAAGTCAGGAGAAGCCGCAGACATTAAAGAGGCACTATTGCTGATGTGCAGCATTGTACAATACTATAATATTTTAGAATAAGATTGCATTATAACTTATTTACTAGTTGTTAGATTAAAATGATAAAAATAGCAAAGTTAGAATTAAGTGAATATTATACATTATGAATTTCGTTTCACTTTAGTGAAATTTGGAATTACGTTGCAGATACTTTTTTCTGCTAAATTACAGTATTGTACTCGTGCGTTAAAGTACAGAATAATATTGCAGTATGATCATCCGGGTACCGGCGGGTATCGATATATGTATTCTGCCGAATTGATGAGAATTGGTATATTGTGCTAAAATTTTCTTATTGCTTTATAGCTTATGCATACTTATTATATTATTCGAGTATTTATTAAATTAAATGATAATTTTCTTATCCAGAGTTATTACGCTACAAATCAATTGTATCGAACAACTCAGATCACCGAAGAGATACGCCAAATACTGCTTTTAAACAATTTAGTATCTACGAAAATATCCTAATATTCAACTTTGATTCGACATTGTCTCTTCAATGGCATTTACTGTCTTCGGGCACATGCTTGTTATTACTTCGTGATTATTTGGGGTAATCAAAAGGTTATCTTCAATTCGAATTCCTATACCACGGAACCTAATGCGGCAATAAGCATCAGTATCAGGAAGAGTTGTAATTATTTCTGAAAAGTGATGCCGATAGTATCATAAAGCCTAAATACAACTAGTACAAGTAATTGGAACACTTCTGATGTGCTAGTACTTGTACCGTACTGGAAATTAAGGTTAATTCAGCTATAATTTCTGATACACATTAGAATGTTAGTACGTACTATAGCTTGCACAGCCACCTTTATTAAACAAGCTCAACGAAGTGATACACTCAGAAAAAATACAGTTTCGTTATCACGTAACTGAAGCCAATAAAGTTTCGTTAGTACAATATGTCAACTTACTCTGTGTGAATGTAGTCGGCATCGTGGGGAATATATATACCAGGTTCAACAGTTATTACCATGTGTTCCTCAAGTTGCTTAGTGGTAGAAATTGACGTCGTGTCGTGCACGTCCATTCCAAGATAATGACCAACATGATGTGGGCATAAGTTGTTACAAATCTGCTTTGATTTGAAATAAATAGGAAGATATAGGAATTTCGTTTACATTTAGTGGATTTAGCTGATATTTAGTTATAAACACATATGATACAAAAGATTAACCAGCCGAATTTTCTCCCTATTTAAAGATGAATCTTTAAATATTCCTACGCCTATTCGAAGATTTTTATTGCTTTAGTTTCAAACATGGATGAGATACACTATGGACTACTAAAAGAAGTCTTTTTTTAGTAGTCCATGGATACACTATTATGTGAAATCCTATATTACTAGTAGTATGAACTTGCCGACAACATTGGATTCTAGTTGCTTTTGCATTATCACATATAAATCATTAAGTGATATACCGGGTTTACATGCCTATAATAAAAATTTTAACTATTAAATATATGTATTTATTATGGCCTGCATGAAGTGATACAAATACAGGCAACGCTGTATCAAATTACTGTTATCAGTTGCAGTATAGTAGAATGTACTGTTATATTATATCATTTAACTGATATAGTCTACTTTTATGCAAGTTTCTTGAACATCTAATATGGCTTCATAAAGCTGGCGCTGAGCTCTATTAAACCTTCCATTAATTGGCCATGTTCTACTTATATCGCTAGAATAACAGCGATAGTCACATCCGGCGTCTACGAGAACTAATTCGTCATCTCTAAAGTAGGAATAGAAGAAATTGTATATCTTAAGACCGATAATAATATAACAATCACTAATTATTAAATTTGAAATATTATCATGCGTTATTTACGTACCATAATCAATCATCATACAGTCTGCTGTATTATGATTATCGAACCTTAAAGACTATTTATTTAGCTTACATATGGTATTTTACACTTTGCCTAGCAAAGGTTCAAAATTATGTACTTGGATCAGTTGAAGGCTTTAAAATACTCATGTAAAGTACGCTTGCATTTCAGTAAAATGTTTTTGAGTACTAAGTATGCAGCAAGAGTACTTATTGTACATTACTTATCATTTAATTTTTTAGTTAGGATCAGTTATTTAACGAGCAAAAGAGATGAAATTCAAACTGAAATTGATTTTTTAGAAAGGCTTCAACAACACTTACTATTAATAATGCTGTAATAATAATAATATACAGTATATGTATATATGTATATATTATTTTCTATTAATGATACCGCATAATATCGAATATAAATGTCTACTGGATGTTATGAGAACTAACACAATCAGCTGCGAATTCTTAGTATAATGTAATATGTTCGCTCTTCTCCCTCCAGCAACAACAGGTGGATAAGCTAAAGCATCCGCTCCATTTTTACGGCATTCAAACTCGAAGTATGCATGTAAGAAGGCCTCACTAATGCCGGCATTGCTCGCTTTCATCGTCTATGGGCGAAGAATCGAATGTGTATGAAATAGTTGTAACATGCAACCCATCAAACATCACCGATAATTTACCTCGGCCATTGCTCTTGAAGCAGTAATTGCGGACAATTTCATAAGGTCTATTTCTGAGCTAGACTTTATTATCCTTAAGCTATGAATGAAACTGCTCAAATCAAAATATTCTAAATACAAGATTGATTTGCATTATATTTCTTTCAAAATTTATTAATAAGCCCATAACTACCTTCATCACTACAAGTTTAGTAACGTACCTCTGCGGAAGCTGTGTAACAGATTTTGAATCTTTGTGCTTAGATTATTTACCCAGAATGTACAGTTATGCCTGATACCATATCAACGTCAGTAAAAAAATAGAAAACAAGCTAATTACTACTAACATCCTTAAAACTTTACAAATATGGGTAGCATAACAATATTAGCTAACCATGCACTCAAGTACTCAGGTAATTTATTAATAGAGCATCCCTATGCAAGAAAGTGGCCAGTTAGTAAAGGAAATATAAATCGTTCCAGTCAATTTAAACTCATCCCTTAGATACCTCATCAATACCGAATAGCTCTGATACGTTTTCAACTCCACATCGTGGACCATCCCATAATTCTCTACAATGATTGCAGTAGAAATATGAATCTCATAGACAGAACTAGAACCAACATTATCGTCTAAATAGTTATTAGAAATTCTAGTCATATTAATACTTACTGCTGAGGGTTTTTCTCGCGAACAAATAAGATGCTTTTGTAACATGTAAGATCAGTAGATTCTACGTATATCAATGCAAAAGTGACCAACGAATTATTAGGCGTAAGTAAACTGGCAATCTATAATAATGTTTTAACCTAACACTAAGACTGCGTCTGGCTCTTGGAAACCGGTCAAGTATAAAAAATCTGAATTTTGCCTATAGGGATAACTGCAATTCCGGAAAGAATACCCATTAGTTTTCATATGTTTAAAATGAACTGCAACTTAATTAGCAGTAAAATAATGCGTGACCGTGCATACTCTCCCAAGTAATATGACAGTATAGTTTATTGCGGTCAGTTATTAAGGTGTAGGTATATTATACGGAAGGTCTCAATTATACTAACGGGACATCAGGGGCCATATAATAAACTGGATTCGCAGCGATAACTGCAACATACTTTTTGGATCCAATATCTTTAGTTGCATTCGCTACAGATCTGTATGTATGTATAATAAATCTTTTAAGTTGTTTGTTTTATCAATTTCTTTTAACATTTATTCTTGATTGAAAGATTACACATGATTTTCTGATAGCTCCACAATAAGATAAACTTGGCATAATACAGGCTATTTAATTTAAACTCTGTATAGTATGGTACGTACAACATGAGCTTATTCCGTCGAAGACGATATTCTGATGTTAAGATTTCGGGTGTAGATGCAACTTCGTATAGAACAATACAAATCAAAGAAGAAAATACTCGTACTAATGCATGCATACGCGTAAATCATTACAATTAATTAAGATTATGAACTTTTAAGACTCAAATATCACGATATTAGCATCAAAGAACCTTCATTTTTAGGTATCATATCAGGATAAGTCCAGCTATTCGTTTGGTCAGCTTCGATAGCTTTATACTTTCTTAGCATTAAATTCGTCCTTGTTGTAGACCTGTTCTTTAGCAGATGCAAGATCTGCAAAGGTCTTGCTGGATATATCCGTACGTATATCCAGTAGGTACGGTACGTATATGCGTACAATTATTATGATTATAACGAAATCAGAGCTACAGTAACAGTTTTATCTTAATTGACATTAATCACAATTTAGCATATGCAGTATTTATACAAATAACTACATTATAATACTGTACGTACTTTAATAATAACGAACTTACTTTGTAAAATGCTAGAAATGTGCTTCCTTTGATAGACAGCCATCGTACGTCAGATTTAGAGTTATTTATTTAATTTAATACTTTTCCCTTTAATTTAATTCTACGCGTATATGATCTATTAAGCCTATATCAACCACTAACAAGTACAGTACATTACTGTACTGTACTGTAGCTGGGGTGGACTAACTGTACCGTACAGTACAGTACAGTACTGTACACTGGACTACTGGAGTACTGTTATTACGATCTTTTCACAAGGTACAGTACTGTACTGTACTGTACTGTACATTGTACTGTACAGTACAATATGTACATGTGTACAGTACATCTGTACTGTACATCTGTACTGTAGGGGCTAAAATTTTTTGCACCAGCATGTGGTGAATCGCTGCTGATAATATAACATTGTACAGTATAGTACAATACTGTACTGGATACAGTATTTACAGGACTTACAGTACGGTACAGTACAGTACAGTACAGTACTGCCAGGCTGAAGTAGTAACGCCGATAATGCAACATTGCACTGTGCAGTACTGTACTGGATATTTACTGGACTTACTGTACTGCCAGGCTGAAGTAGTAACATAACGTAACATCTGATTTGAATTGAACCCATGCCACAGTGTTTGATTTAGTGTAGCACTTTTATTCAATTAAGCCTCATAAGATTACGGACATAGTGGTAATTTATGGCGTCAATCAGTACACGTTCACATCGCTTATTTCATTTTCTAAGTCGAACTAGTAGCATTAAATTATATAGCTGTATGAGTATTAGAAGTCTGTCTCAATATAGAACGAAATTAACTAACACGAGTACCAACCCGGAGGATCAAAGTAGCAAGAAGGACTCCGCAGAAGCAGACGCCAACATTGCTCAGATTCAAGAAGAACTGCGAGAAACTCGCGTAAGATTCGTTCATCTGTATTCGATAAATTTCGCAGTTACGATTGCAAGTGAATGTCACTTCTGAGGTATTATATCTATATATTGTGTCTATTTGAACTTAGGATAAATACCTACGCACCTTAGCAGAAATTGAAAATATGCGGGAAAGAACAGTCAGGCAAATTAATGATGCCAAGATGTATGCCATCCAAAATTTTTCTAAAGACATCATCGCGGTAGCAGATATCTTAGAAAAAGCAACTGAGAGTGTTCCTCAGCAAGAAATTGCCTCTGCTGCTGCTAATCAGCATTTCAAATCTTTGTATGAAGGCCTCAAGCTAACTGAATCTCAACTTCAAAAAGTTTTCTCTGCTCATGGATTAAGAAAAATATATCCAATAAATGAGAAATTTGACCCTAATTTTCATGAAGCTTTGTTTCAAGTGGAGAACGGAGAAAAACCCGATGGAAGTATCGCACAAGTCTCTAAGGCTGGATATTTATTGCATGGCAGAACTTTAAGGCCAGCTATGGTAGGTGTCACCAAAGCGCCCTGACAATTTTATATGTTATTAGGATCATTACCTGTATATGGCTAATATCAGATACTGTTTAAAGGTCCACCCTATGTCAATACCATCTATATTCGATACTACTTAAAACTAGAGCTCAAATGATTTTGGTCTAAAACCAGAATTGCGATTACAAATTACTACATTGTGTTACTGTAATTTTGCGCAATTTATTTTGATGCTACAGTGTATTCTCTGATAAATATATTAGTTAATCTACATACAGTATACGGGTACGCCAAAAGATAATGTAGTGCTTAATTGTTACAATTCATACAGAATATTGATATTTTGAAAGGATAGAAGCAAACAAAATTTAAATAAAATAAAATGAATCTATGGCCCTTTTGATTGGCAAAAAGATATTGAACCTGATTTATTTGATGTTGTTGACCTAAAAATTTTGTCTCCAATATTGCCTTTATGGTATTCATTTACATTATTAAGACGAGTTTCGGTCATTAATATTCTGATACTGTGGTATAAGCGTATATTTCCTGTAGATCGTACTACTTAATTTGAATGTATAGAGGCTGGAGCGACCTAGTCTTCTTATAGCCATCTAACCCAGAATTTATGGTCCAGTGTGATTAATCATCTTTTGATGTTCTGAAAGGATCACGTTATTTCCGTATCAGATAAGAGTAAAATTGGCATATTATAGGCCCGGTTTGTACTAACAACTTTTAAACCTTAATCACTAAAGCACAAAGAGTATTAATGTAACAGAAAGTACGGTGCTAAAAGTTAGCTATAATTTTAAGTAGCAAATCCAGCGAAATTGAAAGAATAAAGTATTCAGAATTTATTGTAGCTTTATTACTCATTCAGATCGCAGGTTTGTTTTTCGCTGTATTTTAATAGTACAATAACGAACACAGGTCTGGTACGACTGCACGATTGCAGCGTTAATAAAGTTACTGCAAACTGAATCTTTTATAATCCCTCATTTCCTAGGTAATATAGCCATCGGCTCAAGTCAGAGCAATAATTAATAAGGAATCAAATAAGAAACGTTGAAACCGTCATGATCTATGATTTGATTATATATATTAATTATATTAATTATTAAACCAGCTCATTTATATTGATAATTAACATTAACACGCTATGATTCTATTTCGTTCCTTATGAGATCTAAGAACAAGGAGTCTTGCTTCTGCATCTTATTTTTAATCACTTCGTAACGATGCTTCTTCTCCTGCAACACAAAATCAGTTTGAGGAGATAGTTTCTATGAGATTGAATCAAAGAATTTATTGTTCTAACAAGCATAAATCAATTGGTATATCTATACACCTTAATATCGCTTAACTGTGCCATAACACTCCTATCAGCATTCTGATTACTATCAGAATCGATCTATAATTATTTTTCACAAAATTAGTAGCAGTTCATAAAAATATTTTGTAATATAAACTAGTTAATTAACATATTAACATGTGTACTACAGTATATTTAAGAGAGATACAATGAGGAACTGGGATAGACTTTTGTCATTATGTATTAGTGTTCAAATCCTTACATTACTATCCATGTCACTAATCCAACCGTCTCCCTGCATTGCAGACCTAGGTTCACTAAGTTTACAACATAAATGACATTACTTTAGAACATCTTAAAATTGCTTGAAATATACAATTACGACCGTTTCTTATAGTAAATATACAGTTTTTTCGCTACATTTTATCTTTAAGTATTAGTAAAGCATGTGATACGGTATACTAACGATGGACTATGCAATAGAAATACGGCGCTATCTGCACGATTTAATTCCTTTGCTAAATAAAATAAATACAGCAATATGCGATTTATTAGTAAATTGCATGGTAATATTACAATAATCATGAACTTTTATGGATAAAAACTGTTTACCATATAAACGTAGAAGCTTGGCTATTTCAAATTGTTGAGAAACCTTTATAGTGGATATAGTACGTGAAGGACGATATATTTACATGCTATTATTAGGTAATATTATTACAGAACTACACATAGTTTACTGACTAACAGACAGGTTTAATTTTTCCAATACGAACCTCCGCTAAGTCTAAGGGGCTGCGGCCTGAAGAATCAATTGCATTGACGTTAGCCTTATTCGCAATGAGCCATCGACAGCATTCTATCTTTCCACTAAACGAGGAGAGTTCAAAATAACAATTGTAGTGATATTATGATGATTGAAAATATTTTACGAAAAGTAATTTCATTAATACGAACTGTGCTGCTGCCAAATGTAATGGACTTTGTTGATCGATAGTTGACGATTCAATTGAGCATCCTAATGCATCACAGAGCTATAGTAATAGTGTAAGGTAACACCAAAATGAGAAGTGACATTACCTGAAACCCAAATTTATGTCTAGCTACTACTACTGCTATATAAAATTAGCTACATTTTACCTGAAGAATATGAACATGACCATAAATTACAGCTAAATGGATGCATGTAAAACCGGTAGAATTCTCTTGCGTTATATCAGCACCATTTACGGCTAACCACTATGAGACCAAACGTATGTTTAAATCCCAGAATTATTATGAGTACACGATATTATAATTAAATCTAATATTTCTTACTTTAACGCAATTAGTTTGCCCATACTTTACAGCTAGGTGTAAAGGGATCCATCCCTCTGCGTCTGCATCACTGTTGAGGAGTCCATGGAATAAATTAGTTGAAAGCTACTTATCTATATAATAATTTTCAAAGATCTTACTAAAGTGCGCTTGGGTTGCCTCGCAGTAGCTTCTTCAGTAGCGGTAAATTTCCGTTCTTGATAGCAGAATGAACGGAACGGTCTACGTTAAGATCGAATATACGTTTCTGTTTCAGCCATTACATATTATGTAGATCAAAAAACAACATACACGCCCAGGTTTACACTACCGTTATCGTTTTCGAATCCGTTTCTCTCCCCCACAGAAGGCAGTACCTAAAGTATATATTAGTAACTGATTTAAGAATTAATGACATCGTGAATATATTGAGCCGATTGTCCTCAATATTCTCTCTGATTAAGAATAGTAAACGAATGCAATGTAATAACCTGATCATCTGATAATTCAGTATCTCCTATGGTGGGAACTTCCAATGCCGAATTTTCACTGTTGTCAGTAAAATCTGTAAAGGACGGAGTCATTAGTAGCAGGAATGACGGTATCGGTAGAGTACTACTTTAATCGCATGCCTCGATATTCAGAATGTTCCTCTGATTTGCGATATTCATTTTTTGTTTCGGTGTCGTATGCGTAATCTCTCATATCAGGAAACTGATCTGTGTCATCTATATCGCTGCCGGTATCTGTGCCATGTAAGGAAGTCCTCCTTGAATCGTCAGAGATCTTTGAGGATTGGTCACTGCTGTAACTGCGTACTACGCTTGGAGAATTAGTGGTATCACCGCTTTTTTCACCTAATGTAATTATATTCGTATTATCTGGAGTAAGTTCATAGTTTCATTAATTAGTAGATTTGCTAATAAAAGTAGTATCTCAAGAATATAGCATATACAGTATACAAAAGAAATTGTACTACTTTCGGTGATTCGGAATAACTTCAATCCTATGCCATTGCTAGTACGCTTTAAGTAACTATCAAAAGTAATTTCGAAAATTAATATCAGAGACGTGAGAAGTAACAGCAAAGGTCTTATAGCTGACCTCTGGCAGTTAAATGTGATCCCTGGTGCGTTTTCATTTAATGATTTTACGATAACTCTGTCTATGTAGCAATCTTTTAGTTCAGAATCTTCACTTAGCCCAATTGCAAGAGCCTTTACAGTTCCAATGGGATCAAAAGAATCGATTTTATAGATGTGTACCTTATATATAGGAAATTAAAAAAAATTAAAATCGCAAAAACACCTTCAGCAGATTATTAAAACAAAAATTAATATGACCGTGATTTGACATCGATTTCGTTCTAGGAGACAGAAAACTGAACCTAGGCTTATCAATGTATTTTATACTTGCCATAATTTTTTCGTTAACTGGCATTTGTTGTAATGGGCAGAATAATGTACATTCTCCAGTTGAACCGTCCCGGCCATATAAGTTAACCGTCAGTAGGGGAAGAACGTCTCTATTTTCAATTTGTATATACAGTTCGTACCTAAATACTAACGACATAAGAACAATGCTTTCACTTAACATGGCCAAAAACTTAAAGAGACTGAGGTTATAAGTTACCCTTCTTAATTAAAATCTTCTCGGCTTGCCATGAACTTTTCGATCTTTGAACATCAAAATAATTCTTTTTGGGGGCGTCTGGTAGCAAGTCCATACTAAAGTAAATAGAAAAATAATGTTAAAATACTTTTATAATTAGGAATCATGATGTATCAAATATCGACTAACGGTTGCAAAGTCTCAAAGGATGAAACTAAGGCTTTCGTTTTCCCGTTCTTAAAATATAATATATTGATTCAATATACATGTTGATATTCCTGTTGACGCATAAATCAAACATTTAATAAAACGTTTAATTAAATACTGAAACCTTCAAATGACTTTGTTGCGTGCTTATAGGTTGATCCTTAGACTTCAATTTGTTATTGCTATTCGAAGAGAGCTTCTGCTTTCTAGGTGATGGATGCTTTCTTATCTCACTTGTATGGCTGTGGTTATGACACCGCTGCTTCTATCATAAGCAAAACACACCCAATATGAGTTTAATCATTCCACCAAGTTCCTATTTGAGAGAATTCTACTCTGCTAGTAGTAAACAATTGCATTAACTGCTAACCTTATACTCTATATAATGTTTTTCATTATGTCCAGATAAGGTTGGGCCTTTAGCTTTATATCCTAATGTTATATTTTCCTTGAACAATTTATAAATTAACAATTATAGTAGTTTGAGTACAGATTCCATGACTTATGAGTATAAGTAATTTGTCACAACAGCTACTTACTAGAGCGATAATCAAATTCGATGCTGCCGCTGTCAATCGTTCTTTCTCTAAGTTACTAATATTTGGCATCGGAGATCTTCGCGATAGTTTGATATGATCATTAAATAGTGGGCAATTCCTGAAAAATAGTAGTCCGAATAACTATATTTACGTATCGCAAATGCATTTAAGCGCTTACGTATTTCATAACATTAACTATTAATCTTTAAAAATTTCTACTTTCGTAAAATCGTCTACGGCTTGATAGTTTAGTACATGTAGGCTGATATAGCGAGGACTGAATGAATTCAAAAATATTCAATTTCTTACGATTTTCGGTTAGTTTTCCTTCCTGAGGTGTTTAAAGAAGTATTTAAATCCCGGTGATAGATTAAATATTTATTGAGAGCGAGGTTTTCCTCAGACTTTGATGGCTGAAAGATACGGAATTATTACATTTTGTTCTATGTTGAGTTTATATATAAGTGCAGCCGTAGAGTATCATATTTATATAGTATAACCGTCTATTCAATAAGTTAATTTTTATATGAAATCCAAGTCTTACTGGTTGCCGTCTTGAAGTCATCCATTTTTGAAGGTCTAGTTTTATAGATTCCGCCCGTCTATTTCTTTGCGTCTTATATAGAATTAATTAGATTGGTTTAAAAATACTTTATTCTGTATAGTATTAGCTTGAAAAGCATTTATATAAACCTTATTGTAATGAAGATAAGCATTCGAGGGGCATAACCGATAGTCCTGTCCGATTCCAAACTTAACAGCATCGCGCTAGTTATAGCGAATGTAAATCAGTCAAGTAATAACTACTAATTCGGGAAAAATATAAGAATTTTTAGAGATTCAATAAATTTGCCTACTGCTTTGACTGGTGTTGATTTTGGAATATTAGATGGTGACAATTCAAATGCTTCTTCCCTCCTTTCGACGTCGATATATTGCTGACTAGAATATTTATAAGATCAGTAATAGCGATCAGTGGATTTTTTTCTATATATAATTAATCGCTGTAGTACACTGATAGTCATAATTACGAAAACTCTAAGAAAGTTTCTTTCTTGTAGACCATATCTTAGTTATTTGGTTGGCATATTTGTAATATGCTTCACAACGCAGAATATAAGAATCGAACTGTATGTCTGATTTCGCAAATTTGCAGTTTATTATAAAAATAACCTACTGTATATCTGTAAAATAGGATATAAAGATCCTATCAGCACGCAACAAATAAGTTTTGTTATCCGTACTGCCCATTAATAGTGGTTTTAATTAATCAGTAAAATTATAGCTAGGACTGCATACTTTAAATATGCCAATAAGTAATTAGACGAAAGGACCGTAAATACTATGTTTGGTATCAGTCATCTCATATTGTAGAAGTATCGTAATGTACATTGTGCAAACGACCGAATTTAATAGTGACTACTCTGTCTTTGAATTCCATCTTCAAAACTTTGCTGTGTTATTAAAGAAGAGAAAAGATCATTTTAAAATAACGTTAATACTTGTACTTACAGTTTTTGACCGACTGTTTTCATAATTGAGCGAGAGCTCATGTTACTGTCCTTATTAGGAACTAGCAAATAATAAAAAGATGTGACATCGGTTTAATTCTTAATCAAATACAAAATGCGGGAACTATTTGTAGGATAGCCAACTTTCCCACACCCAGCTGTACGTGCTACTATTCTATAAGATTTATACTGCTTAATTTCAATATACCCTCTTACCTTATCCGTAGATAAATGTAACATGTAAAATTGTTTTAATTGAGAGAGTTTCTAATCATGACTATACATTCTCTATAAAATTTTAACCTAATTAGTATACAGTATATGTTGGTTCTTCATACCATAGCAGTATTGTTGCTTGAATATGATATTGTAAGACTACTGACTGTAGTTAAATTAAAGATTCACTCATGAGAACAAGTAAATTTCTGTTGAATAGTTTACTGCATTATTTAGCTTGCTGTAAGTCCGTATTACTTCTTTTATTTACCTGTGTAAGAGTTAATGCTTGACATTGACATTTACAGCCAGTTAAAGTTACTGCAGTTTCTGCGAAGGTAAAAATTATTTCACTGCCAATCTTGAATGGCATGCACTATGGAAGTATACGTATGCGTATACGGTAATGCATTTGAAAAAGATTCGATTCTTCAGATTTCTGAAGGTTGTTTATTTACATGTAGTAAATTACAGTAAGTTATACACTGTACTCAGAGACAGTGCATTGCACTATGTAATATGCAGTATTCAGTATAGCATCCAGTATACCACAGTAGCTGACAAGACTAGGTGCACTCATATTGAAGTAATGCTCTAACGGTTTCCATGGCATCCGTTACTTTTATTATCATGATAAAGGGTTTACAAGTTCATAGTTCACATTCTTTACTCTTCCTATATTCTTTTCGATACTTTCGTATATGTAGTGAACAACGTTATTAGAATCTACATATACGCGTACGTAATGAATAAGTGGTGCTTCCAATCATATTTAGATGCAGAACTGCAACCGAATATGGTATTATGTGGATATGTATTTAGAGATGGCATGTATAAGACGTGTATCCTTCATACAGTTGGATTTGGAGACAAATAGCTTGATGCTTAAATAGTTCAATAAGGTTGTGTTAAACATAATAGTATATAGTAACGCATTTGTGGCATCACATATTGAGCTTACGCATTCCTTTGAAAGGTTGTTTCGATGATAAAGCTCTACCTCGGACTGTCCAGCCATTTGCACTTAAAATTGTAATGATTTATATTGTTTAATCATTTAATGTAAGCTTTGGCTTTGTATAGCAAGTTAGGTGGTAATGGATACTGTAAAAATGTGCAGTTTAATACACATTTTGGTATGAAACTAGCTTAACTTCCTATCACTTCACTGACGAAGGTACTGTAGTATCCACTACGTTAAATTTTTCAATTTATTCGCTATAATAATTTATTTGGATCTAGCCTGATACTAGATCCTCTTCGATTAATACTGTACGACATGATACTATATTTCGGAGGAATTTTTGGCCATTTGTACTGTTTAAATTGCCTCTAAGCTAAACAATTTTCAAAAACATTGTTTCGGATCAAATATTTCCATGTAAATCAATGTTGATTATATATACGTTACTGGTAATGTTAGGATTATATATGTATATGTGTAATTATGTTATAAATCTAAGTTTTGAAATTGGTTAGATTATTCCGCTTATCTCCATTAATATTCCTAAAATCATAAAGCAGGCCATTAAATATTTTTGAAATTCAATCTTTTCTCAAACTGAAGTAATTGGCTACTGGACTATAAACAGAAGTATACTGCCGTGCAGTACATTCAATCGCAGTTGTATTCGGACATCAAATCATCACTCTGACTGATTAACATGCGATAGATGTACATTATAATGCAATTAGTAATTCATAGTTCTTTATATTCTTTATAGAATCATGTGAACATATGAACTACAAGTTTGCTTAAGATTATTATGTTTCAGTAATTTCGTAAAATGAAGCTTTACGATTTGTAAGTCTATTGTGTACTGTAAGCTACCGCAGTATGAGTTAGATCGATAGTTAAAGATCAGTTTGTATATTTAAAGCCTTATCTTATCTCTAAGAATTGGGGGTCTTTTTATAGTGTCTAGCGTACGGAATACAGTGTAATGCGCTTTAAATTTTGGTAGTTTACTGTAGGACGATAAGTACCATAAGTACTACGAAGCATGTTGGGTAGTAAATCCTAACTCCTGCCTTTATGTTTCAAGCATTACTATCATGAACAACTAACTTGTAATATATTTTGATAGTTATACTGTAATGATGCAGCGAAGAACGAAATAGTTTCTACGAAGCGATCATTATTGCGATCGAGAATTAGAACGCACATAGGATTTAACAGTCAACTATGTTATCTTGTTACGGTTATCGGTAAGAAAAATTGCTCATCGCTCCTGCTGCAGAGGAGTCATGTCTACCAGTATACTGTGTGTTCCGTGTTAAGATTACGAACCTCTAAATACTCGTTAGCCTAAAGGAAAGTGTACATGTTTTACATAACAGTTATAAGATCATTTTCAGTATACAGAACCCATCTATACAAGCAATTACTATGGATTGCGAGATTTTAACCTGATAAATTTATAACTTACAAATACAGTCTCAGAATACTAGACTAATGCAAACTCCAAGTTTTGCAGTTTATGGCTCGAACTTTGAAACAGTTATCTTCTGGAAGTATGATTTAACGCTATCACTAAATATTTACATCGTTAGATAACTAGATTAATTACTACGTACAGTACAGAAACTGGTACCAGGGCTTGTAAGAGAAATTCTCTTAGATTTAGATTGTCTTGAAAGTCCGTGGCTAGAAATGTACGTGTACTGTACTGTATTAAGGAAACGTCTTATAACATTCTTATTGGGCTGCTATTCCACGATGCGCCGTGCTATTGACTTTGGCTCCGTCAGTAAAGCTTATACATAGTGTACATGCACTTACTGCGATTAAACATACTGTACATACAGTATGTTTATTTTATTGGTGTAAATTAGTTTATTACCAATTTTACTGTACTTTATGATACAGCAATATAAAAGCACTCACAAACGAAATATGTACGTTAACACAATGAGTAACGAGCTAAATACAGGATGATTTTACCTTGGCTAATGCATAAAATAAAGCATATTGCTATCATAGTCTTTGAGGCCTTTTCGACAAAATACTGATTCAAGAGAAGCAAAAATCCTTATATCTACAGCAGCTAGCTAAATATCTGCGTTTGAACTACTTTACAACTTCGTCAGCTTTTGATTCATAATATCTGCTTTCTCTCCCAAGATCCATACAAATCAGAAGTTGAAAACGTAATGTAGTTACGTCAAAATTCTCTATTCCGCACTAGCGCAAAGGGCTTTACTTTCTCGCTTCAGTGGAGATTGCTTGAGTTGTAATATAATTGAACGCATTCGAGATGTATCCTTCGTGCATTTATAGCTTTTACTAGTAAAATCACATAAATTTGCGACTTTCTCCCATTCGTGGCCAGGTACAATGCTATCACGCTCATTCACAAATGCTTCTTCCGCTTCCCTAATTTAAAGAATCAATTAATACCTTCTATTATTATAATTCATGAATAAATAATGCAGAGCCTTATTGTTAAGCGATGGAAAGCAGATACAACAGCTGTAAGCTATCTACCTATTAGATTTCTTAATTTTGTCATTCTGATCATTTTGTCGCGAATACCATTCTTCAACTTCTTCTTTTGCTTTATCTTTCCACTCTTGCTGTTCAGTGCGAGCACTCTCATCCTTTTCTTCAATTCTCTTAGCATATTCTTCCCGCCATTTTCTAGGTTCAACAATGATAATTTAGTACATGCTAGAAAGTATATGCCTCAAGAATAACATTTTTTATAAGGTATTTTAAATATATTCAATGCTTAAATCCTGCAATTCAGAACCAGAATTGAAGAAGTTATCAACTGAAATATTATTATAGCATTTCGATGCTCAACCTTTGCATAATACATATATTAATAAAAGGCTATGAGCTGAAATGCTGATAAGGACAATATGGTTATCAATTATGAATTTAGCAAATAGGTCTGATCTGGTGGTTACATTACCTTATTGACTCTGGTTCTGCTGCTATGACATCAGCTTCAGCAACATCAGCATAAGGGTCTACAGTCTACAGTTTATAAAATAAAATTTTTACCAATATCACAAATGATGTACTGATATAATCAGGAAAGATACCTTTAGTAGAAGCGTTTTAAAGGTATTTAGTTGCCCAATATAAAATGTAGCACATATGTAGATAAATACTAGCACTATACAGTACAGTACATTTAAATCAAAAATTGCAGTATTGCTTTACAGCATGGACATTCAAAGTATAAAGTCCTGTGAGTCATTTTAGTCTAAGTGTCTTACAGCTAAAATCGAAAGCTATGCCACATTAGGAACACTCGATATAGTTATATGTTCCGTTTTCCATCAAAGCGAGAAAGTAGTGTAAAATGACCGGATTAATATTCGTTTACGGTAATTTAGTGCCACGCCCAATTACGGCGTTTTTATGAGGAAATACGAAATTTTTTTAAAAGTCGTTATGTAGATCATTCAGTAAATATACAGTACAATCATGCATGAAAAATTTTATCAAGCTGAGCTTACAAATTAATAGGACGGTTTGTGCTGTTATTTCGTAATTACTATCATATTTCGCTAACTAGATGAAGAGAGACATTTTTCTCAGTTGTACAGAGTTCTAACGAAGTTAAGAGGTGAACACTGAGGTCTAAACACTGTGTACTGTACTGATTGTAAAGTGTATCGTTTTGATCTTACGGCTAGGGCTTATATAAGATTTTAAATGGAGAGGCCCATAATTATGCAAGGTTCAATGCAATGCTTTGAATCTGGATCTAGAGGCAAAAATCATTTAATATTGTAGGAGTCGGATATCCATGTTGATCCGATCAGCAATATCGGCATTAAAACACTGTATATTCAGGAGTTCTGCTAAGCGCTACACGTATAGCAGTAAAAACCGGGTTCTTCGAATATTAATATTAATTAATACTTGATGCTATCAATATTCACAGAGACAAATTTCTACTACAATTTGTACAGCGTAGACAGAGATAGGACTTCCTAAGGGGAAAACTTTGAAGTGATGTTACTTTGTACTTCAGAATCTGATTTACAGCAATTCATTACAGTTAAAGCCATAGATACTTTGCAAAGTATCTAGAATTACAGTTCGCCAGAGCTCACGAGGGACTCAAATCGGTATGATTCTCAGTGCACAGTATTATACTGTAGATGCTCATCGGAAAAAAATTTTTTTCGGAAGTTTGTAAGTATGGTCATTGACTATATTAATAGAATAGACTTTCTTACTAGTTTAAAGAAGTACAGAGCACTCAGTGACTAAAATCACCGCATTAATTTCAGTTCCGATCTTCCTGGCAAATCATTTCGGTAAAATACTATATTTTATGGAGGTCTTCATGTACTGTACTCAGCATAGCACAGTAACTACTACGTCGATCTTTAACTTAAATACTGTACTCTAAAAGGATTGACAAGTTAGGATAAATTAGGAGAATATCAGAGCTTAGTCTAAGAGTAGCATGATACATGATACATGCTTTTAACAAACATTTTTGTATTCGGACTAGGTGGTGGTACAATACGAAAAAGAAAACACTTTACTGACTTTAGGTGAGTCTGATGGTCCTGTTTCGATTGTCGATGTTACTTCAGCTGATCCATTTAAAAGATTCGTTTCAGGATTCTACAGGGTCATTATTAGTTGTTAAAGTAAAAAGGAATTTATTAGTATTGCTTTTAATAGCGCATTATTTATACATGTTATATACGTATATACAGAAGGTATGTTCAGAATTTGTCACGTCTGTAGCTACAAAATACTCGTATGTATTGACTGTTACTTGAGTTTAGGTATTGAACAAATACGTCTTAGTATAATGGCCGTCGCTGAATTAATTCCAGTTTGCAATGCAGCATTAACTTAAGATTAAATTAGTGAATAGGTTCACTAGCCTGATTAAAACTATCGACACCCAGTTCTGCTAGTTCTCCTTCTTCACGTGCCAGAAATTCTGCCGCAGGATCGGCTTGAGTATCATCAGATGGTGCAGGATTGAATTCGTCCGTAGTAATCAAGTCCGCCATTGCTAGATTCTGAGTTCGCGATTCTACGAAGCAAAATCGAAGGGACAGAGAGAGAGAGCTACAGTATACTGTGCGTGCGCGATGCAGTCCAGAAGCTAATGCTCATGCTCAAAGATTAGTTGAATGCTCAGGCCCTGTACTGTACGTTTCGTAGTACTGTACAGTAGTACCATACTGTACAGTACAGTACACTTACAGTACTGTACTGTATAGTACAGTACCTCCTCGATTTTTCGAAACTTTTATGGTCTTGTCGGTGCTTCGGCGGGCTTTACGCAACATTTTAGACAGCACGTTTGTGTACAGTACGGTACTGTATACTGTAGAGTACAGTACTTACAGTGTACTGTACTGTACAGTACTGTAGCACTATAGTCGATCCTTTCGCTTGACGTACAGTACAGTACTGTACAGTACAATTACATTATACTGTAGTACTGTACTGTACATGACTTACTGTACTGTACAGTACTTTACTGTGCCTTTTATGCTCGCTACTCAACTCTACTCGCCACTGCTACTCACTTTGTTGGTTGCAAGTTCCTGCTTTCTTGCATGTCGTAATAACAAGGACTGCTGCCAATAATGTCGTCAAACCCTGAAATTTTGACGAATTCGATTCGTAATGGTGTAAATAGTGAAGAGACTGCAAACTCACTAGCAGATGCTAACACTGCATCAGCAAGGGAGGAAGAAATCGATACTAGCAATATTCACGTTTCTGAAGGTACTGTAGGACCTTGCTCGTTAACATAACTTGTTTAGCGGCATTATTAGTAATATTAATTAGTAATACTGTATGTACTACTACTATTTACTGTACAAGTGTACAGTACATACAATGAACACGAGGGTACAGCACTGTAATACGCGTAATATTACACTGTGTTACACTACAGCGAGATGTGATGCTATTTCAATTTTATGAAGCTTTTTATAACGTTAAGACAAACTTTCATAATTTAATAACTAATGCCTGCTTAGGCAAGACTTTTCAATTTAAACACGGAAAGGATGACCGCCAAACTGAACTTTTGGCTGAGTTCGAGCGTCGTAAAAAGGTCTGCAGTCATACTCAGTTTTGAAGCAATTTGTGTAATTTTTATTCACTGAGATCACTAAGTTTTTTAGTATGATGAAAGCAATGGCATTTTTTGCTTATACTAGTATATACAGTAAGCAACGAAATTCAATCAGTAATAGATTCAGAATGAGTGATATTTACTAAGCCTTTTGCAATTTACGCGTACTTTCACGAAAGTGTACATATTTAAATATGCAGTAAAGACGTAATATATAAATTCAACTTAATATAGCGTAGCAATTTTATAATTTAGGTCCGATCCGTGGTCGTTCCTACTGACGATTCCGAAGTAAAAGCGCGGCTACGCGAACTTGGGGAGCCTATCTGTGAGATACCTTTTCGCGAAATCGTTTTCTTGTATTATGTAATGTAGTACTACGCAAATTTATATATAAAATGGTGACTGCATTGCCTACAGGTCTGTTTGGCGAAGGACCATCTGAAAGGCGAAATAGATTGCGTGAAATTTATGCGCAACAGGGTAACTTCGTTACGTAATGGTTCATTTTAGGATTAAGATTCTTTCACAGTATAGGTAAGATACCTAAACTTTAAATTCGTAGATACCGTCGTGGATCGTGTTATACAGGAACCTGCGAATGAATCACAGAGTAGTCAGGTAATACAGTATGCAAACTTATTGTTGTAGCAGCTGCTGTTTAACGTCGATTTTTCACATCTCTTCACTTAAATTGTAACATCAACTGTAGATTAGAGATGTCTGGTATCATGAAGGTCCGGACTCTTTGGCACCAGCCAGACATCATATTGCGTTATACTCTCTGAAGAGGCAAATGCGCTATGTTTTTTAAATTGTATCAAGTTGTATATATAAATTGAAAAGGTAACTGCCTTTCGTTAATCTATATAATCAATTTAAATGCTACAGAGCTAGAGATCGACTCAAGGCTGCACGCATTGAAAGAGCAAAGCCTGATCCTGACAAAGCTGCCAAGGCACAGGAATTATATAAGAGACTAGGTGTAGGTTTACGTACATGACGAGAGGATAATTTTGCTTTGCATCAATCGTAGCTTTATCTGATACCATTATAATGTGCACTGAATGACTTTAAGTTAACCTAAAGACTCTCCAATCTGGGTTTTCACGGGCAGAGAACCACTATTTTTTGTAGTCAAATCGGTGACTGTCGACCGATTTCCTTTTGTCAATTTTCGCCGGATTGCCAATATGTTGCGACTGGGTCATGGTATGATGTAGATCAACATGCGTATATACTATAATTTAGAATTTTGCAGTACAGAGCCCATTTAAAAAAGTTATCATGGCTGCATATGCCTTAGTGCTTGATCTGGATATACTTATTAGTGTTACTGTATGTTTACAGTTTGTAATTAAATATATTCTTGGAATCTTTAAAAAGGTCTGGACTTTGCAAGTTGTGGAGTGTACCGCATTGCGAACAGGTCGGAATTTTAAGAGGCAAGCACTGAAGATTTACTAGTTAACTAATAAAAGATCAGATATGCTTTTGTTTTATTCATCCATATTTTTATCTCCCTACCAAAATAGGACATAACAGTAGAATCGGCGCTATTGTTTTTCATCCCCAGGCAACTCTCACGTTATCTTCCAAGTCAGCTTGTATGGCATCATGCGATGCTGAGGGATCAGTTAAACTTTGGTCGTTAGAAAGGTAACTTACTTTTATCTACGTTACACTAATCCAGTGTTCGCGTTTTAACAATCAGATTTCACCTCACTGTTACAGTGATACTCCTATTCGAAATGTAAGCACTCATACGACGCGAGTTTCTCGAATATGTTATCATCCATCTGGTAGATATTTAGGATCTGCTTGGTAAAAAAATATGCTGTAATAATTGAGTAATAGTCATTGTTGTCTAATGGTACTTGCCGCTGCAAGTTAATAATTATAATGCTTACTTTCTGCGTCTACATTTTAGTTACGATCATTCATGGAGACTCTACGATTTAGAAGCTGACAAGGAAGTACTGCATCAGGTTACAATTATCCTTATTACTTTATTTATTTTTGTATTGTCATTGAAGTCAAAATATTTTTTTCAGGAAGGACACATGAAAGAAGTCTATTGCTTAGCGTTTCAAATTGATGGTAGTCTCTGCTTTAGCGGGTTAAAAAGATATTTATATTGTTTAGATATGAATTGCTCTTGTAAAGCTTTACCACTAATTATAATGTACGGACAATGAATATGATCAGTGGTCTAGATGCATACGGAAGAGTTTGGGATTTAAGATCGGGTCGCTGCATTATCCTATTAGAGGGCCATCTCAAGGGCGTACTTTCCATAGATTCAGCTTCAGATGGGTTAGAAATATTGATTTTGCCTTAAAAATCACATTGTCTTCTAGCTAATATTAAATGACGTAAATTTGTTAAGATACCAAGTTGCAACAGCAAGTGCAGACAATTCTGTAAGGATTTGGGATTTAAGAAATAGAAAAACCATATATACAATTCCTGCTCATAGCGGGCTCGTGTCTTTCGTAAAATATGAAAGTAAGCTTCTAGTTTCTGAATGCTGGCTATGAAATAAGCTTAACACTTGTTGTAACGCGATATTTCCTACTTGTGTCCTAATAGATAACCGCAATTATTTAATGTCTGCGTCATACGATAAAACGGCAAAGGTATTTTACATAACTGCAATTTAATTTCAGATTGCTAGAGTAACAGTTTAGCTGTACTTCGTATGAATTATGCAATTTTGCTCATCTACGTATACTGTAGATTTGGTCTAATCCAGGTTGGTCGCCTCTTCAGACGCTTACAGGTCATGATGATAAACTGATGTGCTTAGATATATCGTCAGGTAAATAAATGCTTGCTTCGTTTCAATTCAGATTGCTGTTCATGTAATCGTGATTTGAAGTTGTCATTTAATATTACAGATGGTAAATACTACGTGACCTCCTGCTACGACAGGACATTTAAACTTTGGTCAGCGTAGCTTTGCCCTTCGATTGTGTAACTCGAATATGGTGATTTTGACGACGTATTACCATTGTCAACATAGCCTGGTTTAAACATTCATATCCTTTCTACTGCAATTCGTTACGTGCGTACTTATATGAATAGACTTTATTGATTAAACACGCTAGAGCTAACGATTTATGCGTTTCTGTAATCGATTCACATAGCTTAGTTTTCATCGTAATGTGAAAATTTCGGACAATTCGACTCTGCTAGCTCAGATTATAGTGTTTCTCCTTCCGATGGGGACTTTTCTAAATTTTAGGACTACGATGTGCCGGTAAAAATCAGATTCGCACAAGCGTTAACCTTTGCTGGATTGTTGAGTTAAAGGACCTTGCGTATAAAATTACCAGCATTTCTATACTGCGTTTCGCTATTCATGCATTCGTACATTTCTACTGTATGTTACGCATTGTACTGTACAATTAGCTATCAGACAGCATACACATATTCTTCCTGTAAGTAAATACAAATAATTCGTTTCCTTGCATAATAAAATATTCCTGTGATTACGGTTATTAAAGCAAACGATATGGTTTATCTCATTAATGAAACAGATAATGTAATATATTAACGAATAAATTGTATTCACAAATACAAAATTTTCTTATAATTATATAGGACATTGGAATAGTGTTATAGAATTCTAGTTACGAAAGGTGCAAATTCCGAGGTCTCTTAGTAATCATAATTTATGATTAGTACTGAACAATACAGGAATAGTAATGATTCTAAGAATGTAATTAAATATTGCGCACTATCGACTATCCTCGTACATGTATTTAATACAGTTCGAATAAGAATTAAAAATTATCACAAGCTTTGCAATTAATTACAGATACTTAATAATACAAAGACTCCTTCAAATTGGAAATAACTGCAAGTAATTCTCATTATTTGAAAAAACTTTTTGGATGACAATTAAGATTCTTCCATTCCTTGACTTTCTTGTACTAGAGCACGTTCCAGTATAACCTTACCTTCCTAATATAAATACAATGATCATAAAAATTTTCTAGAACTTTAAGGCCAAGCAATGACTGCTTTTGCTGTAGTGGTTAGAAATTCGAGCCAAGCGCTTTTGAATAGCTAAAACGATCTCTGTAAACTACTACCTTAACGCATCGTAGAAATGGCACAACTTACCTTATATCGTTGATTTTCGTCGTTTGCAAATTCCTGTAATAGGAAATGAGCGACTCAGAATTTTGTTGGCCAAGCTTTCTACAGCGTGCTAAATTATAACAACTTACGTATATCCAGCCTAGTTTCGTGTTGCAGTTCTTACATAGTACATCGCGCACTTTATGACGTCCAGTCAGCTATGGGGTTAGACCATCTATTATGGCTTTGACATGTATAGGGTTACAATAACTACTATTATTTTGTACATACCATTTCTCTGTCTTGAACTTCACTAAAATTTAAATTGACTCTAATTTTTGTAGAAATACAAAGTAGTCGCATTGTTGCCATTAATAGGCTGAAGCAATAGCTAGATAGCGAAAGCACTAGTAATCATTCGACTTGGCGTTAGCCAAGGCGTCAATAGTATTGTACAGTACTAGAACTCATTTCATTCGAACTGCGAGTCGCTAAGCATGATTAATAGTCGAAATCACATTACTGTACTGTATATTTTCTTCTTGAGAATTCAATCATAAGTCTACTGTATGAATTGGTTACACAATGGACTATACTGTAACTACTGTTTAAACTGTACTGTACAGTACTGTATATTTTGAAATTTCAGGAACGCTTATTATGTCTTAAAAAAGCACCATCTCAAAGTTAAAAAACTTACACTTTATTAAATAAATAAGCCCTTCCGGTAGCCCCAGTGAATCTCTGCAATAGAATTTACGCTATTAACAAATAATGTATAGTATATAATATAATCTGTCCATCTACTGCATAAATAGTATCGCAATAAGTACCGTAATATGTCCAACTTTCAAAGTAAGATACTCGCATACTAACTAGTATGCTACAAATGCTCTACTGTACTGTACAGTACTGTACTACATTCAGAATACGTAATCAATTAATCATCATTATAGTATACTTTTGCTTTACAATTACTAGATACTAGCAACATCCCCACAGCATTGCTGAAGATATCACGGTACTGTTAGTCTATACATTATAAATAACATTTATTTATAATGTTCTAAAATTCGTATTGCAACAGAAGTCAGGATTTGATCCACAATATCTTCCGTGTCACGTTCGTTTTGAGGGATAAATGCTACAATTAATTGTAGCGAATAAATTCTCTTTTTCGCAACGTGCTATGACAGTATCTTAAGTTGAGTACAGTATAGCAAAACTCCGATAAAAATTTGTGTTTGTCATCTGCTGTATTTAGTGTACATATAATATTATTACCGTCGACATTAATTCTGCCTTATTCGTTAATATAGTATCACATGTACCACACGAGTATAACCGAGTCCCACCAGGATGTTCTAGAAACGTTCGTCCCATAACCAATACTTGATGCAAGCACTTGAGACTCAGATGATGATAAACGGGAAAGTTTTAAGTTTCAAAGTTTTACTCCAGTACTGTAAAAAGAAAATAAATAGATTCCGTCTTGACCGTGCGGCATTCGTTGGTTATGAAGTTACACTACAGCGTAATTATACTGCAGTTGGCATACAGTACTATACAGTATACAGTACTAAAGTTTTATACACGACTGTACAGTGTACAGTACAGTACAGTACAGTACAGTGTACGGTACAATAGTACCGTACTGTACAGTACAGTACTCTGTACGAGTATAGTGTAGTGTAGTGTACTGTACTGTACAGTATTACAGTATAGTACTGTAGCAGGGACTTTTTCTCTTTAGAAGTCCATGTGTTACAAACCTACAGTACTGTACAGTACAGTACGTACTGTATACTGTACTGTAGGATATCTTACCCTGGGAGGAGCGATGGTTAGATTTCCATGTTTTTTACTTAGTACTGCAGAAAATTCGGAATTTAATACAATATTACGTAAAAGTTGCTCTAATAACCTCATTTTAATCAATTAAATTAAAAAGCCAAGTTATTTAGCTTTATATTCGTATAATTCTTATTACATTTTGATTCACACTCGTGATTTTAGGGTACCTTAAAGTACTCTGATTCGAACTGGTTCACACTGTACCGTACAGTACAATCCGCACTGTACAGTACAGTGTACAGTACAGTACTAACAGTAGTAGCGCTAGCCTGTACTGTACACTGTACTGTACAGTAGTAACGCTAGCCTGTACAAGTGCACAGTATAGTACTGTACACTGTACAGTACTGTTACAAAAAGCTCTGACTTTCAATTGCTTGTGCTCTACATACAGTAGATCTGTAACCATAAGAGTCATTAAAATATATATACGAGTATATACAGTACAGTACAGTATACAGTACAGTATAAAAATATAAATATAAAAACACATACTGTACACGTAGATAACATAAACTGTAATCAAAGGACCAGTAAAGCATCATGTCAGCGCATGAACATGTTCGGAAGCTGCTAGATCAACTAATGGGTACTAGTAGAGATGGTTAGTGTTAATGATTAAACTTTATACTGATTTGGAACATAGTTTGTTAATTAATTTTCGTTTTTGGTATCATGAGTCCTCTACGATCGCTTTTACCTGGTGCAAAGCATGGAACTATTCCAAAGGAGACTGCTCAGTAGTTAGTCTGACAAAGTAGATCGTTGTATCATCCATCATAAGAAGTGCAGTTAACTTGATACTCATTTTTATAGGTTTTATTAGTAATAAGTATAGTAGATCTTTCATAATTCATTAAATATACGAGTATTCACAGGTATCATTTTTTAAGATAGCTATCCAATTCTGATTGTATGTACGTATATGTACATGTTATACTCGTATATGGTTATGCACATACTGGATGTACCTGGGATTGTACGGTCCTTTACTGTATGTGAAATCTAGAGTTATATACAGAGATAGTTAATTCTAGTACGTAAGGTTAAAGCATGATGATTGTACGAGTATTGTACAGAAGATATCGTGGAAATTTATGAAACATCTCTAATTAATTATTGCACAGTTCTGATGATTGCAACGGATTTTCAGGTTATTTTTTTGTACTATTAATTTAAAGATTACTTTATAAGCAGGTAATCCATGCAGCGGATTCGAAAATTAATTATCGATAAATCTTAAATCTTAAAATCTTTTCATATCAACATTACTAATAGTACGGTACTACCGCATTGCTCACAGTCATCTTAAGCTAAAATTTTAATCAAATTATGAACGTTTTGAGTTATGCAATTTACGTTGAAGCCTGTAATGCAAGCAAATTATAACGATTTCGCGATCTGTGTATTAATCTATTGTTAACGAAAATAATTTTTATAACTTTGGTGTTATATACTGTTGCTGCTGCACCGTACATGTTAGTAACATTGCAGTTTTTATTTACGGTTTGTGCTTTTGGATACGAAGCTACTTGAGGACAGAAGTTAATTTGTGTACTCCGTATTTCTTTAGGTGAGAATAAAGAGACGTTAACCTTTACTGACCCAAGAGTGTGCAGAGCTTTTTTGACTGGCTTGTGTCCTCATGACTTGTTTACAAATACGGTATCATATTATCTCTACCTCAATAAGCTGATACTCAATGATTGTTGAATATATATTACTGTAAACCGGTAATTATGGGTCAAACCATACAAATATTCACTTGCATTAATATTTGTTTTATGAATAGAAAATGGATATTGGAGAGTGTTCGAAAGTTCACAGCTTGGCTTTGAGAGCAGATTACGAGAAAGCGGCTGTCTCAGGAAATTATGAATTCGAAGTTGATGTAATTCAGATAATTAATTTGATAAGTCTAGTTTCAGTTGCAATCGCGATCTTAGATGCTATAACTACTGTAATACATAACAGCCAATTTACTGTTTACATAGTACTTTACTGTCGAAGTTTGTAGTATTACATATCTGCAGTGAATGATATAATATTTTTAAGACGATCTCTGAATGATGACTAGAATTTCTTAATTATCCATACTCACTAATACTACTTATTGGCATCTTAGTAGTATTCTTTGTCTTGAAGCACTTATTGCCGTACTAGTATTATGGATTTCCTAAAGTAATTCCGGAAAAATGCAATGAGTTTCTAAGTTTTAACAATCACAGCTTAAAAACTTAAGTATATTTACTAATATACCATAGAGTCTGATGATGTAAACGAGTAAATCGTATTTTAAAACGATTACTTTAAACCGCTCTACCACAAGACTACTGTATCCGCTTGTTGTACAGAAGCTGTTCGCAAGATTACTCTACAGATTACACAACAGACGCGTGAAATCTCATAATTACTCGTACAGTATCAGACGATGCAATTTTTTTAAACTGTAAATAATGGGTAATGGTAAATTACGTATGTTTCGTAGATGCATTTTTGTATAAAGCTGCCACATTTATTTCTTAAGTACTGTAATTTTATTTCAGTTGCAGTCCTACGAATTTGAATGACTTTGGGGGCAATTTACGTAAGATTTACGTCGTGATCTCGCTTATTAATTTAAGTTGATGAATGCGGATTAACCGCAGTCGTAAATTATCGCTGCGCATCTATCTATGCTTTTTATTTCGCCTCCTTTCACAAATGCAGCTTTTTATAGGGATTATACTGTCGTGATATAGTAGGTAATTATGTGGGTTTTATGTTTTATGCTCACTGCGTTATCTCGTTACTGCTGTACAGTGTACGCGTTGTAATAGGGCAAAGCGTGTATAGTGTATCGTTTTTCTGAATACGTGCTTGTACACGGAATTAAAAGGTCTTAAATTTCGATTTTTACTGTATAGGCGAGAGATTCTGGCAGGGTGTCGTAATGGCATAGTGACACTAGATTGTCCTGATAACCTAGTTGTAATTTAACATAAATTTGTTTAAATTATATTTTAAGTCCTGCATTAATTTACTGCTAAAGTAGACTAAATTCGAATCTCTGAAGTAGGATAAATTTTCAAATTTAGTTTATGTTCTACTATGTAAGTCTTACTTTTATTTGCCCTTTTATTTTACGTAAATTTCTCCTCACGATTTACTAAGTATCCCGCTAATTAGAGACTGTCAAAATACGCTATACTTTGCTACGATGGTATGCTAAAAGTACTGTTTATTAATTCTGCAGAATAGGACGTTACTGGTTGAATGCAGTTTTATAGTAACAATTGAGTGTAACGATCGATGTCGTGATACAAGAAGATAATGTAAATTATCTGACTGAATTATCGTTAACCATGTCAAACTACTTTGTAGCTTGCTATTAACTAGAAGTAATCTACGGAAACTAGTTTCTGTACTAATGTTTTAGGTATATCTGTATTCTACTTTTTTGTGTCATAAATAACTATTGATCAGCTTTTCTTTAGCTAGCTAGAACTAAAACTGTTTTCTATTTTATGGGGGGTAATTGCTTATTTTACAGAGATTGCCTTCAATTAATTAATGAGTACAGTAAACATTTTCAATGACAGGAGGAGGAATAACACGTCAGTATCACCTCTGAGATATGAGAATGTACTGATCTACTATACTGTACAATATATAATAATCGATTTGACAATAATATTAATGCTGTACTGACTTTTGCAATGGCCAAAATAATATTATTCCGATCAAAGATTAATTACTATATTTTATTCAAAGAACATGATTGTATCATCGAAATTAGTATAAGCTGTCTGTTACTAGTTCGTTTTCGTCACCCTGAGACATTTTAGAAGTGATTATAGCATCGAAAGCCCACCTAGCACCTGCAGCAGCGTAAAAAATGTGCACATTTTATTTGTAGTGTAAATATATCGCCTTATTTACTGCCCTTAAGTACACCTAATATATTATTTATTCTGTTTAAATAGGCGTTGGAACAATTATTGTATTTTATCAAGGATTGTGACAGAAAGATTCAAATAGCTAAAAGGCGCCTAGCCGAAACACAGACCGATCTGGCTAGTAATGTCAAGGTAAGAAGCCGGAAATTTATATGATTCTGCACAGTAAGCAGTAAAGTCATCCGGAAATAGTAAGTATTACCTAGACTAATTACAGAGCGAGTCTAGTCTATAGATCTGCTATAAATTTAATCAAGCGCTAGAATTATCTCATAGAATTAAACTTGAAATTCCGCAATCGCTACGCAAATTTTATATCAGGAATGCAAATTAACCGTACGATTGATTCCTAAGTGTCATGCTGTATCATATTATTTTTATGGCCTTAACGTCTCTCTTATATGTATGAAGCCGCAGTCGTTAATAAAACTTGAAGGCGAAATAAATGAAAAATTGAAAACAGTGGAATCATTGGGTAAAGGGAACTTTAAAAATCAGATATCTTATGAAATCTTTGTAACGAATATTTGTCTTAATTAAGGGGCCGAAGGAAAGATAGAAGAATCTATGGCCGTACTTGCAGAAATTGAAATTATTAAGCAGGATGCCAGAAAAGAAGAGGTGATACAAATACTACATTACATTACCAGCAGTATTTGTGGCATTCGCAAAATTTAATTGCAAGATTTCATCTGCAAGCCTTGAAAGGTCTTTTGAATATACCATGCTTATAAGATACTCTGCTACATAGGAAGCCTGGTTATCAACCTTACCGTCATCAGCTATGCAGCAACAAAAGTTGCGAGTTTGTGAAGTGTGTGCTGCATATTTAGGATTGTATGATAATGACCAAAGGTACAATTACCCTCTGTGAACAACTTCACTTAGTGAATTTATTGAGAATCATATTCTTGCAATATCTGTAATTCATATGAAATTTTATCTTGGCAATAGACTAGCTGATCACTTTGGAGGCAAGCTACATATGGGTTTCATAAGAGTTCGTCAACGGTTAAAAGAATTACAGGTTAATAAATTAACATGAAATTTCAGTCCTAGATTTATCTGTACCTTTAGCGATTGTTATCATGTCTATATTGGATCCTAGTTTGAACTTGTTTAAAATGCTTGATGAGTTCTGAGATACAAAGTGGAAAACATTATTATTGTTTTATGCTAATTGGAATTAAAAGTAGCAAAATT